GTTGAGTTCAATCTGGGCTCTGTAGCAAGTCTCTATGTCTTAAAGAAAACCAAAACATCCAAACCAACCACCAACAATAAAAAAATCTTAAGAGCTTTAATCACAAATCACAGCTATTATGCATGTAAAAAAATGTCAGGTACACTTTGGAAGAATTATGTTTCTGAGTTTGCTAGCTACACAGAAGAGCACTTCGTTTACCTGTGCAGGTCCAGTTCCACATAGGGAAGAATAAGTTTCTCTTTAATCAACTCCCAAATGATCCGCGTCATTTCATCTCCTTGCATCTCCACCACAGAACCGCCGCGGATTTTTTTGGACATTTTTATTTCAATAACTCTTAAAAAAAAAAAAGATACGTGCCTTGTCACGTCATAAAGTAGAAATGAAGTATCAATGATTTGGTGACTATTTAAAAAGAAGGATTTATAATAGCACAGTTCTACAGATAACAAATTTACATTTAGCACTGGGAGAACTGAGAACTTCTCTGTGTAGGACACCACGCTACAATGCTTATGTGTGGTTTCTGAGTCAGCACTGTAAGACAACACTGTTAAATTATTTTCTAACTTGAGGGACAAATAGCTTTGCCAAGGCCATCTGGCTAGAGTGTGGGGGAACCTGACCCTGAAATATGCCCTTAATAATGTAATCATTATTCTCAACCGTTGGTTGTCCCACAAGAGCATCTCTGTTATTGTACAGACGATCCAATGGTTCTTAGGACCCATATTCAGGGGGAACTCCAATAGTGGACAATGACGAATTCTTTGTAGAATTAGGCTTTTCTATAGATACTGCAGATATTGGCAATGTGGGGCTATATTACAAAAGTGATTTCTCACACAGAAACATCTGGATACAGAAAGATCCCTGCCTAGCACTCAGGCTTATCTGAGTCATGTTCCTTGGTATCTCAAATCCTGTACTGCTCCTCTGGCTCTTCAGGGGAAGAGCAGCTGTCTGTAGGATGGGACACCATATTGCTCTTAGAAGACAGATCACTTCAAAAAGTATTATCTGATTCCAGTAAAGGGCAAAAGTGGACTGTTTGGAAAATGAGAAACTTCGAGGCTTTAGAGAAAACTGCTCTTGCTGCTCAGGAGGCAAATGGGTCCCCGAGCCCTCTGAAAGTATCTGTTCCTTCTAACAACACGGTTGTGTAACAGTTTCCTCTGAGATTGAAACATCCCATCCTGCACCAAGCTCTTTAAACAGACAGGTAAACAACTCAAACTAGCTTCGAGATGTCCCTGAAACTGACAAGACTCACTACGTCCGTCCCTCCCCGCCAGGGTAAACAGTAAAAGCTGAGACTCTCAAACCCGGGAAGCCAGGCTTTGAAGAAGACTCTCAGAGATCAGAAGTTTCCTAGGAAAAGGTTTAGACCAACCGAGCTACTTGGAAAGGACACTCTCCAACCTGTTGAGCTGCCTCCCGGCTGTGCAGTGTACTCCAGGTTCCAGCTTTTGTGAGCTGTCACCCATGCTGGGGTGGGCTTTGGTGATGCAGCTGTCCTTGGGTCATTTCTGGTCCTGTATGTAACCCCTCACACATATTCCTGTAACCCCACTGGTTCACCAAGTTGGGCTTTGGGGTATCCCTACTCGGTCTTCGTGGGGTCTCTATCTGGGGTGTGTAGACCTGTGTTGCACCTCCCCAGGGTTTATCACACAACAGACACTATAATGTGATCTTTCTTTCCAGAAATACAATTGTAGATTTCCCTCATTTATAGCTAAGAACCAGGAAAGTCAGAAGACTTTAAAGTAATTGCTAGATAACAACCTAAAACTGTCTTTAAAAGTATAGCTAAACTAGGGGCTGGAGAGATGGCTCAGAGGTTAAGAGCACTGCCTGCTCTTCCAGAGGTCCTGAGTTCAATTCCCAGCAACCACATGGTGGCTCACAACCATCTGTAATGAGATCTGGTGCCCTCTTCTGACCTGCAGTCATACATGCTGTATACATAATAATAATAATAAAAAAGTATAGCTAAACTAATTGGACCCTTAAGATTAAAAAAAAAAAGTAATGATTACTAGACAGTGGGTCTCAACTCCTCACAACAAGCCAGGAATATTTTCCCAATTCTCCAGTCCCATTTTTACTTCTTAGACTTGCAATTCTAGAACCCAATTTCTAGAATCCTATTAGATGGCACCCTTAGTCCATTACCCGAAAAGGGTCTGGAAGGCAATTAGAAGCCATCAATAAACTGGTGTGGGAGAACCAATAGTACCCATCAGATATAACGTAAAGATTAACTTACAGTAGAGCGGAAAGCCCATAATTAACTCCATTTTCACCATGATCATGCTTTAAAGCCAAAGTCAAGATGAGATAGCACACTTATCTCAGTTTTGATACCACATTTTCATGGCCATGTTCCTAACACAGCATTACACAACAGTTATGACTAGGCTATTTTCCTGTGATGGCAAATACAGCTAATAAAAAATCACAATGCCTGGAATGTCTGTAATTTTTGTTTTGGTTTGTTATTTCCTTCTTGGTGAATATGCACTCTGCCGTAATCTTCCTGTATCTCAGAATGCATTAATGATATATTTCAGATTTCCCTCACTTTGTTCATTTTTTTTTTGCACCTGTTAACTAAAAAAGTGAAGCTGTACCATGACTATAATTGCACTTTGGGATTTGCTTTCCATGGGACATGGGCTTTAGGTATCCTTGGATTCCCTGCATCCTTGGGTCTCACATTTTCTGAATTCACCCAACCCCAACTTTCGAAGGAGAGTGTGATCCAAGGCCCATCAGCCACCAGCTCATTTACATAGTCTGACAGATGAATTACATATACATAGATAGATGAATTCCAATCTCTTGACATGCTTGTGCAATTCCCAAAAAAATAAACATAATAATAACAGACTAGTTGAAGCAACAGGAGCCCTTTGCCATACCTAATTTTATTTCCATAAATCTCAAGCTTCTATCTTGAGCCAATTTTTTTTTCCAGCTCAGTTCAAGTTGCAAAACACTCGAGGACACTAAGGAAGCAGTTGCAGTATATTGATGGAAAATTCCTGCTTCCCTCTTTTGCAGTACCTACACTTGCACCCACGCCCAATTAACTGTACAGTGTGGCCACACTAAAGAGAGCAGGATGAACAGCTAAATTGCTAATTCTCACCTTGATGGTGAATGGACTTCCAGTTATAACAAGGCCTCTCAATTTTGCTGACTCAAACAACTGTAGTTTCAATTTATCTCCTAAAACAAAACAAAACCAGGAATAGAAAAGTCTTAACATACAAACACCCTGCCAGGAGGATTTAGTTGGTTTTAATACCAGCCTGACAGCCCAGTTTATCTGGTTTAAAGTACAGTGCTGAGTGTATCTGGAGGGGCAAAGGGCAGTTTATTTGCACAGGAGCCTTCCAAATGAAGGTCAAAAGACTACAAATATCCGTGCAAGGACACGAAGGAGGGTGAGTCCCAGGGCGAGTGCCTTGCTCTTGGCTTTTTGCGGATCTCTTGTTTTGCTCGACCGATCTCGGGTGACACTATGAGCCAGCAGATATCCTTGTGGGCATTGTGCAAGAGGTCTAAAACTGAAATTGACTCTGTTCCTCCTTCCAGATCCCCACGCCTGTCCCACCCCTCAGCGGTGCCAGGACCTTTAATACCAGGTCCACCCAGCTGGCTGCAGAACAACTCCTCCAGAACTCTAGAATCTAGAAGGAGCAGGCAAGAAGGTGGGAAGGGTCCTTCTCCCAGTCCTCACGGCGCCCCCAAGTGGCTCCAGATTGAAGCTGGAGGCCCGCCCCCCCTCACCCCCCTCCCTCACCTACCCTCTCGAACTCTCACTACTCCGGCCTCAAGGCAGGTCCTACCCCCGAACCTTGAAGGAGTGCTCAGCACACGCCTATAGTTCCCGGCTCACACCCTTTCTGCAACCGGTTCCCTGCGGTCGCATATTTTTCTTCCTCTTACACCCAAGACTCAGAGTTCTGTGCGTCCTCCCCTCAGCTAGATTCTCCTCCGCGGCTGCAGATCTGCTTTGGCACTTGTCACTGCATGCATGTAACGTCCTCGCCGCCCAGATCTTACGATCCCACCCTCGGGAGCGCCCTTCTACGCAGAACTCCGCTACCCCCACTTCCCTTCCCCAAACCCAAACTCTGGAAGTGTCCCTCGGTGCACCAGGGCCTTTTCCACCTGAGTTCATCTCTGCACAGCCAAGATCTGAGTTTTCTTCCTTTTCTTCTCACTCCAAGGCTACTACCGAATAGCCTAACAGAGAGGGGCGGCGGCTGCCGCTCCTAGCCTGGGAGCCCCAGCAGGGAGGGGAAGGAGCGCCCGCTGGCAGCCCGGGGCGCCCCAGCTACTCACCGGCTCACACCCCGTGCACACACAGACTGTCCCAACCCTGCCGCTGCTGGCTCAGCACCCGCCACCACCTTCGCACCGACGACCGGCGGGGACAGGGTCAAGGCTTTTTAACTCTTCCCGGCTTTGTCTCCTCCCAGGCCCCACCCCCTCAGCCCACCTCCCGCCGCCCCGCCCCCTCTGCGACGCCATTGGCCGCGCGCGCTGCCTTTCTGGGGTGGGCGGGGCCGCAGGGTGAGAGCCCGGCTAGGATGCAAGTCCCCCTCCTGGGTGTTCCAGCAGGGGGATGGGGCTGCCACGCCGCCGGGATTCCTCGGGAACACCCTGCCGCCGAGGAACGAGAATGCCACCTACTGGCAGGCTCCCGGAGTCAGTGTCCTGGTGCTCACCCCGGGAGGGCTCCTTAGACTGGATTTTGGCAGGTTCCCTTCCTGGCGTTTCCGGATGCCTCTTAAAGCTGGAAAGGACCTTTTGAAGACGTTGCGTTTGGGGGTCTCAAAGGTGTGTGTGTGTGGGGCGACTATAGACGCTGCTAGAATGCAAAGGCTGAACAGGCCGCCATACCACCTCAGTAATTCCCTCTACTACCAAAGATCTATATTCCCAACTGTTACTACTTACAAATAAGCCCCACTCACCAATTGCCATGGAATACAATAAAGTTTATTTTCTAGGTTCCGATGAAGCTGCACCGGAGACACAGGATACAGGATCTTAGACTTCTAAGAGTGGATTAAAAATATTCCTATCTCTTCAGATATTTATTTTCTGTCTGTGTTCCTTAGTCTTGAAAACAAGAATATTTGTAGACTTGTAGAACAAAAGATCTTTGATTGCTCAAGGTTAACGTTCCCAAATTCACCTTTAAAACGTCCAACATTGTAAAGTTATGAATACAGGACAGTTAGCAAGATGCATTTTGGACGCTAGAGGGCACTAGTATTTCCCCAGGTGGAAAAGGAATAAAGTACATGGATTATTTTAATATCCTGTTTGAATGGATTAACCGGATACTAGTGGCCACTTCCATTTATTTTTATGAAATGATTAGAAGGTGTGTTTATTTATACTTTAACCTCTAATCTCATATCCTAAATCACATGAGATTGTAAATGTTACTTCCTACTGCATCAGGCTCATATTGGTTATTCTTTTGTTTATTACTAGAAATAAGTATTCATATCCATTCTTGTTCTAGAAAGCATTCTAGAATAAATTCAGGAAACAGAATATAACACAATAAGAAGTATTGATTATATGTGATGGAAAAGGTAAAAAGAATGCATAGAATATCAGAGCGAAGGTCAATTTAAACATAAACATCTTCCATCAAGTTCTAAATATTTGCTAGGCATGGACTGAACATCTGTCTCTAAGACACTGAGATAGGAAATATGGCACTTATGAACATGTCACCATCTGAAAGCATGTTTCCAAGGGCTACAGTGCATGAACTGATATATCACTAAAGGAGAATATTTAGATGCCTAGAATGGACTTCCATTAACGTATTACAAAGTAACCAGATTTAGTAGTGCATATTTGTATTCCCTACACTGAGGAAACAGAGCAGGATTGCCACAAGGTCCAGGCAAGCCTTGTCCACCTAATGAGGTCCAAGTCAGTCAGACCCCGTTTCAAAATCAAGAACAAACAATACCCTACCCACAAATAAATATATGGGTAAAACCATACATATTCTTATGCTGAAGCTCTTATAGAATCATAAAATAATAAGCTTATGGGCAAAACGACTGGAAGAAAATTACAAAACATTTTAACGATAATCATTTGTATGTAATATGTGAGTGTGGGAATGTCCATGCCACAACAAGGATATGGAAGTCAGAGGACAATTTTTTTGAAAGTTGTAGGTTCTGGAGATGGAACAGGTCAAAAGGCTCACAGGACAAGTGCTTTGACCCTACTGCCTTGCTCTGGCATCACAAAACAGGACCTTACCATTATCAGTAACAATTAGATTTAACAACTGATGTTTGGCTGAAATTACATTACCGCTAAAAATGTGAATATGAAGTTCATTGCTTATATTCACTTAGCTCACTGCATTTCCATTAGCGTGACTTGCTATCATTTGTTTTCATTTACTCAATAAAAAAATCTAACTATTTAAATACTGTCTGGAGCAAAAACACTGCTGTAAACATTAATAGAAACCTGGGTCCAAAATGTCTCTTAGCATCTGTTTGGCTATGAGACACTCATCCAGATGATGGGATTCCCATAAAATTCCAAGGCTATTTTTTTTTCATTTTGGTCATCTGAAAACAAACAAACAAAAACAAGGTACTGGGCTGGCAAGATGGTTCAGTAGGCATTTCCTTCCAAAGTAGATATTCATACATATATATGCAAAATAAGCAAGTGCAAATAAACAAAATGAAGGGAAGTAACTGTTGGTTAAGCGGTGTCTCTCGTGGCTGGCCTCCGCCCACGGCGACCATGCTGATGGAGGAGAGTGCTCGATGTATTGGTGAGACGGAAGAGTCACGAGCCACAGTTACCTTTCTAGAGCTTTATTGGGAGAGGGAGACAGACAGAGAGAGAGAGAGAGAGAGAGAGAGAGAGAGAGAGAGAGAGAGGCTGGGGGGGATACGGAAGGAGAGAGTGCGGAAAAGGAGAGAACACACAGAGGGCACGTCTACTTTTTAAGCTGGAACGCTGGTGCTGGTGACATAAGGTGATTAAGGACAGAATCCTTACATCCCAGACTTTCGCTTATTATAAAAAAAGCAGGTAGATGGGAATAGGGGCATCGTTTCTCTCAAAAACTGCTTCCAGCTGACTTTTGGACGTCGGTTGGCTCTGGGGGAATGGAGAAGGGGAGTCTTCCGAGGTAGACAGGCGTTGTGGGATGCTGTCTGTCATACGTTTTCTCTGGAGACATGTATCCCTCTTGGCTGTGGCTGGGAACTTTCTGTTTGACAAGATGTTGGTGACACAGAAAAAAGTTTAGAGAGAAAAGAATCATTATTATTTTATGTTGGCATTTATCTGAGGTAGATATGGCCTGTCCAGATGGATTTTGAAACATGTTAAGTTTTATCAGAGACAGATTAATTTAAAGCACCTGTTTCCTTTACTAGTTTGGCATCCAGGAGACAGGTGATCAATTGTTAAAAGCATCTCACAGTAATAGATGTTTACATTAAAGTCTTTTTGTAGCACCCAGATGCTTTTGGGTCTGGGGATATAAATACCTTTTAGCTGTTACAGTTTCTTACTTGATGATCTCTGGACTCTGGTTCTGTGGTAGTCCTGTATCATTGGCTGAACAGTGAGTTAGAATGGGGCACTGGGAAGAGAAAAGCTCGTGGTGCATGAGAACTTATTTTTTTGGAATTAGGGACAAGGCAAAGATCAGGGCCCTGTCTGTATGCACGTGAGAAACACAGGCAGTGGATCTGAAGTGAGACAACGAGCTCTTATCTTAGCTGGAAATCTTTTTCATTAAGTAACTCTGAAAGTGCAATTAAATCTGGTGAGGTGGGTAAGACTGTCCTCTGTACCCAACAATAAAGGAGAGGTGGCATCCCAAAACTCCCAGGACTGAGTCAGTGGTTTTGGTGTCCAGGAGGAAAGAAATGGATCGCTTCCCTGCTGCGTTCTGGGTTCACTGTCATGTCTGTAGCCAAGCCTAGGTCTGCTAGAGGTCTTAGCTTGATGTACCCATGCGTCTTGGCGCCTGGGGGCAGTCAGCTGACTGGTTGTCTTTCTAGGCAGCACTTTTAACAAGGCTGTTGATGGCCTGGTAGGGCATTCGCTAGCCCGGGGCCTTTTTCCTCACTTAAAACAGGGACCCAACAGCTTTCGGGAGTCAGCAAGTGCCAGCACTTGGCAATTTAGTTTTTGGGCTTTTATCTCTTCCCTGGCACACCTTAAATGCCATAGATGACTCTTTTGCCTGTGGGGTCAGGAGCCTTGCTCTCCAGATGCTTAAGTTTTAGTCGGGGAGGTCTGGGGAACAAGAGACGGATTTTACTCCATGTCCTAAATTTTTTTTTTCCTGATGCTTGTTGGCTTAAAGACAGCTTTTGGAAGATCTGCCAGGAGGCAGACTATAAACCGATCCTTTTGGAAGACTTGTTTGAGGCTATAAGCTGATTTTTGCCTTAAGAGCCATCCTGACTACTGTAAACTTATCTGTATGGATCTTAGCCGCTACCAGACCTGTCTGTGTCTCTCAAGGCAGTTTGAGAATGAGTGGGTAGAGTTAAGGTGAGTTAGGACGAGCGTCAGTAGAAGCCGCCCAATCCTGCCCATTTGGGCCCACCCACTGCCGGCAGAAGTCAGACAGAAAAGGTTGCATGTGGCAGACGCAGAAGTGGGGAGGGAGAAGGGTTTAGAGCTTTAGCAGAAAGCTTGGGGATAAAGTAACTCTTTTATTTGCCTGTTAGCTGGCAGAAGTTCCCATGACACTGTTATGCGACCTGATTTATCAGTACCGTGAAGCTGTTATGCGGTCAAATTTACCGGTACCTGCCCCTTTGTTCTATGGCTTTTGCTCATTTGTTGGCAGAAGTTCCCGGGACACTGTTATGTGGCCAGATTTATCGGTACCCCCCCCGCCCCTATCTGCCAATGTAGGTAGTAAATATATCCGCCCCTTTGTCCCATGGCTGTAGCCGAGAGAAAAATAAAAAATTAAAATAACAAACCAGGATCAGACTCCAATCTCGGGCATCCCCAAGAGTGAAGAAGGATCTATGAATCAGCTCAAGTCACAGATCCTCTTCATCCAGGAATGGTGAGGGCTACAGCGGCTGTGCTGCAGTTGGTCCACGGTGGACCCGAGACAGCATTTACCCCCTTGTCAGGAGTGAAAATGTGCCTGCAGTTGCCAGCACAGTTCGAGGACAAACCTCCGGGGTGTCCGTCGCAAAGATAGCTCAGACTACAGCCTCAAGAACAGCAGACTCACTGTGGTGAAGAATCATGGTGGTAGCAGTAGTGATAGGTGTGTGGGGGTCCAGCGGAGGCGAGGGACACGTGTGCGCTTGCAGTCTCACGGTCTTGCTGGATGGGGGAGGAGGCGGCAAGCGGCAGCGGTCACAGCAGGTCCTTGGTGGTCTATCCGAGTCTGAACGGCACCAAATGTTGGTTAAGCGGTGGTGCTCATGGCTGGCCGATGCCTGCGGCGGCCATGCCAATGGAAGAGAGTGCTGGATGTATGGTTGACAGAAGAGTCATGAGCCATAGTTACCTTTCTAGAGCTTTATTGGGAGAGGGAGAGAGAGAGAGAGAGAGAGAGAGAGAGAGAGAGAGAGAGAGAGAATTTTTCCTTTTGTCAGGACACAGGGTGGCGCCAAGAGGTGGGATCAGAATATTAACATAGGCACTGGACAGGTAATGTTGGAAATGAGTCCGCTGAGTCAGAAAATAAATGTGTGTCTTCAACATGTCAAGAAGGACTGTACTCCATAGGTCAGTGGCTAACATCACAGTTAACTGTGGAAATTGAAAGCCTTGTGCACAATCAGACAAGGATGGCCACTCTTGTCCCTTCTCAACACACTTACAGTACAGCAATCAGGAAAGGTACAAGCAAACAGGTATCCAGATGAGGAAGGAGAAATTAAAATGCCCTGTCGGTAGATGGTATTATCTTAGATATGGAAAATCTTAAAGATGGGATCAAAAGCCTGTTAGAAGCAGTGAAATTCAGTAGCCTTGGATGCTTACAACCAACACACAAAAGCCAATAGCATTTTTATTCACCAATGATAAACTCCTCAAAAGAAATCAAGAGGATAATCTTACTTGTAATAGCTAAGTTAACATGCTAGCCGGGTGTGGTGGCACACACCTTTAGCTCAGCACTTGGAGGCAAAGGCAGGAGGATCTATCTACATGAGTTCAAGTCCACCTGGTCTACAAATCAAGTTCCAAGAAAGCAAGGACTACACAGAGAAACTCTGTCTTGAAAAAGCAAAAAAAAAAAAAAAAAAAAAAAAAGCAAAAAATAAAATAAAATGCTTAGAAATAAATTAACTTTACAAAGGTGATACTGTAAACTATAAAACAGATTTTTTAAAAAAAAACCCTGAAGAAATAAACAGAGATAAACAGAGACAGTGTTTGACTTAATCTAGGAGGGCATTCTGTGTGTGTGCATTGGAAGAGGTAATGCTGTAAATATATACTATGTAAAACAACCAGCAGATCCAATGCTGTCTCTTGAAAAATTCTTGCTGGGTGGTGGTGGCACACACTTTTAATTCCAGTGCTCCGGAGGCAGAGTCAGGAGGATCTTTGTCAGTTCCAGGCCAGCCTGGATACAGAGTGAGTTCCAGAACAGCCAAGTCTAAACAGTGAAACCTGTCTCAAAAAAATCAAAAACCAAAAATAATAAATAAATAAAAAAAACAAAAGACCCTAAATTGCCAAAGTAATCTTGAACAAAAAGAAGCTGTACACATGACACACCACTGACTTCAAAGCATAGTACAAAGCTATGGTAATCAAAATAGCATGATCTCGGCATTAAAAACAGACAAGTAGACCAATGGAACAAGGAGAGCAGAAATAAATCTACTTGTGATAAACTTATTATTTGGAAAACCCTAGGGAAAGGATAGTCTGTTCTATGAATCTTATGGGAAAAACTGAATACCCACTTGTACAAGAATGAATCCATATTTCACACTGTATTAAAAATGAACTGGATTAAATATCTGTGGTAGTTTTAAAGAAAATGTCCCCCAAAGAAAGTGGCACCATTAGAGGTGTGGCTTTGTTAAAGTAGGGATGGCCTTGTTGGAGGAAGTGTGTCACAGTGGAGGCAGGCTTTGAGGTGTTTTGCTTAAGCTTTGCTTAGTGTTGCCTGAAAGACGTAGGATTCTCAGCTACTACTCCAGCACCACATCTGCCTGCATGCCACCATGCTCCCCATCATGATGATGATGGACTGAACCTCTGAAACTGTAAGTGAGCCACCCCAACTAAATGTTTTCTTTATAAGAGTTTCTGTGGTTATGTTTCCTCACAGCAATAAAAAACAAACAAACAAACAAAAACCCCTAAGACAATATCTAAACGTAAGACCTGAAAATGCAAATTAGTAGAAAAAAAACCCAAGCAGAAAGCCTCATGACATTGGCCTGGGCAGTGGTTTTTATTTTTATTGTGTATAACCCAGAAATTTAGGCAAGAAAAGCAAAACAGACAAATAGGATTATATAAAAATAAAATGCTCTGAAAGGCTAGAAAAACAACACTGAAGAGACAACCTGTGGAATGGAAGAGAATATTTACAAACCCATACATCTGGTAAGCTGCCATTACCCAATGTGTTCAAGGAACTCAATAGTGAAAAACCCTAACAAAGTTATAAACTGGAAAAAGGGCAGGAAAAAGCAAACACTCCTGAGACATTGCGGTGGTTTGAAATAAAATGGCCCCCAAAGGCAGTGGCACTATGAAGAGGTGTGGCCTTGTTGGAGGAAGTGTGTCACTGTGGGGGTGGGCTTTGAGGTTTCCTATGCTTGGAATACTGCTCAGTGAGCCAGTAAACTTCCTGTTGCCTCTGAGTCAAGATGTAGGACTCTCAGCTCCAGCACCACATCTGCCTGCAGGCTGCCATGCCCCCATCCTGATGATAATAAGCTGAACCTCTGAAACGGTAAGCAAGCCACCTCAATTAAATGTTTTTATTTATGAGTTATCGTAGGCATGGTGTCTCTTCACAGCAATAAGAATTGTAACTAAGACGGACATATAAAAAAGATAAAAATCACTAGCAATCAGAAAAATGTAAATTAAAACCACACGGAGATATCATAGCCTAACATCTATCTGAGCGGCTATTATTATAACAAGTTTTGACAAGGGAATGGAGAAAAGGGCATTCATGCATATTGTTGGTGGGAATAGACATTGGGGGCAGCCATTATGGAAAACAAAATTCAAGTTCCTCAAAAAATAGAAATTCCACATGATTCAGTGATTTCATTTTAGTGTATACATACAAAAGAAGTGAGATGAGTGTGTTGGAGAGACAGGTACATGTACCCCTATTTTCATTGTCAAATGACCCATGGCAGTCAGGAGGCATACCTAACCCAAGTACCCATCACTGAAGGAATGGGTAAAGAAAAATGTGGCATATTTGCATAGCATACTACTACTCATCCTCAGAGAGAGAGAGAGAGAGAGAGAGAGAGAGAGAGAGAGAGAGAGAGAGAGAGAGAGAGAGAGATAATAGGTTGGAGTGAGAGTTTAGGCCCTGAGTTGATACCCAGAACACACATAAAAAACAAAGGTGTGTAGCCAGGTGGTGGTAGCACATGCCTTTAATCCCAGCTCTTGGGAGGCAGAGCCAGATGGATCTCTGTGAGTTTGAGGCCAGCCTGGTCTACAGAGCTAGTTCCAGGACAGGCACCAAAACTACACAGAGAAACCCTGTCTCGGAAAACAAAACAAAACCAAACCAAAACAAACCAAACCAAACCAAACCAAAAACTCCCAAAACACAGGTGTGGTAGTGCATGCTCATAGTCCCAGTGCTGGGAAATGAAGACAGGCAGGTCCCTGGGGCTTTCTAGCCAGCTATCATCATCAACCTGGTGAGCTCCAGGCCAATGGGAGACCCTGTCTCAAAAACAAGGCCTGTGGCAACTGAGAAACAATGTCTGAGACTGACCTGTGGCCTCCATACGTGTGTGCACCCTGCCCACACGACTTTGAACATACAATAAATACAAATTAAAAAAAGAAGGAACTGTCACTTGTGGCAGCATACCTAACCTGGAGGACACTACATTAAGTGAAATACATCAGAAAGAAAAATCCTGCAAGATCTCATGTGTAGAGTTTTAAAAAGGTTAATCTTAGAAAGAAGAAGAGGGTGGAAAGGTGGTTGTTGGGGGTGGGAAAATACAAAATGGAAAGCAAATACTCAGAGTCATGGCAAATACACCCAGGAGTTTTCATGAGGGGCTCCCACTGGTCAAATCAGGGGCAACTTGATTAAACTGAACAGTGACAGTGCTGAATTAGGGTATTACTGGAAGAAAAAGAAAAGTCAATATCGATAATAATTGATATAAAGAGAAGGAAAAGCTAGCAAATTTCAGTAAAGTGTAAGCAATTACAAAATATAGAAGCATGTGGGTATATACTATATTCCAGCTCAGCAAGAATTTTTTTTTTGATGTCTAGTATGAGGTAAGAACCCAAACTGTTTTCTTTCCCCAAAGAGAAATCAAAATTTCCACAGAAATTAAAGTGCATGCTAATGTAGATAGGGGAGTGTAAACTTCTGGGGAACACAGACTGTATTATGGTCGCAGCTTTATTCTTAGTGGAGTACCTACCCAGCATATGAATTGCTGGTCCAATTAATGACTCAGAAAATGTTAGTTGAGCTGGAGAGATGGTTTCATGTTACTGCTTTTTACATAGGACCCAAGTTTGATTCCTAGCACCCACATTTGGGGGCTCACTACCTTCTATAACTCCAACTTCAGACGAATCTGGACTTCCTGGTCACCTGTACAGAACACACACACACACACACACACACACACACACACACACACACACACACACACACACAAAACTTGAAACAGTGTTTGTTTAGGAGACTTGGAGCAGCTGGCTTATCTATGGTGTTCTCTTGGTTTATTTTATAATTTATTGTAGGTTTGTGAGATATAAGCACCTGGTGGACTCATTTAAGAATTTTTTTTTAAAAAAAATTTTATTAAAGGAAAATGCGTGAGCATGTTCACAAGCCAAGGAAGGAGTTATTGGGAAAGATTTGGTTGATGAGACACTGCAAGCCCCCAGGGATATAAGGCTGGACAGATAAAGCTGAGAAAGAAAAAGCAATGATCTATGAAGGAGGGAGGCAGGCCCAGACAGGTGTGGTTGCAGGTAGACGTGTGGTGGAGGTGATTAGGTTAAGGGATGCACCCATGGTAGTTCATGGTATAGATGAAACTCTCAGGGGAAAAAGACAGCCCGGGAGTGGCTAGGCAAAGCTGTAATGAATGTCAAACGCGGCGAGAGGGCGCTGAGGACAAGAATCAAGGGCCCGGCGAAGGATCGGGACCAGGAGTTGCAGCAGCCCCTAGCTTCAGGGTTTGGTGGTACTTTCCAGCGCTGAAAAGAACAACTGGGGAAAGCTGGGTGGGATCTGCCAAAATTCTTGAGGAACAGGATCCACAGAATCAAAGTCAAAAGACACCACCCTCCAGAGTCCTTTCAAAGCTCCCCCGCTAATCCCTCACTGAAAACATGAGCAGGTTTTAGCTTGTTTTCTACTTTTAATTGCACAGCCCTTTTGGGCAGGACAAAAATAACGGGTCATGTTCATACCAAGCTGAGCAAGTCGGGGCTTGATAACTTTATCTGTCACACAAACCCGAATTAAAAAAAAAAACCAACAAAAAACTATAGCGTCAACATGACTTGGGTCAGGCTCTGTGCCGACTGCTTTACATGCACTGTTTTTACCTAACTTTCAAAAGAACAACAACCACAAACAAACAAACAAAAACCACGGAGTGAATGCTGCCTTTAATTTAACCGGCCTTTACCCACCCGAAGTCTGAGGCCTAGAGAAATAAGCAATTTGTCCGAAGTCACAGGGTTGCTTTTAGCGGAGTCCTGAGAAAGCATCCCGAAAGCCATCCATCCATCCACCCACCTCTTCGCTCTAGGCTACTCAGGTGAACGCCGGTCCAAGGGAGCTCGCGGGTAGCGGTCCCTTATTGAGAGTGCTCACAGTGTTGAACACTTACGGTAACGGCGGTCCGGCTGACGTCGGGTGCCCCGCGCGTCACCCTGTGACCCGCACGCGTGATGCTCACGTGCACCGTCGTCCTCCCGCTTCCTTCGGGAAGGCTGAAGCAGCCTTAAGTCCACCGAGGCTGGGGGGGGGGGGGGGAGTCTGGGACGATACTCTCCGGGTTGGATTCCTTCTGCCTGAACATCTGATCGGAAGGCCCGGAGGGCGGGGAGGCGTGGGCGGGGCCGGACCTCAGAGCAGGTTTCTGATTGGCTGGGAGGGGGGATCGGGCGGAGCCTGGCGGCGGTGGGCGGAAGCGAGAAGCCGCAGCTACCGCGTAAAGCCTTTGGCTTCTTGGAGCAACCGCCCGCCGCCTGGGAAAGCCGGCGCTGCTCCTGGCGGCGGCTTCGGGCCGAGCGGGGTGAAGCGGAGGCCGGGGTGGCGGGAGGCCGGCGGGGCCGGGGCGGGAGGCGAAGGTAAGGGAGGCAGCGTGGCGTGGGCCGGCGGGGCCCCGCAGTGGGAGGAAGGCCGGCGTGGGACGCCGAGCAGGGCGGGAGGGATGGCGAGGGCCCGAGCGAGGCTCCGCGGCCGAGGCTCGCCCAGGGGGCTCCTGAATGCCTGCTGGCCCTGTGTGGTGGGACAGGGTGGGAGCTGGCCGGGCCACCTCCTGCAGAGGCTTCCTTGGCACACCGGGAGTTCTCTTGCTCCTCTGTTTCCCTAGTGCCCGAACTTGTTTCGGAGGTGGACCGTCTTCTTTTCCTCTGAGCGGGTGAGCTCAGTCTCGGGGGGTGGTGCAGCCCCAGGCTGGGAAAAGAAAGTTCAGACCCACAGACACCATTCCAAACTTGGCGTGTGTCCATCAGCTTGAACGCTCGTTTCTGACTTTGAGGTTCTTTCGCTTCGACTTTGTGTTTTTTTGAGGAAGAGACTTGGTTTCCCAGCCAGCAGTCGATCCCCCTTTCCCAAGAAAGGATGGAAATGAAACTTTTGATGGATGCGCTTAGGAATTTAGGGTCGTCTGTCCTATTCAGGTTCTTAAGACATCCAGGGCAGGTGCAAATTCTGTACAAAGCAGGTTATTGCTGTGTCTCTTGTGTGTTATGTGTTGAATGATAAAGGTTGATTCATTCGGTGCATCTTGTGTTGGTTTTATTGACAGAAGAGGTAGGCGCCTAGCAAATCACCCCGTCTTGTTTCCCATTTATTTGAATCTTTCTGCCTCTCCTGTACTACTACTTTTCCTGTCACTCCCCAGGAAGAGGGAGGGAAGGAGGGAGGGACTCTTAGGTTTTTTTTTCTCTTAGGTTCAGACTTGTGACAAAGACAAAGGTCAGGCCTTTTTTGAGAAGCAAGACTAATTTCCTGAGGTTTTTTTTTTTTTTTTTCTCCTTTCTCTCCCTCTTTCTTCCTTTTTCTGGAAAAGTTACAGGGATCACACAGTGGTTTTCCTTTAGTGTTTCTGTTGTGCACGGGTCAAAAATGAACAAAAACCTTTTCTTGATGGGAGCGACCATCATTCATATTCAACTGTCCTGCGTTAATAGATAACGTTTGACTAGGCTGACACTTGGATTTTCACCTAAAGCTTTTATATGAGCTGATGCATCAAGTTATTTTCTACACTTTAATAAGTGGACGCGTTTACTGATTTGCTTCACCAAGATACTGTGTAGCAAGTCTGCATATACCATGCTCTCCTTGCAGTAAAAAAAGAGACACGTAGTTGGTGACACTGCAGAAGTCGTTGGATAAGTAGGTTAATATTTCTAATTATGCATGCAGAAAAAGCCATGCTTTACAGCATAAACAGTTATTATGCTGCTAAAAATCAGAGTTGTAATTTTTTTGGATGCTGGTGGCATGTAATTATTAAGATTAATTCTATGTGATTATATTTATGTTTTGGAGACGGCACTTGGTCCTGTGCTTTCATGCTAATTTTTACCTTCATATTTCCAAAGCTTATTGAAAGTTGTGGCTATAGACAACTTTTAGAAGTAATTCTAAGACTCCTTCGCCAGATGTGTCAACGTGCTTTTGTTGGTACTTTAGTGGAATTGGAATAGGCTGTGTTTAGAAACACGAGGGTTTTTAGTGCCATCACATCCTTCCCTCTGGTGGTCTTTAAGACAAAACCAAACCAAACCTTGAGTTTTTATTTGATCAGTCACCATCTTAACCCTTTATGGTGGAGCATCAATTATTATGATAGTTGTATTGGCTGCTCTTGTATCAACTTGACACTAGCTAGAGTCTTCTGAAAGGAGGGAACCTCACTTGAAAAATGCTTCCATAAGATGGGCCTTTGGCAAGCCTGTAGGGCATTTTTTAGTGATTGATGGGGAAGGGCCAGCCCATTGTGGGTGGTGCCATTCCTGGGCTGGTGGTCCTGATTTCTATAAGAAAGCATGCAGCCTGAGCAAGCCTTGGTGAGCTCACAAGTAAACTGTTCTTCCTCATGGCCTCTGCATCAGTTCCTGTCTCCAGGTCCCTGCCCTGCTGACCACCTTTGGTGGTGATGAACAATGGTGTGGAACCTTTCTGCCCCAAGTTACTTTGGTCATGGTGTCATCATAGCAGTAGTAACCCTAACTAAGACAGTACCTCGTGTCATCTCCCCAGTGGAACATGATATTGGAGGTTCCTTCCCTGGCCTCCCTCTTTTCCCTGCCTCTTCCTTCCCCTACTCCATTGCGGTTCTCTACTCCTTTCTCCCCCATCCCTTCCAATAAGTGCTTGTTGGCACAATCTCAGCCAAACTAGTGGTTTCATTTCTGCTTTAATTTACTAATCAGTAGTATTAATAATCTGGGGAAATCTTGAATGTTAAGAGGACACAGCTAGAATTGGAAGTGTGAAGAGCTACAAAAATAATTTTGATCACTAGCAGACAGTTGAGAATTTTGTAGCAGGACTTGGCGTATAGTCACAGGTCTATTACTGACCGGGCTCTGATCCACCCAAAGAAGATTGCTTTAGGTTTGGTGTACCTTAGTTGCTGCAGCTGTTGAACGCAATAATAAGGCTAACTTATGTGACTTCCAGAGTACTGAGGAAATAAAATGAACTGATAGGATTTTGAAGGAGAAAACCTTTTAGAAGTGTGTGATGTCCGTCTTTGTATAGATTATAACCTGTAGCATCCCAATGGCTAACACACCAGAGGATACTTGTCTTTAAATTTTCACTCTAAAGCGGGGGAAAGCCTCAGTGCCTTTCTGTGACTTTCATTTGGTGATTAAACTTAACTGCTTTGACCAATTACGGTTTTTTGGTTATTTAGAGACAGAAATACCTTTAAGAAGGTCATTACCTTAATATCTTTGGAGTTTAGGCTTAAAGTGGGGGAGATGTGGGAATCCCAAGTTCATGTCTATGAGGGCAGAACGGACAGCTTTTTGATCGAATACTTGTCACATGCACTGCCAGAGCTAATTGCTCAGATTTCGTAGAGATGTCATAAGAGGTGACTGATTTTCTTTTCTTGAGATACGTAAGTAAAATAAGGCTGAATAGTTTATGTTATATAAAGTCAGTTTCCCCTATAACTTTAAAAGGCTATTAAGTATTGTTTTTTCCCCCCCATAAAAACCACACACACACACACACACACACACACACACACACACACACACACACACAAACACACACGATATAAACGATGGGAAAATTTTTTGTCTGCTCACATTTATGCCTTACCTGCAAAGTTTTAATTAACTTTAATTGTAAAAATAATTAGAATGGTAATCTTTGAAATTAGGTTGGCCCGTATAGCCATAGTTTTAAGTGTGGAGGCTGTTTTCATCTAGACCTCAGTGTTTTTAATCCTGAATTTGGATATGTGGAAATAGATTTCATTACTCTTTGGTGTTTATTGACATGAATTATCACACCGTTGGGCTGTGTGGGTATTTGCCTGTTCTTCGGACAGTGTCTAAGGACCTTTCATGTTTTTCCCTCCTTCGTTCTAGACTCATGAAATGGCCACAGATGATAAGAGGTCCCCGACACTGGACTCTGCTAATGATTTGCCTCGCTCCCCCACTAGTCCTTCTCATCTCACTCACTTTAAACCCTTGACTCCTGACCAGGATGAGCCCCCCTTCAAGTCAGCATATAGTTCTTTTGTAAATCTTTTCCGTTTTAACAAAGGTAAGGTTTAGTTCTACAAATCAGAAAATGCGGTTTTGATTCTCTGCATTCAGTGTTGTGCTGTGTTGTTACAAGGAAGTGAAATGTTAACAAGGTGGTAGCTTTAACCACAGGTCACTAAATCTTCAGAAGGAAAAGGTGGCATTTCATTGTAATCTGATTAATTATTTGTGTGAATTGAATTTAAAAAGGTTGAAGGCTTCTTTTTGGTTTTTCGTGACAAAGTTTCTCTGTGTAGCTTTGGAACCTGTCCTGGAACTCGCTCTGTAGACCAGGCTGGCCTCAAACTCACCTGCCTCTGCCTCCCAGAGTGCTGGGACTAGAGGTATGTGCCACCACCACCCAGCTGAAGGAGGTCCTTTTAAAAGAGAAAGCAGTTTTTCCACATTTTTTTCTGTTAATATGCTTCAACTTTATACCTTTACAAAATGAAACTTATTTTGAGGAAGGTGTTAATAACAAAAAGATTTTAATTAAGGAAATAAAATTAAACAGCAGTGCATGGTTTATATGTTTAACAAATTAGAAGCTGTCAGCAGGCCTGTTGAGATTTAACACTCATTGGATTAAGTTGTAAATGATAGCAAATGAACAATTAATTTAAAAATGAGTTCTTGAATAGTATATTATTTATTTTTTACCAGGAAGAATTAAAAAAAAATAGCCATATATTGCCCTTAATTTGCCCCCCTCCCCTTTTTTTTCTGTTGCAACAAGGGTCCAGTTTTTAGCCCATGCTGAAACTCACTATGTAGCTCTGACTAGCCTTGGTCCTGAGAGCTAGGATTACAGGCCTGAGTTACCATGCCTGATTCATTTGTCTTTATTGTTTAAGTGTGCTAGGCAGCAGTTTTCATTGGTGGGTTGCGACCCCTTTTTGGGTTCGCATATCAGATAACCTACGTATCAGCTATTTATGTTATGATTCATGACAGTAGCACAGTTACAGTTCTGAAGTAGCAACAGAATAATTTTATGGTAGGTGGTCAACACAGCATGAGGAGCTGTGTTAAGCATTGTGAAGGTTGAGGACCACTGTGTTTGAAGGTAATCCCCATTTTAAGGAATTTGGTGGGGTTTGATAGTTTCACTCAGTAGAATTTTTTTTTTCCACTTAACTTTCTTTTTTTCTTTTTTTTTAGATAGGTCTGTAGACCAGGCTGGCCTCAAACTCACAGAGATCTGCCTGCCTCTGCTTCCCAAGTGCTAGGAGTAAAGGTATGTGCCACCACACCTGGCCTTCAGTAGAAATTTTAATAGTACAACCTGAATTTTATTAACAGTTTTGTTTAACGGGCTGTAAAAGCTGTTAACACATTTTTAAAGATAGTGATGTTTCTATTTTAAAAAGCAAGCTTTACTTTTTAAGAATAGGTTTAGATTTATGGAAAAATTGAGAAGATATTTGTGTTCCTATATGCCCCATACTGTTTCTTCTAGTATTGATACTTAACATTAGCATGGTAATTTGTTATAATTAATGAACCACTGTTGGTATATTTTGTTAGCTACTGTATGTATTCAGATTTCTTTAGATTCTGTGTAATGGATTCCATCCAAGATAACATTTTACATTTAGTTGTTGTAAGACAATAAATAGTCTTTATTTATTTAGGAAGGTTTAGGAAATAGCTACTAAGCTGGGCACTGTTTGAGCAATACAGAATGATCTCTCCCGTAAACTTATCAAAAAGGCCAAGGTTCTGTGTGAGGCTTGTATTCTGTTTCTTTTAGTATGTTTGCAAAATATCAAATGTAAAGCAGAGCATATAGTTCATGTATACGAAAGGTATGATTGGAATGTAATTTCATTCTGGTTTTTGACCTTTATTTAAAAATTAAAAAGATTTATTTTTATTTTTATGTATATACTTGAGTTTTGTGTATATGTCTGAGTGCCTGAGGAGGTGAGAAGGGGGCTATGGTTATGAGCTGCCTGACAGGGGAGTTGGGAACTGAACAAAGGCTTCAAGAGCAGTATGCCCTCAGTTATCTGTCACCTTCTTGTTGAACTCTGAGCCTTAGCTTTTCAAGTAATACCAAATTTCCTTTGTCACAGAGAGAGGAGAAGGGGGCCAAGGAGAGCAGCAATCTCCGAGTGCAAGTTGGTCCAGCCCTCAGATCCCTTCGAGGACACAGTCTGTGAGGTCGCCCGTCCCTTATAAAAAGCAGCTTAATGAGGAGCTTCAGCGGCGCTCTTCAGTGTTAGGTAAAGCAGCTAGCTGTCTTGTCCTCTGTGTGTGAATTTTCATCATGTGTTTCTAGGTCAGATACTGACAGTTTTCCTGTTACTTGGAGTAGTCAAGTATTCTTTAGACTAACTAAAACTTACTTAGGTAACAAAAGAATTTTTCAACCTGAAACATTCTTCATCATGTCATTAAACTTTGATTATGCAAGCACTGATGTCCTGACTGAATTTTGATGAATTGCTTGCTTGGGTTTCAGCGGAGAACACTTTGCCACATCCCCAGGAGAGCACAGGTTAGTTCCAACTTTACAGGTGGATTCTGCACCTATTCTTGGGATGCTAATGAAGTGTGACGTGCATGCCACTGGCTGCAGAACACTGCCAACTCCACTGGTGGGCTGCTGATTGCTCTTGGCCTGTCTTTGTTGGGGTGCACACTGTCAGTGTGGATACACTGCTTCTCTTGCCTGCTTGTTTTCCATCTTGTTCCACCTCATTCATTTTCATGCTCTTCTGGCGGGTGTGGGCTGGGAATCTGTGTCTCTGTTGGGACTAGCGGTGGTTTATGCTTTCTGTTAGATTGTTAAGCTCAGTGAAGTAGTTGGCTTAACTGGAGGCGGTGGAAGAAGGGCAGTGGCAGTGGTTCCATGGAGAGCAGAGGCTGTAGTATTGGGAATCAAGTGTCCCTAAACTCCTGTCTGTCCTGTCGGGCACTGACTTCCATAAGGTGCTTGGGCAAACAATAGTTGTGTAGTAGTGGTTGGCAGAAGGATGTTTTATTGCTTTTTGAGACTGGAAGGTGGAGGAAGTAGAAATAGAAGAGGAGCTTTTGCTGAAGGGCTAGAACAAAGCTGGCTGTGTCACTTCCACAGGTTTCCTAGGGCAGCCACCTCTGCCCAGCTTACATCGTTTTGAAAGAAAGAGTTGGGAGATGGGGGCAGAGGATTTTCTTTTCATTCCAGATTACCCAAGTTTAACCTTAACCTTATTAAAATCCCCTTAAACCTGACCCATGGCTTAGGAGGATGAGGCAGGAGGATTGAAAATTCAAAGCCAGCCAGTGTAGGTTCCATGGTGAGACTCTATCTTAGGGGAGGAAGCAGAAACAAGTTACAGGAACAAACCTGACTGACCCATGGCAACACTGGGCTCTATTTGAGGACGCTTTTCTGATCAGATTCTATGCTGAATTAAAACATTATTGTCTGAAAGCTTTCATTTATTTCCTTCTTGTTGAACTCCGCATTTAGTTTTCACATAATGCCAAGCTAAAATGGGCCAAAGAGCAGTCTCTGAATTTCTTCACTTGTGAAATTGAGGAGTTGGACTAGAATTCTTATAGTCTTGTAGGGGTTGTAGAGTTGTAGCTTACCAAAATTTGCTTCTGTTGTGGTAAATTTGAACTGTTTATCCATAGGCAGAGCTTGGATGGCCTCCTTCACTGTGGTTTTCACATTCCTTAGTGTCCATCAAGTCCACTTGCTTCTTGGATTTTACTTGGAGGCCCTTGAACTTCAGAAGCTTGGGACTGTTTAGTTCAATATGTTTTTCCCTCACTATGTGTCTAATTCTACAGTTTGGTGGTTCTCCTGTCTTAGGGAAGTTACTTGATTTGCTAGAATCCATTTTACAGATGCAGCAGCTAATGGTATTTGTGTAAGGGCAAGGATCTTTTCTTTCTCCGAGGTCAAGCAGGGTCTCCCTGCTTATTCTTTCCCAGATGAGAATATTGATATTCTTTTCTCTTCCAAGCAGCTAAATGCAAAGGACTTCACACCTTACCGGCTGTGCCAGGGAGCACCACCATTATGATTCTTACAGCTTTGTGTCTCCTTTTAGAATTTATAATCATGGAGAGGTTTTTAATTGTTGTTTAAGACTCAAAACAAATTTAGTTGTTGTAATACATGTTTGTAAACAGTACATCTGAGATCTATGCTGCAATTAAGATAGATACAGTTTAGATGAGGTGTTATTTTAATGATTAAACTGCTTTAATTCTTGATGCGTTTGTATTTATACAGCAGCCTCTTGTTCTTTGCAATCCCTCTCTCCCTCTCTTGCTCCCCCCAAAAAACTAGTAGAAAACTAGCAAATGGTAAGATAGATTCAGGATGGGATACTTTCCATTTTATAGTAATTGATCTTCTCTGTAGGGCATACCTTTTAGATCCCCAAGTAGATGCTTAGAGCCATAGGCACTTTCAAAGCCATAATATATGACTTTTTTCCACTATTGAAACCTATGATAAGGTTTAATTTATAAATTAGACCAAGAGATTAATAATAGTAATGCTAAACTAGCACAATTGTAACAATGTAGTAAAGTCATCTGAATGTGATCTGTTTCTGCTGAGCTAAGACATGTTAATGTTTTCAGACTGTATGACTGAGGGTAACTGAAACCTTGGGAAATAAAACTGAGATAGGGAGGGGTTATGTAAGTTGCGGGGGACTCCACAGGTTGTTAGGTTAATGTGCTTAAGCTAATAAGGAAGTTCATCTTTTTTTGTCAAGCCACTTTCATTTTCCTGAGGGTTTGAAACTCTTGTAGAATAGATAGAAACTTCGTTTGTGATTTTTGTCTAAAATAAGAAGAGAATAGGTGCAGCTATGGTAATTGTACTCCATTCTGGTCACAAAGCTAGAATTTGGGCTTCTTTTATTATCAGTAGACTTGGTTTCATATTGTTATTTCAAATGTAAGTGATCCCTTGGAGTGTGGAATCGCAGGGTTGAGAAGGTGGTGGGTGCAGATGTTGGTGTGGGTTGGGGGAGAGTTGGGTTGAAGCTTTGGCAGTTTTCATTTGCTTGGACATTGGTCATATATTGTTGTCCTGGTTGTAAAGCCTGCTGGGATCCTTGGAGGGCTGGTCTATAAAACTTTGTGATGATCTGCTATGGAACAGATCAGTTTGGTCCTATTCCTTACCTATTTGACTTTTAGACCAAGTTAAATTAACTCTCTGGGGTTACTTTTCCTTCTGCTCAATGTCTGCCAGGTGTTTGTTACGTATTTGCTTGGGAAAAAAGTGTGCAAGAAATCATTAATGAGTTCTGGGCATGTAAGTGATGCTTCCATTTCAACCTTCAAAACCATTAATCATTTCTTAACTGTTCAAGTGTTCATTAATCATTTCAGATAGTTCTTAGTACTTAACTACATGTAAAATAGTAGTTTGTGTCTAATAAGACATACTTGAAACAACTTATTACTCTTGATAAAGATCAGTTTTAATTCTCAATCAGTGTTAGTGGCTGGGACAACACATGTTTGCTAACAATAGGGGATGATTTGTATTATATCACACCCAAACATACACAGACATAATGTTTGCTATGGTTACTAGAAACTTAAAAAAATCATTATTTTTTTTAAAAATCTGAATCAGACTCAAGAAGGAAAGCAGAACCAGCCTTTGGAGGTCATGACCCACGTACAGCTGTTCAGCTTCGAAGCCTCAGCACAGTATTGAAGCGCCTCAAAGAAATCATGGAAGGGAAAAGCCAGGTACTGTAGTGGCCTTGGGAGAGTTGTATTAAGCACTCATGGAGATCATGTCATACTCACTGACAACGGCATCATGTCACTTAAATGAAAGGTCATTACTTCTGATTCTGAACACCAGAGTTATACACGTGAATTCTTAATTTTTTTAGTGTCGTCTATTCCTTCTTTTTTGTTCTTTTTATATTTTCAGTGTTTGCTTTTCAGACCAAGATGCTCACCTGTGGTTTTGTCAGCAAGCTTTATTATTTTTGTTCAAAAATAGGGTTCATGTTTTCCTTTGTCCCCATAGATGTCTGGTTGGACCTAGTACATTGTTTTTAGAAAGCCCTTCCTTCCTTCCTTCAGTGGTTACATTATAACTCATCATAATTCATACACTGTGCAAGCATGCCACTCTTCCCTGTACTATGGTTCCATTTTTTTTTCATGTTCTGTACTAATACTCTGCCTAGAGTTATTGTAGCTTTAGAATAAGTTCTGATAGCGGGTGATAGAAGTATGTCAGTTTTTTTTCTTCGAGATTGTCTTGGTCATTTTAACCTTTTGGCATTCCGTCTGAATTTTAGAACTGGCTTGTCATTTGCAAAAGACACCTTCTAAGATTTCATTTGTCACTCCAACTTCATGCTCATGATTTTGAAGAGCTGTCACACGCTCTTGTTGTTGTAGGACAGTGACCTGAAGCAGTACTGGATGCCAGACAGCCAGTGTAAGGAGTGTTACGACTGCAGTGAGAAGTTTACGACCTTCAGGCGCAGGCACCACTGCAGGTTGTGCGGGCAGATTTTCTGCAGCCGTTGTTGTAGCCAGGAAATCCCTGGCAAGTTTATGGGCTACACAGGTAAGTGTATTCCCTTAGCAGTGCCTAGTTAAAAGTCAGTTATGAAAGAGTTCAGTAGAAGACCAATGTTAAGCCATTTTTAAATTTTGGGTTTTATATCTATGGTAGCAGGGTGTAATAGAAAGAGAGACCGAGCTTTGATTTTAAGAACTTTATATTTGAATAGTGGAAGAGGTGAGAGTATTCATAAATAACTAGAGTGAAAACATAGATATGTAAAAATCTATAGCAGCATTAGAGGTTATTAGATAAGTCGATTTTAAATTTATATTTCTGTAGAGTTTTTATTCACAAAGTAAAGGTTGCCCTTGACTTACATCATAGTGTACTTTGGCAAATTGTATTTTTATTCGTATTATTTAATTGGGAATGTAGTGAAATTGTAGTAATGGAGAAAGATCAAGGACATTGAAACACGATGAGTGGAATTATGCAGTGATTTGGGAATGGAAGGTAAGACTGTTTGTTTTGTTTTACTAGTCTTAACCTTACAGTCTTCCTTTCTTAGCTGTTCAAGTGCTGAGTATACAGAGAAGCATCGCCACCCTGGCAGTTTAAAATTTTATTTACTTATTTGTTTGTTTGTTTATGGTGCTGGATATCAAACCCAGAGTCTTTTGCATGTTAAATAATCACTGTGCTACTGAGTTGTATCCCCAACTCAAAAGAACACTCTTAACATGTTTCTCAGGTTATACCAGTTTCTGTAAAGATCTTCCTTATTTTTCTTATTTTTTAAAAAGTTTATATGGATTGGTATTTTGCCTTCATGTATGTCTGTGTGAGGGTGTTGGATCTCCTGGAACTGGAGTCACGGACATTTGAGAGCTGCCATGTGGGTGCTAGGAAATGAACCCTGGTCCTCTGGAGGAACAGTCAGTACTCTTTAACCACTGTCCAGCCCAGTCTTCCTTATTTTTTATGTCTGTCTTCATAAACAATTCTCTTCTCTTAACTCTGTTCTTACTGCCAATTTGTACAGTTCATGAGCTGGGAATTTGAATCCTTAGGCTCACCCCTTTTCCTACTTTGTGTTGTACGTTTAGGAGCAGTGAATCTTATACTTGTTATTTTAACAGGAGGTTTGTCAAGTATTAACCTGGGCACTGTCAGTATTCAATTAAGATCTAGAGTTACTGTCTTGCAAGTCTTTATTGACCTAACACTTCCCTCAGTGTTCGTTTTACTGTTGGAAATACTCACTAATGTTTTTATTTTTCTTTAATTTTTAAAGATTTATTTATTTGCTTGCTTGCTTATTTATTTATTTATTTATTTATTTATTTATTTATTTATTTATTTATTTATTTATTTATTTATTTATGTGCACGAGTGTTTTGCCTGAAAGTATGATATATGTGCACTATGGGTATGCCTAATGTTCACAGAAGTCAGAAGGGGGCATTGGATCTCCTGGAATTGGAGTCATGAATGGTGCTGGGAATTGAACCTGGGTCCTCCTCAAGAGCAACAAAAGCTCTTAACCATCAAGTCATCTCTCCAGCCCTTTTCCTAATGCTTTTAAATTGAATCTAATTAGAGAACCAATTTCAGAAACTTCAGAGCCAATTCAGAAAACTTATCCCTAAGATCCTGTGTCTATAAAACTATTCTTGCACTGAATCAGTATAGTTAGGTTTCTCTAGAGAAGTGGAACCAATGGGTGTGGTGACAGGTTTACCTGTTGTCAAGGAATTGGCTCAAGTCCTTGTGCAGCTGGTAAGTCTGAAGTTAACCGGGTTAGTCAGCAGGGTGGAAACTAGGCTTTCCATCTTTCAGTGCTGAGACAGAGTTCCTTTTGCTGTTGGAAACTTCAGTCTTTGTACTCGAGGAAGCCTCAGTTGATTAGGATGAGAGTCATACGATGGATGGTTGTCTGCTGTCAAAGTCAACCATAAGTGTCATTAACACCGGAAAAACAACAAAACCACACGAGCTGCTAGTGTTTGAACAAAAGTTTGTTTAGTCAAATTGAACCTTAAGGTTAGTCCTTATAAGTGAAAAATATATGTTGGACACAATTACAGGCTAAGACTATGAATAAATGTAAAATATCTAGAATACTGATAGAAAAATCAATGAATTGGCCTGGTGATGGTACATGCCTTTAAGCCCAGCACTCAAGAGGCAGAGATAGATGGATCTCTCTGAGTTTGAAGCCAACCTGTCTATACAGTGAGACATTGTCTCAAAAAAATAGAAGGAAAATATTGCACAAATCCTAAATGGTCTTATAATAAAAACACAGAGCCAGATATCAGGATGAAAGCTGAAAGATTAGAGGAAACAAGCCTCTAGAGAAACTTCTTACCACTACCGAATCCTCAGGCCAGAAGGAGTGAGATTCTGTTTCCACGAATCCTCAAACTGAATGCCTCCGAGTCCTCAGATGAAAAGGGCCTAATTCCCATCTTCTTATGCCTTATATGCTTTTATCCACTCAGCCATTTCATTTCCTATCCCAACCTTTCTAGTGCTGGGATTAATGGCATGTGTGCTTCTCAAATACTGGGATTAAAGGTGTGTGCCACCACTGCCTGGTTCTGTTTCTCTCCTAGCCTAGATCAATCTCATGTAGCCCAATGTGGCCTTGAACTCACAGAGATCCAGATGGATCTCTGCCTTGGCCTCCAAAGTGCTAGGATTAAAGGTGTGTGCCACCACTGCCTGGCTTCTGTGTTTCTAGTGGCTGGCTCTGTCCTCTGATCTTCAGGCAAATTGATTTGTTAACGAGTAAAACAAAATATCACCACAGGAAAATCGTGAATTTTATACAGAATCAGTGAGAATTAAGCTGTAATTATTGGTTTTAATAGCAGTAATACCTGCATTTATCATGCAGTTTTTAAATTACATATATGTCAGTTACCTTCAGTGAACTATAAATTCTGTAATGGCAGGGATGTGTCTCATCAATCTTTGCCATTAAACAATTCTAGGCACGTGTTCATCCTTTGCTGATGAATGAACATTCTTCACAGAGTGAAAGCTTTTGTGGTTAGGCTTGAGGCTTGGCTTTGTTCTTGATTGGATAATTTTAGTTTCAATGGTTGACTGGCTAAGGTAGTTTATCATTTATAGTCTAACCTAGTCTTTGCTGTGGTAAAAATTGAAGGTCTTTCTGCAAAGAATAATTTCACTTCCTTAATGCAGTTAAGCTTTGGTCAGTAGTAGTGATTATCATAGCACTCTTATTTATCCTAGACTGAAGTTCACTTTATTTTGTTACTGTTTACTGAGTCCTATTTGAAGTGGGTATATTTGTCTTTATTGAGTTTTATATAAATTTCATCTACTAAAGTGTAATTTTAGGAATTAGTAAACTAGTGACTTTTTATTTTGATTACTATACATACATAATTTGATAAAATAGAATTATTATTATTATTATTATTGTCTTTTTATTTTTTGAGACAGGGTTTCTCTGTGTAGCTTTGGAGCCTTTCCCAGAACTCACTCTGTAGCCCAGGCTGGCCTCGAACTCACAGAGATCCGCCTGCTTCTGCCTCCTGAGTGCTAGGATTAAAGGCTTGTGCCACCACCACCCGACTGATAAAATAGAATTATAATAGTTATCTTAAAATGAGACAATAAAAGTAGTTTAGTAAACTTGGTAGTGGTTTATGGTAAAACATAGTACATTGAACTATTAGAAATATTTTTTGTGTCACTTCAGATTTTTAATATTAATGATAAAATATGGTTGAAGTGTAATTATTAAATAACATGCTATTTAGTGAACAGCTGTTTGTCTTGCTACTTAGTGGTAGGCTAAGTTCTGAGAAATGTATCCTTAGGAATTTTTCTTCTTGTGTGAACATCATAGAGTATACTTAGGATTAGCTAGATAGTAAGTTGCCTCCAGTGAACTATAAATTCTGTAATGGCAGGGAATGGTCTCCTCATTATTAGAACTAAAATTATCAAGTCAAGAAACAGAGCCAGGCCTGACCACAAATGCTTTCATTCTCTAAAGAACGTCCACCTGATGTGCCCCTTCTTTCTGGTGTTTGAGCCCCAGTACCATAGAGCCCCGGGTAGTTCTGAAAGCCTTATCCTCTTGTCTCTACCTACCAGAAGGCCTTATCACCCTGCCTCTGGGCACACGGTGTGTGCCACTCTGTGCAGCTTTCCTTTTGGTTAAGATGGTGCCATCGTGTTGCCAGGCTGTGTTTGTGTAGTCCTCCCAACTTAGTCTTCCAAACACCAACATGGCTCCTCAAAACAGTAAACTCTTACTTTGGTAAGTAGAAAAAAATGATCAAAAATACAACATAGTAAAGATAGAAACAAGTGACCTGGTTGTTTATCATCAAGTGCTATTTAGATTATGTGCTTTAGAGTATCATGACTTACAGATGAGTAAGTTTATTTAAATCAGCCTCGGCAGAAATGTGAATAATGTGCTACCCTGTGACACTATGATCACTGTTGGACCAGGCGATCTTCCAAAACCACTGTCGTGTGATGTGGTCTGTTGTTAACTGAAATGTCATGTGGCGCTTGGTGTACTTTGCCTCTTAGTACACCAGATTGTTATGGGATCACACCAAACAGTGTTTTATAAAAACAGAAGAAATGAAGGACTTTGGGACAGGACTATATCCTAAAAAGGTTTAAAAGTATTAAGAAATGCTGTTTGTCCTCCTAGGAACTATTTCTGTAGTGCTATAGATTGAACTCAGGGCCTCATGCATTCTAGGTAAGCACTCTTATCACCAAACCATACTCTTAGCTAGAACATTTCAGTTCTGTTTCACTATGAATATTTCTTCTAGTTTTAATCCTAAATATCACACTGTATGTAAGACCATTTTCCATTAGTTTTAAAAACTGTGCCCTAGTAGATGGAGGAAATCTTCCAAGACCCTATGCCTAGATGAAGAACTACATGGCTGCTGAGAGGGACAAGTATCTATACGTGTCTTCTCCAGGGACTGGCCCCTGATAGGTTATCCAGCCCCACGCAGTCAACCCTTAACACATACGAATGCATCAGACTGTATTTTTGTGTGTGCGGGTGTGTGCTTGTATGTCTGTGTGTATAACAGTAATTACAGAAGAGCTCGTGAATTTGAGAGGGGGTTGGGGGAAATAGGATGAGCTGAAGTGAAGAGAGGGAAGAGTGGAAATGATGTAAATACAGTACTCACCTATGAGATTCTCAAGAGTTTTTTTAGTTAAAAACATGAGCTCTATTGTGGAGACTAGTCTTCAGGGCTTCATGATAGGGACCTTAATGTTATTTCCTCCTTACTTGTTGCCTAGAGACAATAAGTTGTTTCTGTTGTGTTGGTTATTTACTATATTGAAATCTTTTCTCTTTGAAAGTCCTACCTCTGATAAATTCCTCATTGCATAGATAAAATTTTGAAAAAATATTCTAATAGCCATAATTTTCTGTTATTATTATTGGGTCAAATTTTCTTACCTGTTACAGATACTTGAAGTAATTGGGATGCTTGGATGAATTTACTGTAATAATAAATGTAACATGTACAGCAGACCCAGCCAAGTGTTTCACTTATTTGAAATGTCTTTTTGGTAGTCTTTACTTGAAAACACTTCCTTTTATTAAAGTACCTATTAACACAAAGATTTAAAATATTTTATTAAGTAAAATAATACCTTTCCTTATTACTTTTCCTCCTAGGAGACCTCCGAGCATGCACATACTGTAGAAAAATAGCCTTAAGTTATGCTCATTCTACAGACAGTAATTCCATTGGGGAAGACTTGAATGCTCTTTCAGATTCAACTTGCTCTGTGTCTATACTCGATCCAAGTGAACCTCGGACACCTGTTGGGAGTAGAAAAGCCAGTCGTAACATATTTTTAGAGGATGATTTAGCCTGGCAAAGGTACTGTCACTTGAATATAATTTGATTTAAACTTGAGAAAAGCTTAGTCCTTTGTATTTTTCATTAGCACTTATTTCTTTTTGTTATCTGCAAATTTGCTATTTTTTCCAGTTCATATACAGAAGGATCATAGATGTCTACTTATGGATAGTGATTATATTAACATTCAAATATAAGTGCATGAGAGGAGAGTTTTTATACCTGGTCATATTTACTGTTCTACTATTAAAACCAAGAACAGAATGCATGACATTTGCATGATCTTCGCAATATTTGTTGGTTAGGCAACAGAAGTCATTGATACTAATAATTCCTAATGTAGTCTTAGAGAAAGGAGAGCACTCCTAAGATCTGAATTTGTTTTCAAATTCAGCTAGTTTTTTTTTTTCCTCTTCTGAAGGAATATTTGCCATGTTTATATCTGGAGATGCTTTGTTGGCTGATTGTAGATAAACAAACTTCCTTGGAAGTTACCTAGAATTATTCTCACTGGAATCCAAGGTTCATCACTTACTTTCTTTAGGAGAATAATCTTTTTACACATGAGTCTCAGTTTTTCCATGTCAACGAGCTTAGAGTTTTAACTAACTTTTTTTTTTTTTGTTTTGTTCTGGTTTTTGAGACTAAGACAGGGTTTCTCTGTGTAGCCCTGGCTGTCCCGTAACTCACTCTATAGACCAGGCTGGCCTCCAACTCAGAGATCCACACCTGCCTCTGTCTCCCAAGTGGTGGGATTAAAGGCATGTGCCACCACACCCAGTTTAACTAACATTGTTCTGATGAGTAATTTTCTTAGTTACTTCTTAACAAAGAGAAGAATTAGTCTATTGCATATTTAAAAAGAAATGAATTACAACTTCAATTACAACTTCAATTACAAATTCAGCATATGTGAGCCCAGGGACATAGTAGAAAAGAAAGTCACAAATCATATAAGCACTAAGATTCTAATTATATATTGTTCAGAAATACATAAATGAAGATAAATGCCCAGGGATACAAATGCTGTAATTATTAGTTACTTGTCTCATGACTGTAACAAAATCCCTAACAGAAGCAACTTCTTTTTTTTTTTTTTTTTTTTTTTTTTTTTTTTTTTTTTTGGTTTTTCGAGACAAGAGTTTCTCTGTGTAGCTTTGCGCCTTTCCTGGAACTCGCTTTGTAGACCAGGCTGGCCTCGAACTCACAGAGATCTGCCTGCTTCTGCCTCCCGAGTGCTGGGATTAAAGGCGTGCGCCACCACTGCCTGGCCAGAAGCAACTTCTAGAAGAAAGGACTTATTTTGGCTTACAGTTTCAGGGAATACGGTCCACCACGGCAGAGGAGGTATGGCAGCAAGAGGGGAAGGTGGCTAGTCACCTCGTGTCCACAGTCAAGAGACAGCTGTGAATGCCTGTGCTCAGTTCCATTTCCCCTGTTATTCAGAAAGGGACCCCAGTGTATGAGGTGCTACTGCCCACATTTACAGTGGGTCTTTCCACCTCAATTAACTTAATCTAGATAATCCTTCCCAGACATGTCTGGGGAGCGTTTCAATGGTGACAGTTAAGACTAATCATAACAGTGATAATCATATAATTTTTAATAATGGTTTCACTAGGATTAGGGAAAGGTTGGTACTGGGTAGGGGAACACAGACTCTTCAAAATAGCGGTAATTGAGTCTTCTCTGTAAGTTGTTTGATGGGTCATACTATATCTTATATACATTTTATAAACTTAATTGATTCTATATTTACTAAAACAAAAAAGCTATGTATTCTTTATATTATTTATGGTTAGCAGTACTTATTATTTGTGTGTGGTCCAGTTATGTGATCTCAGAATTGGCAAGTATGATTTAGTAACACATCGTGAGAGACAGAAGTTGGACTCAGAGATGGAGTACTACTTGAGTTTTCGGCTCTGTGTTAACAGTTTCATGTCCATTCTCCTTTTGTCATTACATCGTAGGAAAGACTTTCTTTTTTTGACGGATGTGGGTGCTGAAGTTCCGAAAGGTTGAGTAGTGAATCTGAGCCCACACACCTAGTTAAGATAGGCCCTGTGGCTCGTCTGACTCTTTGCTGCTATTCTTAGGAGTTGTGGGGACTGAGAATAGAATTTTGGAACACAGATTTTTTATACAAATCACTATCATCTTCTATGTGTGGTGTGTAAATGAGTTTTATAAATCCCCTGTACAACCAGATTTGGGGTTTTATTGACTTTCAGTACATTTAAAACATCAATTTTTGATACTAGAGGTGAAACTGTGTACTTTTTTGTTTGTTTGTTTTTTGAGACAGGACTTCTCTGTGTAGCCCTGGCTTTCCTGGAACTCGCTCTGTAGACCAGAACGGCCTCCTCTGCATCCTGAGTGCTGGGTTAATGGTGTATGCCACCACTGTCCAGCAAAACTGCACTTTTTTTTTTGTCTCAAATAAAGTAAGGACAAAAATGAACTGTATACCGGGTGGTGGTGGCGCACGCCTTTAATCCCAGCACTTGGGAGGCAGAGACAGGTGGATCTCTGTGAGTTCGAGGCCAGCCTGGGCTACCAAGTGGGTTCCAGGAAAGGTGCAAAGCTACACGGAGAAACCCTGTCTCAAAAAAAAAAAAAAAAAAAAAAAAAAAAAAAAAAAAAAAATGAACTGTATATAATCTCATTGTTGTAGGGAAAAATACTTAATTTGCTTTAAAATTTTGGAGCACCTGATTGCAGCCCCAAATGATCCCAGTATTTTCATTTTCTTTATAGTTTGATTCATCCAGACTCCTCAAATAGTGCTCTTTCAACAAGACTTGTATCTGTTCAAGAGGATGCAGGGAAATCTCCTGCTCGAAACAGGTAAATCGCCAATAAAAGCTGCTCTGGTTTCTGTTTCTGTCCCTAGTAATGAGAACAAACGTAAAGATGGCGTCAGAGCTCTGTTAGTCGACCCTTTCTTTGCTTGGTAATTCCTCTTTCAGTTATTCTCTGGTGAGTTCAGATAGTGGAACCTGTTTTCTGTCTTCTCGTTTACTACGATGGCCTGAAGGATGAGAAAGTGAGGCATGTAGACATTCTGTGCAAGGGTGCACCAAGAAAGCGGAGTGACAGATGCTCAAGAGGGAGCACAGCTGGTAGGAGTGTAGGAGGGCCTGTGTGCTGCAGTAGAGTGTGTCAGGACGGATGATTGGCCAGGGCCTTTTAATCTAGTCTCAGATCAGGAGCTATGGGAATTAAAACAATTTTTAATTGCTTTGTAAAATTTGAAAATTGTAAAAGACTTTCAAGAATAGGGAAACAAATGTCCATAAGACATTAAAATGTCCATTAAGACATACTTACATTTTATTTATTTTGATACATTTTATATAATACATACTTTTAAAGAAACCAAGAGTAATTGCTGGGAGTCATGTGACTTTTTGGGGTGAAAAGGCCTGAGAATAGCATGGACAAATTCTCTTTGTGGCAAGGCCCTGGAGAATCTGACCCATATTGGCAAGACTGATGGATAGTTCGCTGCATAATTCTGAGCATGACCCCAGGAACATATGTGCTACTTGCTCTCCTTCTTTCCTTCCTTATACGAATCATATTGATGGCTGTTTCTAGTTTCACTTTCTCAGAGCTATGGATAAAATAGCTATTACAAAAGGAAAACTTCCCCCTGATGACTCTCCTCTGGGTGAGCCAGAGGCAATGTTGCTAAAAATATATAGTGGGTCTGATTCAGCCTGTAAAGCCTTTGTTGTTTCAAGTATGACCATAATTCAGGCTTTTTAGAACAGGATGTTGCCTTTCCAATGCACCCTGTTGTAGTTGGAAGGTTTCTCTGGTCCCTCCCGGCCCTGCAGTCCTGCAGCTGCTTATAAAATAATCATTCAGAGTCTTAATATTATTTACAAACTGTATGAGCTATGGCAGGCCTTTTGCTAGCCAGCTTTTCTATCTTAAATGAACCCATTTCTATTAATCTATGTTTTGTCATGTGTTCTGTGGCTTCCTGGTCTGCTGGCATGTTGTTCCTTGGCAGCAGGCTGGGGTCTCTCTTGCCTCTCTTTTCTTCTTGACTCTCTCTTGGATTTCCTGCCTGGCTACAACCTGACTCGCCATAGTCTAGAGCAGCTGCTTCTTTTTTTTTTTTTTTTTTTTTTGGTTTTTGGAGACAGGGTTTCTCTATGTAGCTTTGCGCCTTTCCTGGAACTCACTTGGTAGCCCAGGCTGGCCTCGAACTCACAGAGATCCGCCTGGCTCTGCCTCCCGAGTGCTGGGATTAAAGGTGTGCGCCACCACCACCCGGCGAGAGCAGCTTCTTTATTAACCAGTCATAGCAATGCATATTCACAGCATACATAAAGACATCCCACAGCACCCTGTGACTACCCTGAAAGAGTTAAAGTAGTTTAAGATAATATACAAATTTGCATAACTGTTCTGGTGAGAATGATTTTAATCAGAAGAGTCTAGGAGAAATGCTAATAAATAGATAATATCAGGAATTAATGGGAACAGTCTAGGAACAGGGAGTGAAACAGTATCATAGAAATCCACAGTGCCCTCACTTCTAATAACTGTGCCAGTACTGTAGGAAATTGACAGGAAAAGAACACGAGAAAAGGAGATAAGCAGTGCCAACTACTAAGGGTAAGCTTTTAAGTTGTATAGTTTACAGGATAATAGGAGAAAACCTGGTATATCCCCCATAGGGGATAGAGTAGTACAGAATGAAGAATGAATTGATTCAGCCTTGACTGATCAGTTAATTGTGAGAAGGTAAATTTGACTAGAGGTAAATATTAACCACTAGAGGCAAAACTCTCTTTCACTCTGCATGACACTGTAGCTGCAAAAGCTTCCAACTGGGCACACTGTTCTACCTGTAGGTGTGCCTAATTAGAACACTTCCTTTGTTGCTTGCAACGCTGCTTATGTTTCTCACAGGGCTATGAATCAAGTAGTTTTGAAACAGGTGGTCATAGTTTTCTTCACTGTGCTGACTTCACACATCCACCCCAGGTCATTGAACCCGTCTGGAATTAGACTTCCAGGAGGTAGTGCCATCATTTTCTAATTTTTCAGTTAATAGGTTTGAAAAATGTTTTTTATGTTTGAGACAGGATCTTGCTGGCCTCAGACTCACTGTGTAGTCCAGGCTGGTTTCTAATCACAGTTCTAGCTCAGCTCTCTGAGTGCTGGGATTGTAGGCATGAACTGCTTATATCCAGCTGAGAATTCTTTTTTGTTTTTTTTTAATAGCAGTTCTAGCTTCATAGTAAAATTGAGCAGGAACTTGGAATCATACATCATGTATATATACAAATAATGATTTCTTTCAGTTAGTAATGTGTACTTATATAGTCGAAAGTTTTTTCCTGTCCCGCCCAGCCCCACAGTCCCGTAGCCGCTTATACAATAATCATTCAGAGGCTTAATATTATTTACAAACTGTATGGCCTGTGGCAGGCCTCTTGCTAGCTAGCTCTTATATCTTAAATTAACCTATTCCTATTAATCTGTGTTTTGCCATGTGTTCCGTGGCTTTACCAGTCTGCTGGCATGTTGCTCCTTGGGCGGCAGGCTGGCGTCTCCCCAGACTCTGCCTTTCTCTTTCCTGTCTCCTTAAATTTCCTGCCTGCCTCTGAGCTGCCTTACCATAGGCCAAAGCAGCTTATTTATTAACCAATGGGAACAATATATATTCACAGCATACAGAAGACATCCCCCAGCACACTTAAGTTTCCTCAATAACTTTTCATGGCTTACTACATAGTTTTCTCTGTTGCTAAGCAATATTCCAGTTCCTAGATGTGCTGTAGTTTATATGACTACACCTTCTGAAAGACATCTTGGTGGATTCCGTGTTTTAGCAGTTATATAGAAGGCTGTGAAAAATCTGTGTGCAATATTTATTTATTTATTCATTCATTCATTCATTCATCTATTTATTTATTTATTTATTTATTTGTGAAATGAGTCTCATTATGTTTCTCTGTTTATCCTGGGACTTACAGATTTCCACCTGTTCATGCATACTGAGTGCTGAGATTAAAGTTGTACACCACCGTACTCAGCTCTATGTAGTTTTAAGTTGATTTGGGTAAATACCAAGAAGCATGATTGTGGGATCATATAGAAAGAAGATGATTAATTTTGTAAGGGATCGTCAATTGTCTTCCAAAACTGTTATTGCCATTTTGCATTTCCACAGACAGTGCACGAGAGTTCCTCTTGTTCCACACCATTTTCAGCATTGATGTTGCCAGTGCTTTGTAATAGGTGTGTAGTGGTGTCTCATTGTTTAAAGTTGCCATTTCCTGATATGAGTTGAACATCTTTTCATTTGCTTACTTACCATGCATGTATCTTCTTTATAGAGGAGTCCATTTCATGATCACATTGGTCATTTCTTTCACTGTTGAGTTTATATGTATAGAATTTTATATATATAAAAAGTTTTTATATATATATATATAATTAATATTATATATATTTTGAATCAGAATTCTTTATTAGTTAGGTGGTGGTGGTGGTGCATGCTTTTAATACCAGTACTTGGGAGGCAGAGGCAGGCAGGTTTCTGTGAGTTCCAGGCCAGCCTGGTCTACAGAGTGAGTTCTAGGACAGCCAGACATAGAGAAACCCTGTCTCGAAAAACGAAAACAAACAAACAAACAAACTCTTTATAAAATGTGTCATTTGCAAATATTCTTTCATGGTGGCTTCTCTTTTCATTTTTTTTTGACGTTGTTACGGAGCATAGGTACTTAATTTTAATTCTAGTGTGCCTTTGGTGTTATATCTAAGTAGCTATCACTGTATCCAAGGCCAACTAGCTTTGTTCCTGTATTATCTTCTAGGTGTTTTGTAGTCTTGCATTTTACATTTCGGTTTGTGATCCATTTTATTTATTTATTTATTTATTTGCTTATTTATTTATTTGCTTATTTATTTATTTGTGACTGGCATAATGTTGTTTATATTTCTTTTTGTATGTGTTTATCCATTTGATCCAGTATCTCCTATTGAAAAAAATCATCTTTGCTTTTTTTTTGCCTTTGTTCCTTTGCTAGAGGTCATTTGACTATATTTTGAGGGTCTGTTCTTGAACTCGGTTGTGTTTTATTGACGTGTTTGTCTTTCTGTTTACCAGTGTCTTACAATCTTGATGACTGTAGTTTTATAGTAAGAAGTCTTGAGCTCAGGTAGTGTCAATTCTCCACTTTTTGTCTTCTTTTATATAACAGTGTATTCACTGCTTATTTTTTTTAAAATTGTTTTGCTGTTCTTTACAATCTTTAGAGTTAGCATCTGCAATATAACTTGCTTTGCTCTTGATCAAGATTGCACAGACTCTGGATGTGTTTTAAAGAACTCTCTTTTTAAAAAGATGAATAAAAAGATTTATTCATTATAGGTTTTATTTTGAATTAATTTTTGGTTGTTGCACATTCAGAAATCTTTCATGTTTGCCAGATTTTTCAGGACCCTAACATTCAGTTATGTGATCCTATATGAGATCATGATATAATTAAAGAAGATGGGAGCTAGTCTAGATTCATTCATTACTTTTAATTGTCATTTCTTTTGGTCTGCTTTACTATGTAATAATTCCTTTATTTTCCTGATATTAGATTTGTAAAGAGAAAGCCAATTGTTTAGTAGAATGTCCATTGACCTGTACTTGCCAAATTCTTCTTGGGTTGGATTTAGGGTGTAACTTTTATCCTTCCTTCCTCCCTTCCTTCCTCCCTTCCTCCTTCCGTCCCTCTCTCCCCCCTTCCTTCCTCCCTTCCTCCTTCCCTCCCTCCCTTCCTCCCTCCCTTCCTTGATAGGAATCCTATAAAGCTTTGTGTCCTTTCGTTCTGTCCTACTAGAATGAATGGGTGTGGTTCCATTTATCTCATTGGTTGCAGTGACTTATGTTTTTGCTAAGATTCTATCTTAAGTTACTGGTTTTCCTTGTCACTTAGAAGAGATCCGTGGAGATACCTTGAGGTTGTGTCGTTTCAGTCAGTAGTTTTAGCTTTCTGACTATTGCTCTAAGGTTATAAATGGTAGTATTTTTTTCCTAATTCAATCACTCTTTCTATAATTACTAGGTGACATTTTACTCTATAAAATTTTTCTCTTGTTAATGTTCTGATTTATTATTTTTAAAAAGGAGTCTGGCCTCTCTAGTGAGTACATTGGAGGGCATAAGAGTAGAAGCTGGTACAGTATCAGCAGTCCAAGCTGGACAAGTGGGGTGAGGGGACATGAGCAATCGAGAAAAGGACAAATTCTAGGTGTATTTTGGTGGTATGTGTAATAGGAGTTTTTAGTCAATAGAATGTAGGCTAAACCAGAAAGGACATCAAAGACACGAAGGTTTTTTTTTTTTTTTACCTGAGCAGTTTAAGTGTGGTATTGCCATTTATTGAAATTCAGTGGAGGGTGGGAGCATGTTAACAGTTTGATTTTAAGACCTGTTGAATTTGATATGCCATCTAGATACAGCTATCCAAGAGAGATGTCCAATAGACAGAAGGGTTTAGTGGAGAAGTGCTGGCTAGAGATAGAAATCTTAGGATTGTCATCGTGTGAATGGTTTAAAGCAGTGATAGAGCTCATCAGGACAGCGAGAGGAGGGGAAATGGAGCCAAGTCCTGAGATTGTGGAAGTGAAGAGGAACTGGAAGAGAGGCTGAGATGGAGAGGCTAGTGAGGTGAGAGACAAGCCAGCAAGTGAAAAAAGGTGTTGCTCGAGGGAGGGGCTACAGCAGGTGTGTTAGGTAGGATGTGCTAAAGTCGAGCATCAGACTGAGAACAACCCCGGGGACCAGAGTAGACCATCACAGTGGGTTGTTTGTCATCGGAGAGAGAAAAGGAAGAGCTGGGGGTGGGAAATGCAGCCGAGGGATGTAGAGCGGAGGCAGGTTTTAAAGGTAAGATATGTCACGGTATCCTCGTCGGCAGTGCAGTCACAGCATTGCTGGTTTGTGTGTCTCCCTGGGCTCTGGGTTGATGCGAAGATTGATGAAGGTCTTCAGGACAGGTAGAGTTGAGTCTGTATATGCTGTCATAATAAAGTTAGTCAGCATCTTTGCCATAGCATATTTACTAGCGTTTTGACAGCAAAAATAACGAATTTTCTTTTGTTCTTGATGCCTCTCTATTAGAATGCATTCAGGGATTATTGCAGTGTTAGAGAATCAGGCAGTATGATGAATGCACACACTGAGGAGTAGCCTTAAATAATTGAATAAGATATAGTGACAGTTTTCCTGAAAGAAAATGTCAAGAAGTAAGTAATTGATAATTATTAAGTGACTCTCTGCTAAATCTGTGAATGATTTCTTATTTTAAAATGTTTTTGTGTTTATACTGCACAGAGGATGAATTTTCTTTTGAGACCTATGATTTGAATGGCACCTCTTAGTATTAGTGGACTTTAGATAAGTTTCTTTATGCCTCATTCTTGAATTAAAGATTGCTTTACATTTAGCTGGGCAGTGGTGGTGCATACCTTTAATCCTAGCACTTGGGAGGCAGAGCTCTTGAGTTCGAGACCAGTCTGATTTACAAAGCAAGTTCCAGGACAGCTAGGGCAAACAGAGAAACTCTGTCTTGAAAAACTCAAACAAAACAAAACCCTCCCCCCTCCAAATGTTACCATGTATATATTTATTATTCTCTGTGTGTGTGTGTGTGTGTGTGTGTGTGTGTGTGTGTGCGCGCGCGCGCGCGCGCGCGCACCTGCCACAGGATTCTCATTCTACCCCGAGGGTTCCACCGCTTGAATTTGGGTCATCAGGTTTGGTGGCAAAAAACCCTACCCACTGACCCACCCCACTGGCTCCTGGTTCTTGAATTTTTTTCTTCCTAACCTATAAACTGGAGCTAGTAGTACCCACTTCAAAAATGTGTGAGGGGTAAGTGAAGAAATGTCTTCACCAGCAATGAGTTATGTAGTGTCAAGTCAAGTTTCTTTTCTTCCTTTCTGTGGAAGCTGAAGTTAGAGTTCATTTTCTTTCTTGTAGATGATAACTAACCTTTGAATTAAATTAAAAATAAATAAAAGCTTGGTGTTATTGATAGTCTACTTATAAGTCATATGATAACTGCACAGAGGCAAAGTTAAGGATATATATGAGAATACTTACATAACAAGAGGAAACACATTTTCTATAACTTTTTTTTTTCTGAAGAAATAGGTGTATAAATATATATATTTTGGTTTTCAAGACAAGATTTCTCTGAGAAGCCCTGGCTGTCATGGAATGCACTTTGTAGGCAGGCTGACCTTGAAGTCAGAGATCCTCCTGCTTTTTCCTCCCAAGTGCTGGGGTTAAAGGCATGCGCCACCATTACTTGGCTCATATAATACTATTTGAACACAGTATTTTAAATACAGGCCTACTAATGAGAAGGAAAATAATTCTTTCTTGAGGCATACCATTCAGGTTCACGATTAGTGTTCCTATCATCAGATTCATTGCAGGATGAATTATAAAACCAATTCTTCTTAATTCCTGGGCTAGATAAAAGCAGGGGCAGGCTGGATTTGGCATGCAGGCCATACTTCTTTTAACCCAGATATGCAAGGTTATTGCATATAGTTGTTGTTTCTTATTTTTCTCAGTTAGAAAAATGAATTTGCAGTATTTTTTACAAGCAGAGTTTATGTGTGTTTACTTTGAAATATTAACATGCAAGCTATATAATTGTTTTTCTATAGTATTTAAAACCGTTGAAAATGTTTTATTCAAACAATGGTTTCTGGTGTCTTTCCTACTTTTCTTCAGTGATAGTCTGCATAGCTGTTGTGACTACTTTTAGTGTGCCTCTAGGAATGGCACCTAAACATGTAAGTAAGAGCTACACTTAACTCTGTTTGCAGGTGAACTTAAAATTGTCATTTTCCTTTCTGTTTTATTTCCAGATCAGCCAGCATTACTAATCTGTCACTGGATCGATCTGGTTCTCCTATGGTTCCCTCATATGAGACATCTGTCAGTCCCCAGGCTAACCGAACCTATGTTAGGACAGAGACGGCTGAGGATGAACGCAAAATTCTTCTGGTACCAGTCCAGTATCTAACCTGTTGTTTGCTAGTTTTGAGCATAAAGATTTATGACTTTTTATCCCTTAAAGAAATACATACAATCAGCTGGGCTTGGAATGCATGCCTGTAAACCTGTATTGGGAAGGCTGAGGCAGGAGGATCTTGAATTTGAGGCCAACTTGAGCTAAGTGGGATGTTCTAAAAAAAAAAAGGTATATCAATTAAATGGGGAAATAATTAGCTTAACCTTTTATTTACTAGCATCACCTGAAAAATTGGGTAAATACTCTTTCCATACTCATTGTATTACTATTTTCTTTCCCTGTTTCATTTGGTAAAATCAGAATTCATTTATCTAATATAAGAATTGAAGTTAGATTGTTGTTTGCTTAAACTTTGAAATATCATTCTTACATACATGGAAAATTTGTAGAAACTTAATTTCAACTGTTTATATGACATAATAATTGGTTCATTCTTCAGTTTATATATATGGAAAACATATGCCTAATCCTAAGAAAACTCAAAGGAATGAAAAATAAGTCTTTTGTCTTAAGGTGATAATTCAAAAGGCAGAAATGAGATCAATGTGAAGATCCTTACTAGGGAAAGAAGTAATATTTAATAATTTTATTGTGTTTGAGACATGACCTCTCTGTGTTGCCTTGATTCTTTCTGTGTAGACAAGGCTGGCCTCGAAGTCACAGAGATCAGCCTGCCTCTGCCTCCCTAGTGCTAGGATTAAAATGTGTGCACCACTCTGCCCAGCTTTGAAATACTATTTTAATAATAAAAATGTGCCAAATGTATATGTCATAGAGAAATAAAATAGGAAGATTGGTAACAGTGAGAGAGTCAGAAGTCTCCAAAGGGCTTGGACTGGATGTCAAAGGCTGAAGTTACTTTGGTTAGGCAGAATGTGAATCTTATTTAAAGATATGACAAGGTATAGATTTAGGATCAAAGCATTTTCCATGGACAGTAGAATTTGTTGGCTGAGACAGTTTAAGTTGGACTCTGTGGTCAGAATGGAAGGTTGTTGGGTCTACCCACTGGGAGGCAATACATTCAGTCAATCTGCTTACCACTCTAGAGGCGGTAGGACCTGGGAGAATGCAGCCAACACATGACCATGTTCTGACATCGCCCTCTTTTTAATTTTCAATAGTAGGATATTTAGAGTGGTTTTGATTTGAGATGTTGTAGATAAATCTAGCATGTGTATAATACTCTGCCACCAAGAACAGGGATCCAAACTATGTCCAGTACTATTGGTTACATTATTATATTGATCAGAGAAAACTAGAGAATAGCTTGAAAAGAGACCCATATAATTAATAGTTCTGGGTCTTTGAAGAACATAAGTTCTTATTTGCCCTTTAATAGGAATGTAAATATTATGATGTCCTATGCAAATAGGAAGTGATTTAAATCCCAAAGAAAAATTAAATGCAATCCTTTCTTCAGTTGAATGAAGGAGTCTATGATGGTCCCAAGGTCCAAGCATAAGCATGGAGTCATTAGTAAAGATAACAGGAGCTGAATCTATCTAATCCCTCTGGATCCATCAACTTCATCTAAGAGTTGTGGCAAAGGAGGATGAGGAACGTAACGTGTTCAGAGACACTCACTGCACATGCACACAGGTCAAAGCAGAAACCTTCACCAGAAGGAGATTGTCAAGTGACATAGGGCTCTGTGTTCTTTTCCCATGATGCATAGGGCCTTAATTTGGACCCACATGGGCAGACTTGACCTCTGATGATATGGTCGAGATCTTTTTTTGCCCGTTAGCTGGAAGTTTGCTATATCTTTCTGGTGACTTCCACTGGCTCCTTGCCTCCCACTGGCATCCTTGATGGCCCGGCAGAGGAACTGGAGAGGAATCCATGAAGTTTCAGTGTATCCGTCTGCAATGACAGATGTATACCCCTTCCCAGTTTTCTTCTGGAGAAGCAAAAATAGGGCAGGTTAATGCATCACCTTCTTATTTCCTTTTGCAGTAAGAGCAGGGAGGTTAGAATGTGCGTGAGTATGAGAAGTAAACAATGGATGTATACGGGTATGATCCAGAAGTTGAAGTTCTTGTTGTAATGGAAGCATAACAGAGTGTGAACATGAAGTTAAAGCAGTTTCTATTGCTGGACATAATCCTACAACAAAAACAGAATCTGAAGTGATATTTAAGGTTTATGAATTAACCATGCTAGGTGAATCAGAGCAGTCAGTTCCACCTGTTGGGCTGAAGTCAAAGAAGTAAAAAAGTATCAATAGATTAATGACTATCTGTACCATGAATCCCTCCTATACCTTTAGATGAGCCATCAATAAAATAAGTATCTGCCTTTGGACTGGGAGAATGTTGGGCATATTTTGTAACCACATTTAGTTTGTATAAGAAAATCCCATAGCTTACCATCTGGATAATGATTTCCTATCCTCCATAGTAATCTGCAAGTGAAAGTTGAAAATCCATGGAGTTCTGTAATGCTCTTAAAAACTGATTGTTAGTTAAGGGTAATATAATACATTAAGGATCAAATCTATATAATTGCTGACATTGGGTTCTCCCCTGATTTATTATTGAAAGGAAGAAGAGTAAGGTAAGCAGTTAGTATTTTATGGCTCTTATGGTGTAAATAAATCCATTCCAAAGGTTTAGCCTCTTGTGCTATAATGCCTATAGGAGACAATTTAGTGGGGAAAATAAGTAAGTTTAAGGACGGTGAAGGATCTACATTATGTACAAATGGTTTTTAGTGTGGATTCAAATAGCTGTAGTTCTTTTCTTGCCTCTCGAGATCAAATGCAAGGACTATCCAGTGCCATCTTTCCTTCTAGAGAAGCCTTCCCTGGTTTCTGCCCCATTATTCTCACTCACTTCCTTCTGTGAGGATCTCTGCCCTCTTACCTCATAGCCAACTTCAGGTCCCTGTTCCCAGTGCCACCTCTTTACCTCTCAAGTTGGCAGTGGACCTGGGAGAATGGAGCTGATAAATGAGGCAGACTGAAGTCTCATGTAATAGCCAACTTTATTCAGAGCATCAGACAGTTTATACTCTGAGGGTGAAGAGTAGTCACATGAGTAAAGTGTATAATCACAAATGCAAGCCACATGTGGAGGACAAGCCTCATGTGGCTAAAACATGGTTTTCCGTAGAGGAATATAAATAAATAACAATAGCCAGTTGTAATGAATAGTCTGAAGTAAACTCACTTCTATCTGCTACACCTGGGAGAAGCATGAAAGCACATTCCAAGAACAATTCTGTGTTTTAAGAAACTAAGGTCCCAAGACTCTTGTTTTCTTGGCATTTTCCCACAAGCACTCAATTCTCACCCAACTCCATTTTTAGACCTTGTTCCAACATCTGTCCTTTCAAATTTAGCTTTGAACTTGTAGCTGATGAACTTCATTCAAAGTAGGAAATTATTCAACAAAGACTTCTTTAGAAACATTTACTGTGCAGTTGAGAATAATGGGAGGATTCCTAGAATCTATGGAGTGGAGGTTAGTGTAATTGAGTAGCATCTTTATCTACCTTGACTTGTCTCCAAAGAAGAATGTATTTGCACTTAACTAAGAGACATGTAATATGTGCCACTGACTGAAAAAGAAGGAGCACTTGAGATATTTTGTTTTGAAGAGAAAAAAATTCTTGGAATTAATGAGTCAAATTCAAGCTGTTTCCATGTATGTGCCATTTATGTTGAATAACTTATCACACTTAGCTACTGTGAAAAATCCAAACTGAGATTCCTTTTAAGATTTCAGAACCATAGGAAAGCATCTGAATGGGTATCCTGCATCCCTTTCAGGGGGTAACTAATTGCTTTTGATGTGATTCCAGGACAGTGTTCAGTTAAAAGATCTGTGGAAAAAAATCTGCCATCACAGCAGCGGGATGGAATTTCAGGATCACCGTTACTGGTTGAGAACACATCCCAACTGCATCGTAGGAAAGGAATTAGTCAACTGGCTAATAAGAAATGGACACATCGCTACGAGGTACTATAATTTTAAAATGTTTTGAAATTATTCATTAGTTTATTTTTAATGTTTAGGATGCATATTTGAAGATGTAAGGGTATCTTTTTGTGAGTTAGGGTGTTGTTTTAGGGATCTGATGGTTTGAGAAACAAGCTCTTCAACTTCCTGCATCTGATGAGAATGTTTGCAGGGAACCTGATTGGGGTCACAATTTACCATACTAAAAACAAGGACTGGCAGTTGGTGAGATGAATCTGTGGGTAAAGGCACTTGTTCCCAAGTCTGAAGACCTGAGTTGGACTTCCTGAACCTGCACGAAGGAGGACTAACATGGTGAAAAGCCCCATGGGGGGGGAAGGGGGGGAGGCAGAGGCCAGAGGTTCAGCTGGTGAGCTGGTCTAAGTGGAATTGATGACGTCCAAGTTCTGTGAGAGACCCGTCTCAAAAGATAGGTGATCCGTTGAGACAGAGACTCCATGCTGGTCTCTGTCTTCTAAGTACTCCCTTCACCATGTGAGCACCCCTGTGCATACAACCACACAGAACCAAACACCCTGAGCATGCAGTAATTCTTCAAATGGATCCCTAGCAATGCGGATGGGAGAATGTAGCTAGAGTCTATTCTGTAATCTAGACATTGCATCCTGGGTTGAGAATTGAGCCCATAACTTATGTCTGGAGGGACCTAATATGTCTCACAGATCACATATAAAACAAATGGCAGACAGGATCTGCTGCTTTTTGTGTTAGCTACCTTTCTGTTGCTGTGATATGATACTAGTCCAAGGAAATTTACAGAAGAAAGAATTTATTTTGGCTTAAGGTTACAGAGGGTTAGAGTACATAATGATGGTATTTTAGTTAGGGTTTCTAGTGCTATGATAAAACACCATACATGTATGTAACAACAATTAATTTAAAGAGAGGTCTTGAATTTGGAAGAGAGCAAGGAGGGTGTATGGGAGGGCTTGGAGGAGGAAAGGGGAGGGAGAAATGATATAATCTCAAGAAAATGAAAGAAATAATTAAAAACAAAACATAGCACTGTGACCAAAAGCAATTGGGAGGAAAGGGTGTGTTTCCAGCTTACAACTCTCAGGCCACACTCTATCACCGAGGGAAGTTAGTGCAGGAACTCAAGGAAGGGTGTAGAGGCAGGAACTGAAGCAGAAGCCTTGGAGGAATGCTGCTTACTGGCCTTCCCCCTGAGGTTTTCTAGCCTCCTTTATTACACACCTCCAAGGGGTGGGACTGCCTACAGTGTGCTGGGTCTTTCCCACATCAGTCATTAATCAAGGAAGTGCTCCAGAGGCTTGACTACAGGCCACTCTAGTGGGGGCATTTTCCCAATTAAGGTTCTTTCTTTTCAAATGGCTCTAGCTTGTTTCAGTTGACAAAAACAAAAACAAAACAAAACAAAACCCCAACTGGGACAGCAATAGTAGCATTCCAACAGGCAGCAGGCATGGTGACCGGAGTGAGATGCTGAGTCACATCTTGAACCCCAGTAGAAGGACGAGAGATTTTCACTCTGAAAGGTGGCCTCCATTAATGTAATTCCTCCAACAAAGCTTCATCTCTTAAGTCTCACCAAACACCACCACCAACTGGGAACCAAGTGTAACATGGGACTGTCTCAGTCATTGTTCTGTTGCTGTGAAGAGACACTGTGATCATGGCAACTCATAAAGAAAAACATTTAATTGGGGCTGGCTTACACTTTCCAAGGTGTAGTCCATTATTATGGCAAGAAGCGTGGTGGCATGCAGGGAGAAGGAGCTGAGAGTTCTACATCTTGATCGGCAGGCACCCGGAGGAGATTGTGTACGAATATATGAGACCTCTAAGCCTGCCTCCACAGTGACACACTTCCTCCAACAAGGCTACACCTCCTAATAGTGCCACTCCCTATGGGCCAGACATTCAAACACATGAGTCTGTGGGGGCCATACCTATTCAAATCACCACAGGAACATTCTGATTCAAACCACTACATCTTTCAAGTGAAGCTATCTCTTAGTGTTTGATACTTGCTCAGATGAGTCTCCTCTCACTGAGAAGGAACAAGAAAGAAGTAGCTGTAAACAGGGAACCTCTGTTTCCTAATTTGACTGTAACTCTTGTGTCTTTAGTCAAATTTTTCAGTCTCTTTGAGACTTGGACCTCTTAATTCCAATGTAGGGGAATGACTTAGTGTTGTAAATAAGCTGTGGGTATTGACAAGAGTGTGTTGGCTAAGTGCTTTATAAGTGTGAAATATCATATACTGTAATGTGTTGTATCCATTTCATTCATGTATTTCGTATCTATGATATTTGTGTTGTCTTTTCATAGAGACTGTAAGCTGATTGAGTGTAGGAATCATGCCATTCTCAGTCTTTTTTTACTTTGTTAAGGATAGATGTGAGTGTATTGTGTACTCAGTGCATGCTTAAGCTTGTTTTTAGGGTTACCTTACCAGTAGGTTCTCCTTTGCTTTGGTACCTAGCAGAATTTCATTTGTCTCAAGTAGTTCTTTCTTATCCCTTACTTATCTACAGACCATTTGACAGTTTCTCTTTGACTAGAAATGAAAATGAAAAAAAAAAAAAAGAGATGCTTTATCATGTGCCCAACATGCATTACTCTGTATGACCTTTTAAAATTTCAGTGTTTTTGGTCCCAATTTAGGGCACAAGCTATAGCAATTGGACAAGCAATGGTTGATGGACGTTGGTTGGATTGTGTCAGTCATCATGACCAGCTTTTCAGGGATGAGTATGCGCTGTATAGACCACTGCAGGTAATTTGGTAGTGCTACTGCTGGTAAGAATGTAGTAGCTCGTTTTGAAGTTGTGTTTTTATCAGTAGGAATAAAAAGTTGAACTCCTAAAGGCTCTGTTACTAATGCTTGTCAGACTCAGTGCTAGGGAGGTGCTCACCACTGAGTAGCCACCTTCCAGGATCAAGCACTGTTAGTGTGCTGTGGCTTTGCTCAGACTTGGCTTCTGCTACTTAGACTTGTCAGTTAACTTTAATGTTTTTCAGTTTTACTCTCTGTATTTTTAGAACTAAGAGGGAATGAAGTATACATAGTAATATGATTTGAAAATTTGATATCAAAGGTTTTGACTCTTTGTATACAAATTGTACACTAATGCTAAAATTTATTTTATAAGAATGAAAATTATTTATAGATAATTTTTTGTTTGGTTGCTTTGTTTGTTTTTTTGAGACAGGCTACTGTGTAGCCCTGGCTTTCTTGGAACTCACTCTAGACCAGGCAGGCCTCGAACTCAGAGATTTGCCTGCCTCTGCCTCTTGAGTGCTAGGACCAGAGGCCTGTGCCACCACCATCTGGCTATAGAAAACTTTTTAAAAAAAGATATAATTCTTTAATTTTTGGTTTGCGCAAAAGAATACACACACACACACACACACACACACACACACACACACGAACATACATATACTTAGACACACACACAAGCATATGTCCATATGATGAAACTATAAGAAGCTTACAGACTAAGCTTTGTAAGCTGAGACCAGAAGCCCCATCGTTAGAAATGACCAATAGCCCCATAGAGTGATATGGTATAATTTGTTAAAATTGGATTGTTTTTCTAGGGGGTTCTCGAGTTGCCAGGGTTAGACTAAATTATGCTATCTTCACTCAGAACTAAAGGATGAAGTGAAACCCTGCCAAATACATATCAAAGAAATATTCATTTGTAAAATTCTACTTAAGCTTTGCAATTAGTGAAAATTATCATTTAAGAGTGTGATTATCAGTATGATACTGCTTTGTACCTCTTTGTTATTACTTAGCTGTTTTTATGTGAACTTACTGAATTGTTAAAGTTATAGAAATATAGGCCACAACTTCTTTGCTATGCTGGTGGTGTCACTCAGGGTCAGTTGCTCGGTTTGCTTTGGTCCTTTCAGAGTACAGAATTTTCTGAAACACCTTCTCCAGACAGCGACTCAGTGAACTCTGTGGAGGGACACTCTGAACCATCCTGGTTTAAAGACATCAAGTTTGATGATAGTGACACAGAGCAGATTGCCGAAGAAGGTGACGATAATTTGGCTAGTAAGTGTGACTTTCTAATGTTTCAGTGTCTATGACTTATTGCCGTGCTGGTGTGATGAAATGACTGTCCTGTTTATGATTTATGGTTCCCACTGGATGTCAACATTTGATGGTAGTGACCCTTGCTTAGATACAGTATTTTCGTAAGCCAGCCTGTTAGTCAGCTGACATTTCTGGATGTTGCCACGGTCTCTAGTTGCAGCAGCTTGAAAATAACTCTTGAGCTAATATCGCAGCAGGCAGCTTTCTTATCTCTTCACTGTGGTATCAGACTTTCTCTGTGCAGAACCTCCAATTTATTTCCTTTTTTAAAAATTCATTTGAAATTTAACATGCTTCAATTTTATTCAGTCTACCCAGAAGTACATGAAAATACTGTATCCATTTTGGTATTGCACATTGGGCTTGTGTATTAAAAGTTTTTTCCTTTCCTCCAACGCCCTGATAAAACCCATTTTTACTCCCCTCTCCCTATATTTCTTTCCCTTCCCAACACTAAAAGATTCTGCCAGTCCTAGCAAGCGTACCTCAGTCAGCAGTTTCCAGTCCACAGTGGACAGTGACTCAGCCGCTTCCATCAGCCTGAACGTGGAGCTGGACAACGTGAACTTCCATATCAAGAAGCCCTCCAAGTACCCACATGTGCCCCCTCACCCTGCTGACCAAAAAGGTAGGAGGTAGTCACCACCTGGATTCCAAGCAGGCCAACGAGCTGGGCCCTAGGGTCTCCTTTTAGCCTGTCCTCTGCCTTCCTCTGTCCCTTAGGACTGAGGGGATCTGGAGTGGGCATGGTTCCACTGTTGCTGACCCCCCACCCTCCCACTCCCCCACCCCATACTCCTCCCACCCCTTTTTTGGTTGATTCTTTTTATTTCTTATTTTCTCCCTTTGCACTCCCATGCCCAGTTTAAAGTGTATAGTCTTTAAAAGGAACGATATCTGGCTGCTCTTCCCGTAATGTGCAACTTCCAAGGTGGCAATTCTTTGCATTGATAACATGGACGTTCTGCCCTGTTCTATTCTTTTGTCTTTTCTTCATTTAACATCACAGAGCCTCTTTGCTTGTGCTAGTCTACAGCCACGGTTTCTTAAGACTGTTCAGATGCCTGAGCGTAGATGGGGAAGTTACTCTTTCATTTCCATTACATTTATTTTAAAGTTTCTTCTCTAGTAAAAAATGAATTCTTTTGTAGTTTTAGCTCTCTTAGTTGATGCTTTAGTTTGTGAACTCAAAAATACTAATAGCCACATTAAAAAAAAATCCAAAAAACAAAAACATGGTGTTAAAGGAAAGATGCAGTGAACCATTTCTAATGTGTAACATCATCGCAACATGAATGGATTGCTCCTTTTAAAAATGGAGGGTGAGCTGTATATTATTAGATGCAACTAGAAGCTTATTTCAAGTATAAGACTAATGGACCATTATTTTTCAAAGAAAATAAAATAAGTAATTATGGGAGTTCATTATACTAATAACCAAAACATCTTTATTATAAATAAAGCATTTAATTCCATGGTTTTACCCAGCGTTTGAATTTTAAACATTTAACTCTCTAATACTGAATTGCTTCTAAATGCTTGCCTAATTCTTTGCTACTCCTTTACTTTGAACCTAAAAGTAACATAAAGAACATATAGAATCTAAAAGTTTATTTCACAATTTGAAACATTTACATTTCCTCAACAAATTTCTCCATAATTGTCAATGTAAAGATGTGATAAAATGTCAATTAAGGTAATCATGATAATAAAAAGTGATTCTTACTTAAAAAAATAAGGTACTGAGAGAGAGTGAGAGAAAGGAGATTTGACCGTAGGTGAATATAAAATCCACATGGTGATGGGGATCCTCAGTATGGAAGTTTCAAACATGATGGAGAACATTTGGATGAGTGTAAAGGGCAGTGTGGTAGATCTGACCCTTGTGAGAATCCAGTGTACACTGCAGTTACACGAGATTAGGCTTTTAATAGAGATGTGGGTCAGCAGTAGACTATGTCATGACGGGACATCTGCCCGCTGAACATGCACGTTAGCTGTTCCATTTTGCTGAAAGCAGAGTGTAAAGTACACTTTCTGTTTGCTGGTGATTTTAAGGATGTCTTGAAAATTTTGGAAAAGGTAACCTCTCATCATAGGATTCCTACTGGCAAAGGGTGTACTGCTGAGCCAGCACACATTTACTTGAGGAAACCTAACTCAGGATATAGGGTGAGGAACAGAATTAGAGGTTTCAAAGGTGACATTTTTGCCAACTTCAGTGTAACTCTGGAGAATAAAAAGAGAAACACCTGCAGTTGAAAAAACTGTCTGGCTTTAAATCGTTTAAAAACTTGTAAAAGTTGTGAGAAGCAGCTGTTGTGGTGATAAATCTGAGAGAAGGTTACGTACTTGGAAGGAAATTGACAGGATTGCAAACATCCACATTGTACCATTTAGTGTCAGCCATGCCTCTAGATTTGGTTTGTTGGTTGGTTTGTTTGTTTGTTTGTTTGTTTGTTTGTTTATTTCCTCAAGACAGGGTTTCTCTGTGTAATATCCATGTCTGTCCTGGAACATCACTTTATCTTTTCATGAGTTCTAAGAAAGTGTTGGTTGGAGGAAAGGTCAAGGATATCTGAGAACACAGTCCAGTTGTCATAGAAAGAAAAAAAATCAGCTCAGTTATTAGAGAAGTAGCTGTATTTCTCTGTCAAAATTAATCTTATCAGGAATGATACATAGATAAGGGAAGAAAGAAACTGAGCGTGCATGGTTAGTCCTGGCCAGATGCAGGCAGACTGCCCGCTTAGTAACAGTTTAGTTGTTTCTGGTCATGGAGCTAGAGTCTACCGTCTTTGAAGACCCTGCAGAGTAAGTGTCTAGCTGACTGTTGCGGGATGGCATGACTTTTTTTTTTTTTTTTTTTTTTTTTTTGGTTTTTCGAGACAGGGTTTCTCTGTGTAGCTTTGCGCCTTTCCTGGAACTCACTTGGTAGCCCAGGCTGGCCTCGAACTCACAGAGATCCGCCTGGCTCTGCCTCCCGAGTGCTGGGATTAAAGGCGTGCACCACCACCGCCCGGCCATGACTTTTTTTTTTTAATGGTTTCTTGATATGGCTTTGGAAGATACCAAATTGAAAGAAGTTTAGTAAGTAAAGTTTACTGTGGTATTTGAAAAGGATTTGTGTTGACTCGATACCTGCCCTGGTTAGCTATCTTCACCTTAGTGGTGATAAGAAGTTGGTAGGTTAGAGGAGTATCGTATGTTTTCTTTATTTTGATAAAGCATTTGATTGTCCTAGACAACAATGAAATAGGTAAAAGAGGTAGTTGAAGTCAATGGTCATATGTATTATGTGCTGTGGTGATCTGGGAGACGGCTCAGCAGGTAAAAGTGCCTGTCACCAAGCCTGATGACCTGAGTTCCATCCCTGGCTCCCACATGATGGAAAACAAGAACCAAGTCACGGAAGTTGCCTTCTGGCTTCCACATGTTTGTTACGGCATAGGCATGCATCCCTCCCTCCCCCCCTCAATTTAGGACGACTCAGGCTATGGAGTCCGGATTAGCTCTATAACAATCCGTCGCTTGTTTAAAATGCTAACATGATCATTATCAATTTGACACCAGCAGGAAGAGGCTATCCTAAGTTATCTTAGGACTTTGCTTACTCACAGTCAAGATTGTTCATCACTCACTAGTGCAGATTACTAGTATAGAATAATAAGTTTCACTATGATTTTTCACATATTCATAAATTATATTTGTATTAGTTATATGGTACAAAGTGATGCAATGACATATGTATATGAAGGAATGAGTCAATAAAACCAGTTAACATCTGGCATCTCAGAAACCAACCATTTTTTTGATGACAAGGACCTTCAAAATTTACTTTCTTAATAATTTTGAAATATCTACTATACATTATTAAATTGCAGGCATCTTGCTATAAAGTAGATTTCAGTTCCCCTACCTAACTGAAACTTCCTACCCTAGACCAATACTTCCCTATTCTCTCTACTCTGTGGCTTCTGACGCCTACTGTTCTGCCCACTGTGACCTTTATTTTTGTATGGAAACACGCAAAGCATAGTGTGTTGGGTAAGTGTAGGAGTTCAGTAGTGCTCTTATTAATACTGACATATAGTTGTGTCGCTTGCTTGAATGACTACACAAAATATTGAAGTGATCATTGTCAATTTGATAGCAGCAGGAAGAAGATGCTCCTAGGTTTTGTTATAGGGCTTGTCACGTCTGTAGTCAGTTTGCTCAGCACTTGGTGTGTGGGGGCTTGGGGCACATGTTTATAAGAGTCTTGTATGTATGTGTATGTGCATGTATGGGGGAGGCCAGATGTCAGCATTGGGTGTCTTCCTCAGTATTGCTCTTCACCTTAGTTTCTGAGACAAGGTGAACCTGGAACTCACTGATTTGGTTAGACTACCTGGCCGATAGGCCCCAGGGATCCTCCTGCCTCTACTTCCTCAGTGCTGGCATTACAGGTATGTGCTGCTGCATTCAAACTTTTACATGAGTACTTGGTATCTAGACTCAGCTTGGTCACACTCTCATGCTTGTGAGGCTAGCACTTTGCAGACTGAGTTATCTCTTCAGTTTCTGTTCAATACTTTATAAACATTTTTTCATTTACAATTTTTATGTATATTGGTGTTTTGCCTGCATGTGTGTATGTGCACCATGTGTGTGCCTGGTGCCTGCAGAAGCCAGAAGAAGCTAGTGGATTTCCTGGAACTAGAGTTAGAGATGTTGTGAACCACTGTGTGGGTGCTGGGAATTGAACCCAGGTTCTTTGAAAGAGCAGCCAGTGCTCTTAACCACCGAGCCAACTCTTCAGCCTCTGTTCAGTAGTTATTATAACTGTGTAGTAACTGTCTAGAATAATGAGTTTCATTGTGATATTTTCATGTATGCATGTAACATATTTTGATTGTATTTTCTAAAAATAGTTCTAAGAAAGTGTTGGTTATGGGCCAGTGAACTAGCTCAGGGTGTAAATGCATTTCCTGCCACGCCTGAGCACGCAAGTTCAGTCTCTGGGCCCCACGTGGTGCATGGAGACAAGCAGTTTCCTCAGATTGTCCTCTGATCTCTAGATATGCACTGTGACATATGTATACACACACACACATATAATACAAAAATGTAAAAGGATTGAATTATTCATTATATTGGGGCCGAGTATGATCAGCTTTTTTGGGTCTACATTTTTTGTGTATTTCAGATCCACATTTTTTTTTTTTTTTTGGTTTTTTTTCAAGACAGGGTTTTTCTGTGTAGCTTTGCGCCTTTCCTGGAACTCACTCTGTAACCCAGACTGGCCTCGAGCTCACAGAGATCTGCCTGCCTCTGCCACCTGAGAAAATAAACATTTCTTTAAATCTAGAAGGCATGAAGCCAGATGGTGGTGGCACACACCTTTAATCCCAGCACTTGGGAGGCAGAGGGAGGTGGATCTCAGTGAGTTCGAGGCCGGCCTGGTCTACAAAGTGAGTTCCAGGACAGACATGGATATTACACAGAGAAACCCTGTCTTGAGGAAATAAACAAACAAACAAACAAACAAACAAACCAACCAACAAACCAAATCTAGAGGCATGGCTGACACTAAATGGCAGAGTTGGAATTGTAGACTTTTGTGAAGTGGCAGACTGACCTTAAGATGAAATGCAGTACATTCCAAATAAAACAGTGTAGTTACACATAACGTGTTTACTGTGAATGCTCTGGAGGAAGCTACTTTAGTGATTCATGTGATCAGGACCAAGGTTTTATACAGTGTACATCACATGGCCAGGATTGGTTTATTCAGTAAATGGGCATGAGAAGAGATGATTATAAACTTTAATTATCTGAAGATTCATTCATGTAGCAAAAGTTCTTTCCCTTCCTGTCCTAATGCAGTGTATTTCATTAGCAGCAATAAAACGACTGGTGTTGTGGTCCAGTGTAAGTTTTGGGATCTGTTCTGATGGATGAATAGAGCTGGCTTGGCAGGATCTTACAGTCGTTGAAATCTTTGTTGTATTAAGACTAAGGGGAGTTGAGCTATTTAAAATGGAGAAATGAAGGCTTAATGCCATTGTCCCTAAGGTATCTGAAGAGTATCTGAGAGGAAGGATGAGAATTTTGTATGTGGAAGAGTCAAGTTCAGTAGTCAGGAGTAGGGAGCTTCTGCCACTTGGCTTTGAAGGTGTTCAAGTGGGGTCTGGATGTCCACCTGTCAGAGTTATAGACAGATACTGACATCTGGGGAGAGACTAGGTAGATTTAATGTCCTTCAGGCTTTCTTTTAGCTCCAAATCTGAAATGAAAGTGTAGCTGTAGAATTTTAAAGTTGTGAGAGTTATCCTTTAGCTCATTCAGTGAGACTATTAAAGAAGAGGGTCTACCACCAGAAGGAGGATAATTATTAGGTGGATCTGATTGGTTGTTTGCAACCTTGGTAGTCTTAGTTTGCAGTTTGAGGACTTAGGAGCTTCGAATACCTGTACTTGCTTTCACAGTTCCCTCTCTCTAGCCTTTATTGTACTAGTGAGAATTCATGTTTGTCTTACAAAGCTGAAATATGAGGAAACATTTTGCTCTGTGGTACTTAAGTTGAACACTGATTGCTAACAAGTAAAGATTGCCAGAGTAACTTAGAGTTTTGTGAATGAACTATTCTTCTGCATATGTGGGCAGGGATGGCTGGCTTTATCTTTTCATGAGGTGGAAGCCAGTCCTTACTAGTTCTTTTCTTGTGGATTAACCTTTATTTCATTCATTCATTCATTTATTCATTCGTGTATTTATGTATTTTATGCATATGAGTGCTCTATCTGCATGTATGTCTGCAAGCCAGAAGAGGGCATCAGATCCCATTTTAGATGATTATGACCCAATGTATGGTTGGGGAATTTGAACTCAGCACCTCAGGAAGAATAGCCAGTGAGTGCTCTTAATCACTGAGCCATCTCTCCAGCCTAGCCCTTTATTTCTTATGGCTGAAGAAATTTGGATTTTTAAAACTACTGAAATATCCATACTTAAAAACAGTGCTCTTGAATTTTATATCATGTAAGAAAGCCTCAAAACCTTCAACACTTAGTGTCCTTTCTGGCTTAGTAATTTTTCCTTTTTTTTTTTTTTAAGATTTGTATTATTGAAATATATTTTATTTTGTGTTGCAAGAAGGATTCTGAACTGTTCTTAGAAAGTTAGTAACTAGAGCTTGACACAGGTCAAAGCTATGGCTCTGTAAGCCCTTTGAGTGGACTTCCCATGCATAGAAAACATGGGATTGAGGAGCAGGTGAAACATACCACGGAGAAACTCTGGATCAGATCTAGAATGAGAGACGTCATATAGGACATTTGCTTGGTTCTTTCAACATTCACTCTCATCGTGCAAAGAAGGTAGGAGATGTGTTCTAGATGAGAAGAGGAGGAGGAGGAGGCATGACAGGCAAATTCCATGTATGAACTTGATAGGATCCAATTTCCAAGGGTATGTCTATGAAAGACACTGTGCAAATAGGTAAATTTGAGTATGGGTCAGTTCTGTGATTGTTACAGTATTGTATGTTTTCGTAAGCACGTAAATAATGTGGTGGCTATAGAGAAGAGAGCCCTTGTTTAAAGAGAGACATACTGATAAGCTACTTGAAAAGTGTTGTGTGCTACTTGAACTAATAACTTACATTTAAAATTTTCTATTTACATGTATGTGTATGTGTGAGTGTGGGTGTAGGGTGCTGTGAAACTGGAATTACAGACAGTTGTGAGCCGTCATGTCGGTGCTGGGAATCGAACCCAGGTTCTCTGGAAAAACAGCAGATGTTCTTAACCCCTGAGCCATTTCTCTAGCCCCAGGGTAACTTTAAAAGCATGTGTAGATATAAAGAGAAAACAGATAGGACAAGTCTTAAAAATTACCAAATCTAGGTGGACAGTATACGGGACTTTTTATGGATTTAAAAATTTCCACAATGTGAGGAGTAAACCATGGTTTCTGGAATTTGATATTTTAAGTTTTAGTATGAGAAGTAGGGCTTTTAAAGACAATGCATTAGTTGAACTAACAGGATTTGGCATTGGTTATTTCTGCCAGGAATAAAGTATAGAAACAAATCGTATCTCCATACCTGCTTGTATTGCATGATGCACTTCAGTTTTCTTTCTTTTTAAAAACTTATTTATTTTATGTACATTGGTGTTTTTCCTGCATGTATGTCAGCAGGAAACTGGAAGTTACAGAGAGTTGTGAGCCACCATGTGGATGCTGGGGATAGAACCTGGGTTCTCTGGAAGAACACCTAGTGCTCTTAACCGATGAAGCCCCTGCACTTCAGTTTTCTAAATAAAATATTTTCTCTGCTTCCTGTCTGAAAGGGTGAATGTATTAGCGTGGAAATGAACTCGGAACACATTTTGTGGAGAATATTCACATTAAAGTAGTTAAGCATTGTGGTTTAATTTGCATAGTGGAAAGAACTCTGAGTGTGTTTAAAGTACAGTTCACTTTCAGAGTTTCACTTGTGAAGTGTCTAGAATTATAATGCTTTGAAAGCGTTCAGAGTGTATTCATCAGTTATCTTCTGGCAAACATTTGGTAGTAAACTAGAAATTAAAAAAACAAAACCTGATTTTAAAATGCAACAACAAAAATTCCTTGAAGGATGTCTTTGTCCTCTGCCATATGAATTTATTTTGTTGCGTATATCCTGAAGTTTAAAAAATTTGTAGTTTTCTTCGGTGGCTTCTTCTTACAAAGTATTCTGTATATAGATCATCATTATTTGTTAAATAATGCAGTAATACATGAGGAAAGTGGTAAAATATTTTAAGGTTTATGCTAATCACTGAAAATCTTTGCTTTTTTATTTTTGTTTTCTAAAGGAAAGAGAGTTCATTCTGGAGCTCTTTTGAGTGACCGTGGCTCAGGAATACAGATTTAGGTTACCCCAATTTACAAGTTTCAACAAGGAAGCAGTTTTCTAAATTAGTTCTGTTTTGGCAACTAAACATCATTTGGAAAAAAAATCTGTTAAAATGTCTGACATTTGAACCAAGGCAAATGGTTTAATGGTTCTGTTGTCAATTTAAGTTACTGAAAATAGTTTACTATAAAATATATAGAACATGTATAAAGAGACATTTTAGTGAAAATATTTCCTAAGTTTGCTGGGCAGTGATGAGTTTTGTAGGAGTAATTTACACTTGTGTGTGGGTGTTTTGCTGCATAATTATGCTGGCATATTGAAGTCATATGTCTTTCCTTCCTCTTCTCTCTTCTCTTCCTGGTTTGCAGAGTATTTGGTTTCTGACACTGGAGGACAACAGCTCTCAATAAGTGATGCCTTCATCAAAGGTAATTTTACAAACGACTGTCTGTTATAATTTTACAAACAATGTCTGTTTCATGATGATGTGCTTGAGGATTTAGGACATTGACAGAAAGCGCTGAAAATATATTTAATTACTATCATAGGAAAGTGATTTTAAATGTGTAGAATGACTTTTGAATATGTTAGAAGTCAAGAATATAAATTTGGTCTTGGTTTGAGAAGGGGACCTTTAATTTAAAAATGATCGTTTAATTTTTTTTTTTTAAAGGAAGGGAAGCATCGAAACTTTTTTTGTATTTTATATACATTGATGTTTTGCCTGCAGGTATGTCTGTATGAGGGCATCAGATCCCCTGGAACAGAAGTTATGACAGTTGTGAGTTGCTATATGGGTGCTTGGAATTGAACCTGGGTCCTCTGGAAGAACAGTCAGTGCTCTTAACCACTGAGCCATCTCTCCAGCCTGATTGTTTAAATTTTTGAATAGAGTTTGCATTTCATATTTTTGAAGGCATTATCTAGGAGTAAATATTGATATACATATTGTCAAGGATTGCCTCTTTGCCAAAGAGCTCACAAGTGAGCTTATCAATTGATTTTGATATTTGCCCTGTGGAGTTGGAAAGAGAAGTAGGCAAACAGAATAAAGCACTAAATCTATTGATCGGTTTCATTGGGACTAAAGACGAGTAGATGAATACAAACCTCTCCTACCTTTACCTTAAACTCCCGTGGGGGAAAGACAAAGGGAGAAAAGGATCCTTCTCTGGTCTTCTCAGTTCCTGGGGTTTTAGAAAAAGAGAGAAGTGGGGCAAGAAAAGGATCCTTCTCTGGTCTCGGTCTTCTTAGTTCCTGGGGTTTTAGTGAGAGAGAGAAGTTGGGCAAGTTGGAACACGGGAGGCTGGTGGCAGCTGATCGGACTTGACCGTCTATCTAAATTCACCTCCTCACATATGGTTCAACTAGAAGTTTATAGACTGGCTCTTCATGTAATTGAAAAGTGCCAGCCTTGTGCCTCATGTACCATGACACATGATTTATAGAAGTTGGTTTGCTTTAAAAGAGAAAGCATTAGAATTTCCTATCTTTCTTTCCATTTGTTCAGTCATACTATTCAATGGTTATTTAATGAACACATGTTTTGTAAAACTTTTTTTAAACTTTTTGTAATCCATTTTGTCATTTTAAAAGTTACTATTTTTATTTTTTTAAGTCATGTAACCAAAAAAAAAAAAGTTCCTGAAAAGCTGGGCGGTGGTGGCTCACCTTTAATCCCAGCACTTGGGAGGCAGAGCCAGGTGAATCTCTGTGAGTTCCAGGCCAGCCTGGTCTACAGAGCGAGATCCAGGACAGGCACCAAAACTACACAGAGAAACCCTGTCTCAAAAAACAAAAAAACAAAAAAAAGTCACATATAAGTGTGTGTGTGTGTGTTTTGGTTGCTTAATGAGTTTTGGATATTGTCATTGTTTACAATGGTTGGTTACAAGTTGTTAATTGTTAATGGTCAGGAAAAAAGCTGAACAAGGAGATTAGATTCAGAGGTTTTGTTTAAAAAAAAGAAAAAGAAAAAAAGAATATAGATATGAATCTGCTCTGAGAAAAAAGATAAAGAAATAATAGGATAAATGGGTAAATCATTTATCTATACTGAAAAAGTGTACATGAACCTACACTGAAAAGAAAAAGAGGAAGATATAAAAATGACAAAAAGGAAGATTACTGAATCTATTATGAAAAGAAAAAAGAGAGAATATGAATATAAGATAAAAAGGTCAATTTTTGAATCTACTTTTAAAAAGGAACTACTTGTTTTAAATAAGATAAGTAATGAAAATTTTTTGTCTGAGTTTATCAAATGTTACTGGACTGGACATTGTTAATATATATAATGTAGTTTTTTGTCTGAATCTGTCAAATGTTAATGGACTAGACATTGTTATTGTAATTTTTGACTGTATATATTGTATATACTTATTGGATAGTTTTTCTTGTATTAGTTATAAGCTTTTTTTAATTTTAGACAAAGTAAGGGGAAATGTGGTGGTATTGTGTTCGCCAAAATATTGTCCACCCTAATAAACTTATCTGGCGTCAGAGACAGAACAGCCACTAGATACAAAGGCCAGAAAAATGGTGGCACTCACACCTTTAATCCTAGCATTCCAGAGGTAGAAATCCCTCTGGATCTGTGAGTTTAAGGTCACATTGGAAACAGCCAGGCATGGTGGTGCACGCCTTTAATCTCAGCACCTGGGAGGCAGAGCTAGGCAGATCTCTGTGTGTTCAAGGATACAGCCAGCATGGAGACACACACCTTTAATGTCAATACCAACCATAGAAGATCTGGAGGTCATGTGGTTGGGTTTACAACCAATGAGAAGGCAAAAACAGAAAGATAACGTAAGGCGTGAAGACCAGAAACAAGAAGCATTTGGCTGGTTAAGCTTTCAGGCTTCTAGCAGCAGTTCAGCTGAGATTCATTCTGGATGAGGACTCAGAGGCTTCCAGTCTGAGGAAACAGGACCAGCTGAGGAACTGGCAAGGTGAGGTGGCTGTGGCCTGTTCTGTGTCTCTGATCTTCCAGCATTCACCCCAATAACTGGCCTCAGGTTTGATTGTATTAATAAGACCTTCTAAGATTCATGCTACACATGTGAGTGCAGGCACCTGTGGAAATGTGGGGTGTTAGAACCCCCAGAGCTGGAGTTACAGATGGTTGTGAGCTGCCTAATGTGGATGCAGGGAACTGAACTCTAGTTTTCTGGAAGAGCAGCAAATGCTCTTAACTTAGGAACCATCTTCTCAGCCCCCAAAGCAATGTAGACAAAGCTGGCCTCAGGATCATAGAGATCTGCCCTTGTTTGCCTTCTGAGTTCTGGGATTAAAGTTGTGTACCATCATCCCCAATCATTTCACTCATTAAAAATTCAAAGACTTTTCAAAGTCTTATGTAAATTACTTACTATGTTTTATTTAGTATAATTTCTTCATGATTTTTTTTAGTTAATTTTGTTAAAATTTTGTTTTAAAGCCTGTATTGTAAAGTACAGTGGAGGATACTGTCATCTGGGGTGGGGAGGTCCATGAGATTTTTTTCTCTGTCATTGTAACCTTCAGATTTCAGTTGAATGTGGTTTTTAGGTTATGATTTTATGTGCAAAATCTGCATTCTTATCGACTCTCTAAAACAAACGGGATGGAAAAATACTATCCTGTCTGTCTTTCAGAATTTATGTTGATACTCTTAGCTGAGAGTCCTTGTCCCTTCAAGTTGCTTTTCATAGCTGTGCTCAGATTTTGGCTGATGCCAGTTGTGTCTGGGTTCCGCTCATCATGCAGGGTCTTGTACGTGTTAGAGAAGTGCTGTACTTCAAGCCTTGTTTCTGCATTTTAGTGTTTTGACGTATGTATGTATTGCATATTTTATTAATATTTTAAGTGTGTGTTGATTACAGGTCTTTGCCATTTTATAGCAATAATTTATATTGGCCAACTTAAAATACTTTTATTTTCTAAGTGTGTGGGTTGATGATGTAAAACGTGACAGTGAAGTACTAACTTCTTATTTTGTGTTTAGAATCCTTATTTAATCGACGAGTAGAGGAAAAATCCAAAGAGTTGCCTTTCACCCCTTTGGGCTGGCATCATAACAACCTGGAGCTCTTGCGGGAGGAGAATGAGGAGAAGCAAGCCATGGAAAGGCTGCTGTAAGGCACTAGATTTTTATTTTTCATTCCTCTTCCTTATAAAGTGGAAAATACTAATATAAAGTGTATTCTGACTTTTGAGGAAGTAGCTCATTAAAACAGAGTCCTAAACTGATTGTTTCCATTTTAATTTATGTGTTAAAATTTTAATTCAGCAGTTTGAAGGTGCTTTGTTAGTTGGAAGATATTCACAGATTTCATTTATGTACAGAATCATTATGGTGAAGATATATTGAAAGAATAAAATTGACATGGAAGATCTTACCTGTGAGCCATAATTGGAATGTCTGTTTTTTTGTAGAATGCTTCTTGTGTCTTTAGTACTTTAGTACTAACTGTGCAAACTTGTTTTTGTAACATTTTGTAGTTCAGCTAATCATAACCACATGATGGCACTACTCCAGCAGTTGCTTCATAACGAGTCATTGTCATCGTCTTGGAGGGACATCATTGTGTCACTGGTCTGCCAGGTTGTTCAGACAGTCCGACCTGACGTCAAGCACCAGGACGATGACATGGATATCCGCCAGTTTGTCCACATCAAGAAGGTATGCTCTGCTAATGTTTGCTGATGCTAGGAACTGATGGTGCAGGCCTAATAGTCATTTATCTCTTAATGGTAATCTGAAAGGAGCTGTTACCATGAGGCTGTCTGCTCTGTTAACAATACAAGTCGAGCTCTTGGTAGCCACTCATAGGAAGTGAGAGGTGCATGGAAAGAGAGTTGAGTGTGTGGTAAGGATCAAAATAAATATAGCTTCTTCCTTTCTTAATGCTTCTTCTTGGAAAGTCATTTATGAGAAAGTCTGTTCTCATAGACTACTGTCACTGTCATGAGGAAAAGCAGTGGGTAATTGCTTTAGTTAGATAATACTAAGTTCTGAATATATGTTTTACTTGTAACATTTAATGTTAAATTAGTGCCGTAGACACCAGCTTATTTAGTTAGTGAGTACTTTAGAGTAGCATCTATGATGTTCGAGAGTAGAGGGTGGGAAAACAAACAGTCATGATGAGCTAATCATGAGATGAACTATATTCTGCACCTTTCTGCCCATACTTAATTATGCTCATTATGTTAACAGTTCAATGATGTAAAGACATAATAAATAATAGCCATCTGATGAAGTCTGAGGATACACCACTGGTTTTTATTGTTTTCTTGTTTTATTAGATCCCAGGTGGAAAGAAATTTGATTCCGTGGTTGTCAATGGCTTTGTTTGTACCAAGAACATTGCACATAAAAAGGTAATGAACTTCAGTTCAACAGTGAAACTCAGCAGACCATGGCTATGTGTTGAGCTCACATGTTGGGATTTCTTAATTATGGAAGTAAAGGAGATGTTGAAGGGGTACGTAGCCACATGTTTCATAGAGGTGAAAGTTTGGAGGTTTCAGGAAGATCTCCCAGAGCTGATGAGTTGGAATTTGAATATGGGGATTCACAAGACAGAAGGTGGCAGAGGGAAAGTCAGGTTCCAGACCAACAGAGGGCAGGACACTGGTATCATGTCTTCCTAGACCCTGCCTCCAGACGGCGTTTTTCTGAAAGACTGCTTTCCTTCAAATGGTTTAGTTTTCTGCAACTGGTCTTCCTGCAGAATTGTCATTATTTTCTTATGCTTCTTACCCATTATACCTCTACCCTCAGCTCCAAAGCATCTTTCGAGCACTAGCACAAGATAGAAGGTTAGGTTGGATATTGACTATTTGGGAATCTCGAGATTCAAGAGTGTAAAATGCTGCAGTGTCAGACAATACGAAAGGAAGCAGGCAGGGTCTGTGTATTCCACCAAAGGTTTGAGCTTCTGAGGGTTTTTGATTCTCAAAGTACAGTGTCTATCAGGATTTTCTGGGCTCCCCCTAACTGTGTAGACCCTTAAACTTTCTCACTCAGTAGGTTAAAGGGAGTTGGAAAGGGTAGATGAGTGAGGGGAGGATAGTCTTGCATTGCAAGTGGGCACTGTGGATATTTCAGTGTCATCTGCTGGTTGTCACATTAAAGCACGTTTTTACTGATTTATTTTCTGTGTGTGTTTTGCTCGCATGTATGCCTGTGCACCATGTGTGTACCTGGTGTCCATGGAGGTCAGAAGAGGGCATTGGACCCCCTGGAACTGGAATTTCAGATGGTTGTGAGCTGCCATGGGTGCTGGGAATTTTACACCAAGTGCTCTTAACTGCTGAGCCATGTCTTCACCACTCTGGTCTTTACAATTTGAGGAACTATAGCAGCATTCTCAGATCTTGCTCTGCTTCATGGTCATCAAGGAAACGTTCTAAAACTAGGCTACCTCGGCCTCATCATAGGAGACATTGAGTACTTCTGGAAGCGTTGAGACGACCGTCTAGGCTGAGAATGTAGATGGCTGAACTGCAGTCCAGTGTTTACTCTTTTCTAAGGACAAATTAATGCGCTGTCTCTGAGTTGTTGCAGGGTGTTGGTGCAGGCTCTCAAGGGGATGCTGAAATCTGGGGTGCTTGAGCTCTTTATATAAGCTGTGAATACTTTCCTATAGACTTCAAATCATCTCTAGATGACTTACAATGGCTACTACAGTATAAATATTGTGTAAATAGTTGTTATGCTGTAGTGTTTAGGTCCTAATAAATTATAATGATAGAAAAAGATACTTTGTGCATGCTTAGGACACACAGTCAGCTTCCCCCCCAGTCTTGCAGATATTTTCTATCCATAGTAGGGTCAAATTCAGGATGTGGAAATTATTGGTATGGAGTGCTGACTAGAAGACATTTAGTCTTTAGAAAATTGTTAGTGATCACTTATAAATAATATGCTGATATTCAATATTATTTCTTAGACATGGTCCAAAAATCACTGGGTGTTTACATATATAATCTTGCTGGGCAGTGGTGGCACATGCCTCTAATTCCAGCACTCTCGAGGCAGAGCCAGGAAGATCTCTGTGAGTTCGAGGCCAGCCTGAGCTACCAAGTGAGTTCCAGGAAAGGCACAAAGCTACACAGAGAAACCCTGCCTCGAAAAACAAAAACAAAAACAAAAATGCATATATAATCTTATAAATCAGTATATTACCCTTTTAAGATAGAATGTCAAACCAAAATAAGTGATGTTTATTGAGTTAAGAGTAGGCATGTTAGCTGGGTGGTGGTGGCACATGCCTTTAATCCCAGCACTCAGGAGGCAAGGGTAGATGGATCTCTGAGTTCGAGGCCAGCCTGATCTACAGAGCGAGTTGCAAAACTGTCAAGACTACACAGAGAACCCCTGTTTTGAAAAATCAAAAGGGGGGAAAGAAAAGACTAAGTATGTGATGTCTTTCAGAAGTTGAAGAAAATCATGTAGGAGAGGTAGAAGTATATCCATGAATTATTTTCCTCACCGATCACATTCAGACAGTCTTTAATTTTAGAGCCTGCCTCTATTTGCCCAGTTAGTCACTGTCCTCAGAACGGTTTGCCAGTGCGGGCTATAGAGTTTGGTCAAACTGAAAGCTTGACGACAGGACCCAGGCTGTTCTGCTTGTGGTTTTGGTTGCATGGTTGAAGTGTTGGCATGAATTTCTGCTTTGAAAATAATCTAATGTTTTCTCTTTTAACTTCACATTATCAGGTCAGCTTGCCAATTTAAGATTGTTGAGGAATTTATTGTGTAGAATAATGTTCAAGTGCCATTAAATTCTTTTCTTCCTATTCTACTTTGAAAGTTTAGAAAGACTGAAATACATTTTCAACGTTGCTGATCTAGAGTGTGTGGAATAGTCTGTTTATAATACCCATCACCACCTAGGGCATGTTATTTCTTCTTACAGCATGAGAAATTAAAAAACAAAAACATAATATTATATGTTTTAGTACATAGTGTATAGTAAACAAAAACATAAGAGAAAAGAGGAATAGATAAGAAAAAGTTGATTTTGAAGAACTTGCTTTGAAAAAATTAAGTGAATAACCCAAAAGTAATAAATTAGAGTTTGATAATGCTAAATAGTAGCACTTAAGAGCAATATGAATTTAAAATTATGATTAATAGTCTATAAAGTGCAAACCTTTAACAAACTTTTTTTTTTTTAGATGAATTCTTGTATTAAAAACCCCAAAATCCTTCTGTTGAAGTGTTCCATTGAGTATCTCTATAGAGAAGAAACTAAGTTTACTTGCATCGATCCTATTGTGCTTCAGGTAAGAATTTCTGGAAGAAATCATTTGATGGGATGGATGCCTACCTTCTATGTTTCTTGCCACCCCTTAATTTCAAAAAACTTGTTACATTTCAAAAGTTAGTTGTACACGGCAGGTTTTTGTTAGACTTTAGGAAGTAGCTCACCCAAATCTCCTTTACTCGTTTCCAAAGTTCCAGAGTGTTTAAGGAGCACATGCTGTACTATCTCCCTGGGGTGTCTAAGCTCTCTGTTAAGAAACCATTTTTTTTTCCTTTTAATGAAAATAAAGTATTTTGTCATACAATATATCCTGATTATATACCTTTGCTCTTCCCAGTTCTTCTCTACCTCCCCTTCAGATCTGCTCTCTTTCTGTCTCTCATTAGAAAGGAACAGTCTTCTAAGAGATATCAACCAAACATGAATATAATATAAAAAAATACAATAAAATGAAGCAAAACCTATTGTATCGAAGTTGGACGTGGCAACCCAACAAGAGGAAAAGAGTCCCAAGAGCAGGCACAAGAGTCAGAGACCTATTTGTTCTCACACTCAGGCGTCCCATAAAATTACTAAGCTAATAGCTGGAATAGATGCTCGGAGGACCTGGTGCAGACCTGTGCAGGCCCTGTGCTTGCTGCTTCAGTTTCTGTGAGCTCATATGAGCCGTGCTTAGTTGATTCAGAGGGCCTTGTTCTCCTGGTGTCCTCCATCCCCTCTGGCTTTTACAGTCTTTCTACTTCTTCTTCCGAGGGGTTCCCTGAGTTCTGAGGGGAGGGATTTGATGGAGACCTCCCATTTAGACTGTCCCCAAATAATGTCTGGCTGTGGGTCTCTGCATCTGTTCCCATTGGCTGCTGGAGGAGCCTCTCTAGTGATGACTGGATATGACACTTACCTATGAGTATAGCAGAATATCATTAGGTTCGCCCCCAACCCCCATGCCTCCCAGTTTCAGCTGTCTCCCTTTACTCTCTTCCCCCATCCCCACCCTCCCCAGTCCTCCTGTGAGATAACCCAGACCCAAAACGATAAATATGGTATATATTCACTTATAAACTTACAAGTGGATACTGGCCATTAAGTAAATGATAACTTAAGGCCCATTCCACGAGAGGGAACCCATGCCTGACACTGACCTCTCTGGGTCTGTGGATTGACATTGCTTGCCAGTCCCACAAGTTTGGTGCCACCATTGTCCTAGCATATTTTGCAGGTAGGACAGATTAGAGGTCAGAGGTTTTGTGGCTGGGTTGGTCTCCATGTTTCTCTTTCAGTAGCCTACAGAGTACCTTCTTGCACTAGAGACTAGAACATATGGGTGAAGGATCCATGTAGGTACCAGCTCGACCTCTTCATGTTCAATGAGTTGTGTGGATGTTATCCTCAGCAATGGGGCCCTGTTGTCAGTTTGAGGAGAGCAACCCTTTGAATTAGCAGCAGCCTGGGTGGTTTGTATTTTGTTAACTTGGATATTCTCTCTCTTTTAGTTAGTTTGAATAACTATCTTACTGATTTTTCTCAAAGAACCAACTCTTTGTTTCTCTTTTATTGATTTCAGCTCTCAGTTTGATTATTTCTTGCCATCTATTCCTCTTGGGTGTGGTGATTACTTCTTTTTGTTCTCGAGCTTTCAGGTGTGCTGTTAAGTTGCTAGTATGAGATTTTTCCAAATTTTTTTATATGGGCACTTAATGCTATCAATTTTATTGGAGTTTTACAAACAAAATTATTTCAAATGTTCTTGAATTAAATTTTAGTAAGCATAGCTGGGTGGTGGTGGCACATGCCTTTAATCCCAGCACTCAGGAGGCAGAGGCACGCGGATCTTTGTGAGTTCGAGGCCAGCCTGGGCTACAGAGTGAGTTCCAGGAAAGGTGCAAAGGCTACACAGAGAAACCTTGTCTCGAAAAAACAAAAAACAAAAAAACAAACAAACGAAAACCAAAAACCAAAAAACAAACCCAAAAATCTTAGTAAGCAGATTGGGAAATTAATATATTTCAGGGAATAAACATTTTACTAATAAAGGAAGAATTTGAGAATGTACAATTGCAGTATCTTTTTGTTTGTTTGTTTTGAAATAGTCTTTCTGCATATTCTAGGGTCATCTCAAGCTCTAGAGTCTGGAGTTCTAGGCTTGAAGGTGTATGCCAGCATGCTAGGCAAAAATGTATACTTTCTATAAGTAGAACAGAGAAAGATAGAACAAATGCCCCTTATAACAGGGGAGTTTATTTTGATAGAAATCTCATATACTGAGGTGGCTGGAATGGTTATACAGATTGGGCACATGGAGTAGAAGTGGAAACACGCTCACTTTCAGTTGTCTCCTCTGTGGGGACCAGAAGCTTAGGAAACACTTAAGGATTTGTAATATTACCTCTGACTGTTTGCAGTATTCATTTGTTTTGAAATGACACTTTTATTATGGTGCAATTTCTTTCTCTTTTTTGGTTTTTCAGACAGGGTTTCTCGGTGTGACAGCCCTTGCTGCCTCAGACTCAGAGATCCATATGCCTCTGCCTCGCCAGTGCTGGGATTAAAGGTGTGCACTACCTCACCCAGCTGTTGTGGTGGTATTATATTAAGCATTATGTTTTAGAACTTGTTGTAAAGTTGTACTTATTTGAAGTAGACTGTGATGTTAGGAAATAGGTGAAGTAGCATTTGTCTGAGGGTTATTAGTTCTGACATCTAGAAAAGAGACGTTTGCCTGTTACAGACTGGAGAGGAAAGTCCATAATCATATCAACTTAGAAATTGCTTTTATCATGACAGGTATAGGAATAGGCTTTTTGCTGCTTAAAAGTCTAGTTTAAAAATCTTTGGAGATTTATCTTACTGGGTTCTTAGTGCTTATTATTCACATAATACACATATGCTTCACATGTTGCTAGGGTTGGACCACAGGACCCTGAGTGTATTAGGCATGTACTGTCCCACAGAGCTACATTTTCAGCAAATTATCGATTATCAAAATTTATTTCAAAATAAAATTTACTGGAGGATGAAACTTGTCCTAAAACTTTTAAGTATAATGAATAGTTTAGAATTATGACTAAAATTCTTTGTTGTATTTGAATTTGTTACAAACTTATTTGTGAATCAGAAATTATAGATTGGAAATTGATATCAACAGTCAGATTATCATGATATTTTAGTATGTCTAAATCTTGAATTGTACCAGGCTTTTTATTTCTGTTTTATCTCACTTAGGAAAGAGAATTCTTGAAGAATTATGTTCAACGGATAGTTGATGTTCGACCCACATTGGTTCTAGTTGAGAAAACTGTGTCTCGGATTGCTCAGGACATGTTACTGGAACATGGCATTACTCTGGTCATTAATGTAAAGTCAGTGAGTGTTTTCCATATTTATTCACTCAAAAAAATCATGGCTTTTAAGTTAATATGCATGTATGGTAGGTATATAGCAATCTTTTTATTTGATGTACTATTTACATTGAAAGTGGGACGCAGATGTGGTAGCTCCTTCATTATTGAGACTGTGGACTCACACTAGAAGAAAGTGACCCTGTAACTGATCTCTTGGGTCTTTATGAGACCAAAGGTGGAATGGACGTTAGCCCGTCAGCAAGTGCTTATTGGTGCTTTACTTCCCTCTGCAAAATGGAGGCCACTTTTATGGAAGCTGATTTTTGTATTTGCTTGTTTGCCCATAGAATCTTGTACTAAGACATGGCTGTCCAAATGCTCTTTAAAAAGAAGGATAATAAAATTAAGAATGAAAAAGAAGATAAGGTCTCAGGTTGTACCTCTAGCAGGTCTGGAACTCAGTAATTAAATCAGAATGACCTCAAATTTGTACTGGTCCTCCTGCCTCTGCCTCCCAAGTGCTGGGGTTATACAAGTGTACCACCATGCCATGCTTGTCTTTTGGTGATATTCCCATGAGCATGGTTTGTTTTTGATTATTTAGCAAGTAAATTAGGCCTAATGTAGAATAAAAAATTGTCATATAATTATTAAAATTAAGGAAGTTGATTGTCAACTTTTTTTGTTTTAATACTTCATGTACTTTTTTAGGTTAAATTTATTAAGATTTTTACTCATAGCTAATTCTGTAATACAATGTTTTTCTGTGTTGTAGCAAGTTTTAGAACGAATCAGTCGAATGACCCAAGGTGATTTAGTGGTGTCCATGGACCAGCTGCTCACTAAACCACACCTGGGCACTTGCCACAAATTTTATATGCAGATATTTCAGTTACCTAATGGTGAGTCATCTTAAGCATACATTCACTTGGGGATCTCGAGAAATGAATCAACTCCTAGTTAAATATAGTGTTGTTTACTCAGCAAGTATTAATATCTATTAGCATTGGTCTTAATTCCTGTAAGGATTTTCTTTTTTGTTGGTAGTAAATTCTGTCTGGTCCTCTAGATTGTCACCTAAGTCTCTGAATTTTGTTTGTTTATTTGTAGAACAAACCAAAACACTGATGTTTTTTGAAGGCTGTCCACAGCACCTAGGGTGTACAATCAAGCTCAGAGGAGGCTCCGATTATGAGCTGGCTCGAGTTAAGGAGATCCTAATATTTATGATCTGTGTAGCTTATCATTCTCAACTAGAAATCTCCTTTCTCATGGATGAGTTCGCTATGCCTCCAACATTAATGCAAAGCCCTTCATTCCATTCTCTGACTGAGGGACGAGGGGATGAGGGAGGGCCTCAGGAGCAGTTCAGTGGCAGCTCCCTTCCCCAGGACCCAGAGTGCCCTCCTGATTCTCTGTCTTCTGATGATAGCACTTTGTTGGAATCAAGGACTGTGCTTGAGAAGGGTGAGCAGGACAGTAAAAGTATTCCCCAGGCGGTTGCCTCTTTGAAGCATCAAGATTATACGACACCCACATGCCCAGCAGGTATTCCGTGTGCTCTCTTTGCATTGGTACCTGAATCGTTGTTGCCTGTTCATATGGATCAACAGGATGCTGTAGGAAATGAAGAGCCAGAGCCATTGCAGCAAACAGAGGAGCAGCAGGATCCCAAGAGCCAGATGAGAGCCTTCAGAGACCCTCTACAGGACGACACTGGAATGTACGTTACTGAGGAAGTCACCTCCTCGGAAGATACACGAAAGACCTATTCTCTGACATTTAAACAGGAATTAAAAGATGTGATCCTCTGCATCTCTCCAGTTATTACGTTCCGGGAACCCTTCCTCTTAACTGAAAAGGGGATGAGGTGCTCAACTCGGGATTATTTTCCAGAGCAGATTTACTGGTCTCCTCTCCTCAACAAAGAGGTGAAGGAAATGGAGATGAGGAGGAAGAAACAGCTGCTCAGAGATCTCTCTGGACTTCAGGGCATGAATGGCAGTGTTCAGGCCAAGTCTATTCAAGTCTTACCCTCACATGAGCTAGTGAGCACCCGGATTGCTGAACATCTGGGTGATAGCCAGAGCTTGGGTAGAATGCTGGCTGATTATCGAGCTAGAGGAGGAAGAATTCAGTCAAAACATTTGGACCCTTTTGTCCATTCAAAAGATGCATCGTGTACTTCAAGTGGCAAATCGGGAAACAAAACGGAGTGTGATGAAGAGAGGGGGTTGATTCCAAGTGATGCCTTATGGTCAACAAAGGTAAGATGTCACTCTGGAGTGTTTGTGTAAGTTTAGAATTTTTTGTGTTGAAAAATTACTGAGGCAAGATTTGAAAAATCAGTATAATAAATTGCATATGTTTATTAAGTGTTTACTCTTTTGTTAATTTTTTTTTCTTCTTGAGTCTGATGACATTGATGTATGAAGTACAAAAGTGGATTCATAAGGTAATGAGACTGGGACTTTGGATTTTAATATGCACTTGTAGTAAAGTAGGAAGGGCCTGAGTTAAGGGAAAGTAGGCAATTGCTTGAAGTTTCTGTCTGTATTGCTTATGGTATGATGTAGCTCTTGACTTTTTTCAGTGTTCTAAGATAGGTCTTTAGCTTCATTTTTTGTTGTTGTTGCTGTGATCAAATACCTGAAAAAAAGTCAACTTATGGAAGAGTTTATTTGGCTTGTAATTCCAGGTTATAGCCCATAAGTAAGGTAAAGTCAAGGCAGCAGGGACTTGAAGCAACTTATGATACCACAACCACAGTCAGGAACAAAGAGAGAGAAATGCATATATGCTGCTTGTTTGTTTGTGCTCAGTTCTGTTACTCCATTCTTAACAGTTCAGGATCTTTTGCTAGGGAATGGTGCCACCCACAGTGGACGAGGTCTTCCCACATTTTAACTTAGGATAATCACTCAGATGTGCCCTCATTCCAACCGAGTGTATATAATCCTTCCTTGAGACTCTTCCCAGTTGATTTTAAATTGTGTCAAGGTGGCAGTTAAAGCTGATCTTCACAGGTCTCATTATGTGGTCCTGGCTGACTTTGAGTTCATAGTCCTCTTGCCTGTACCTCTTTAGTGCTATGATTATAGCTCTGTACCACCACAGCTCGCTCTATTGTTTTGATTGATAGTCACTGTGATAGATGGAAATTTATTATTGAAATAGACCTGTTTTAACAAAGTGTGTGTGTGTGTATTGTGTATTTAACAGTATAAAAATTTTATATTGTCATTTAACTGACAGTGATCTTTTTTGTTTAAATTGAAATTAAAGCTATTTAAAGAAGATTTACATGTGGATAGATACATTACTAATAGTGAAACTAATGAAGAAAGCTATCATTAGACGTAATGCAATTTCGTAATAAAAAGATATCTGGTTTCACTGATAGTCAAGGAAGTGCTAAGTGGTGGTGCTAAACAATTGTTTTTGAGACCCACAAAAAGAACCATGGCTAATGAGAGTTAAGAACTTTTGAATGCTTTGTCTAGATGTATAGAAAGTGATAAGGAGGTGTCTCCTACTTTAAATGTACGTTTGTCACCCTTGACTCAGGATTCCAGCTTCTCTATTCCCGCAGAACGAATTAAGTACGTCTGTGTGAGGATGCTTGCTTGTTGTAATATATGTAAATATATCCATTTTTTTTTTGTAGTAAAAAGGATTGCATTATGTTTTGCAGATGTGACAAATGCCTGGCATTAAACAGTTTGAGGGGGTTTATTTTAGCTTGTGATTTCATAGGTTTTGGTCCATACTCCTTGACTCTTTTATTCATATCGGTAGAGTCCATGGCAGAGGTTATTCACTTCACAACAGACAGGAAGCAGAGAGAAATAGAAGGACCTGGGATGATATACAGCCTTCAAGGACACACCTCCAGTGACCTATTTCCTCCATGTAGGACCTATCTTCTAGCATGTCCAGCATAGCTCTCCACTTGAGGAACAAACCTTAAATACAGGATTCTTGGGCAGGGGCATCATTCATATTCAACCCATATCAAAAGATAGGTTTTGAACAAATGATTTTTTTTAATGCAACTTTAAACTTTTGCTGTATTAGAATAAAGTACTATGGTTATATTTTAGCATGTCCTCAAAGAAAAGCAAGTTATATTAATATATTTTTATAACATATCTCATTTTAATGAAAACAAATCACTGTGTGTATTTATGTGTGTGTATGTACATGTGTGATTGTGCATGTATGTAAATGTGAACAATGTGTATAAACAAAAAGAGTGGTTTTTCTTTTGGTGTTTGTTTGTTTGAAATAGGATTTCTCATTGCCTAGACTGGCCTCAAACCCCAGATCCAGTTGAGGAAGACATTAAACTCCTGATCTCTTGACTTTGCCTCCCAAGTGCTGGGATTACCATGTGTCACCATGCTGGTCTGAGTGTCTGTTTAGCTTTACAGACTACCTAGTTTGATAGTTAGGTAGCGTCTAAGAAGGAGGAAATATACCTTATGGGCCTCTACTCCTTGAATTTTAACAGGGAACAGGTCAGTATTTAAAGACAGGAAAAAGCAGAGGTAAAAACATACTTAGGATTTTGAGTTCTAGGCACCCTTGATTGATGCCATATCCATCTGTCAGGTCATATTGTTCCATAGCAATATATTTTAGTTAATTTGTACTTCTAAAATATAATACAATTTCGAAAAAACTGCAGTGTTTATGTTAAGAAACAAGCTTTTTAGTCCTCTTCCTCTTTCAAACACAGTGTTGGGATTGATCGAGGCCTCACTGATGTTAAGTTCCAGCCCAGCCCATTTATTTTATGCTTTTACGTTTACCATAGAGTTTTGAAATTGTCTTCGGTCAAAACCCAGCTGTTGTTATATTTAGTCTTTTGTAGTTTTAAATCTTCACAGGCACCCCGTAGTGATGACAGGAGGCTTTACTAACAGTGGAATGTGTTCTGCGTCAGTGAACTGGTAGGCACTGTGTTCCGACTCACGTGCTCCTCTGTTCCTTGTCCTGCAGGTGGACTGTCTGAACCCTGCGAACCACCAGAGGCTCTGTGTACTCTTCAGCAGCTCCTCTGCCCAGTCCAGCAATGCCCCCAGTGCCTGCGTCAGCCCTTGGTAGGACGCTTCTCCCTCACTGTTGCCCCGGGAACCCAATTCCAACAGCGTAAAAATAATGCCTGCTTTTAGATACATTGGTGCTCACATACAAATTAATAGAATGTTTAAACTTAAGAAGTAACTGCAATTTCTTTGTTCATGGGTAAATAATAGTACCTTAAGTAAGAGTGAAAAAAGTCTGAAAGAGAAAAAGGGGAATTTTTACATTACAAAAGTTAAATAGTTGACCCACACAAACTGGTTTATAAAAACAAAAAGCTACATTTTGATTATACCATGTGCAATTTAGGCGAGTTTTCTTTTTGCATAAATTTCATAAAAACAGTCAGCCTCTTATCTTAGTGCTTGTGGTTTTGTTACTGAGCTATACTGCATACCAACCTTTTGTCTTTTTAGTACACTCTTCTTGGAAGTAAATTTATAGAGACAAATACATTTTATAATGTTGTAATGTTTCCAGATAGTCACAAAAACTTTACGTACTTGGGTTTTTTTTTTGGTTTGTTTGTTTGTTTTGGTTGCTGTTGTTTCTGTGTTAAAAAATTCTCTGTTAAAAGCAACTTAAAGGAGAAAGGGTTTATTTGGCGCACAGTGTAAGGCTACTGACCTTCATGGCAGAGAAAGGCATAGCAGCTGCAGCTTGAAGTAACCGATCACGTTAAGTCGGGAGAAGAGAGCAGAGAAGGCTGAGAAGTGTTAGTGCTCTGCTTCACTGGCTCTCTCGTGCAGTACGGGCAGGGAATGGTGCCGCCCAGTGGGAGGGTCTTCCCAGAGCAACTCACATGGTCACAGCACCCAGGAGCCTGTCCTCCACGCCTCTGTATGTGCACATACACAGCTTTTTTGTTTTTGTCTTGATAGCACTGCTTTCATGATAAAACTTATTTCCAATGGAAAGATTTTTCTAGAAACTTGTATAGTTCCAGGACAGCTTTAAGCCTGGCTTTTTGAAAGCTCATAGGATTTTTTCTCAGAGTTTAATGGACTCCTTAGGTAATACTTGAATGGGATACTGGTTTCAACAAGCACACATGCAAAGTCTAATTTTGGGCAGTTGTGAGTTAGGAGTTGGCTTCTTATCAAGACTAAGAGCTGGTCTTCTCCATATTCAGTGAAGATAGGAACTAGAGGGCAGGTGGACACTGTCATCCCCCTCCTGTTGACATGGATTATGACTGAAAGGTGATTTTGCCTTCTTAATGCAAATCAGTTTTATTCAGTTGATTTTTACAGTTTGTGCATTCTCATGAAATGACTGCTTAAGATACTAATGGATTGGGAGTGGAAAGGATGCTGTAGTGTGGCTAGTCTGCACTTGTTTGACAGGATGAAGTAAAACCTGCTCTACAGCAACAACATGTGTGATTTGCCTTGTTACTTCATTATAAGCATATTTAATAATTAGAATATGGTCTTGGTGGTAATGTTGACATATTTCTTCTAAGAAATGATCTCTTTTAGGATTGTAACGATGGAATTTTATGGAAAGAATGATCTCACACTGGGAATATTTTTAGAAAGATACTGTTTCAGGTAAAAGCTTATTTATTCCTTATGATTTATTATGCTTTGATTTGCTTTTTTGTTTGTATGTTTATTTGTTTGTTTAATTGAGACAAGGTTTCTATAGTTCTGGTTGTCCTGGAACTCACTATGTAGACTAGGCTGGCCTGAAACCTTGAGATCTGCCTGCCTTTGCCTCCCAAGTGCTGGGATTAATTATTATGCATTTTTGAAGCCCATAATTTCAAACTAAAACATGTGTGAGTTGAAATCAAGTGTTGTTGATGGTTCTCACTTTTACTCCACATGCAAGAGCATATCTTACAGTGACTCAGCTGGGAGCTCTTGTCTCAGGTAGTTTTTGTATCTTTGTCTGTCCAGCTACTCTGCCATGCCAAGACTTTTTTGGTAGTGTACTTCTACAGGGATTCTAGTGAAAAGCAGGGAAGGCTTGGGACCAGCTCAACATCAGTTTGAGTTTCGTTGCTATTACCAGTTAAGGTACACAGCACTGCTCAAGTAATTTAATGTTACCAGCCTCGTCCACAGGGAGCATAGTCCTTAGAAATGTCTGGATTTGACTGTTGTTAGAAACTGGACATTAGAAGGTGTTTGACAAATAGAAACTGTACCATGCTTCAGTCTAAGACATAATGTTCAGCTGCAGGTCAGAGCCCCATGTGTCCTGTTCAGATTGTCCACTGTTTATCATTACTTAGAGGTGGTGTGTCACTTCCTTGGTCAAGGCTCTGATTGTTCAGTACTTGCTATGTGTGGCCCTCTGTTTCCTGCTGTATGTGAAGGATTCTCTCATTTATCACAGGTCATCTTACCAGTGTCCTAGCATGTTCTGTGATACCCCCATGGTGCATCACATTCGACGCTTTGTTCATGGCCAAGGCTGTGTGCAGATAATCCTGAAGGAGTTGGATTCTCCAGTGCCTGGATATCAGCATACAATTCTCACATATTCCTGGTGCAGAATCTGCAAACAAGTATGTGCTGCTAGTGGAATATTTCATGTGACACTCCCATTTGTATAGTGCTTTGGGGGATATATAAGTAATAGTATTTTGAACTTCATTATTTGTCATTACGATCTTATTTATATCCCTTCTTGTGCTGTATGTTTAACCTAATAGTTTATTAAACTGCACTTAAAGAATGTATGTCATGCCGGGCGGTGGTGGCGCACGCCTTTAATCCCAGCACTCGGGAGGCAGAGCCAGGCGGATCTCTGTGAGTTCGAGGCCAGCCTGGTCTCCAAAGCGAGTTCCAGGAAAGGCGCAAAGCTACACAGAGAAACCCTGTCTCGAAAAACCAAAAAAAAAAAAAAAAAAAAAAAGAATGTATGTCATTAGCCAGGTGGTAGTTGCGCACACCTTTAATCCCAGCACTTTGGGGACAGAGGCAGGTGGATCTTTGAGTTCGAGGCCAGCCTGGTCCACAGAGCTAGTTCCAGGGTAACCAGGGCTATACTGAGAACCCTGTCTTAGAAAAACAAAAAACAAACAAACAAACCCCCCCAAAACAAAAACAATCAGAAAAAGAATATATGTCATTAAATAATGATATATGTATGCCTTTTCCAGTAAATATATTTTGATAATTTTCAGTTGTTTGTTAATTCTGCATATACTTAATTCCATCTGTGTTCTAGATACTGTTGCACCTTAGGAATAGAAAGAGAATAAGGCATGACTTGTAGAGAAAGAGACAGACTTACAAAGCAGTAACTACAGTGTATTAGGCTATTTCCCTAGCCAATCTGAGCCTATATTAACAACTCTTCTAAAAAATGTAGATGAGGCTTTGTTGACAATGGCCTATACTGGCTTTATGCATAATCTTAGAAAATGACTTGGATGTGTATTTAATTTCTTTGAACTATCTTTTCAAACTCTGGGGGAATTATTTGATGTCAGTATTGTGATTTTTTTTTTTTTTTGCTTGTTTTTTATTAAATGGATTCAATCCATTTTGGAGAAGCGGCATAGGTTTAGATTTAAGGTTTATTTTTAATTTTATGTGTGTATGTGTGTGCACAACTTGATGTATGTGTACTGTGTGTGCAAGTACCTGACTAGGCTAAATGAGAGCTTCAGATCCCCTAGAAGTGGACTTACAGATGGTTGTTAGCCACCTGATGTTCTAATGTGGGAGTTGAACCTGGATCCTCTCCAAGAGCTGCAAGTGTTCTCTCCAGCCCCAGTTGTAATTTGTGTGTGTGTGTGTGTGTGTGTGTGTGTGTGTGTGTGTGTGTGTGTGTGTATGTTTGTTGTTTTAATTTACTTTTATTTTATATGCATGTGTGTTCATCTGCATGCATGTTTGTGTATTATATATGTGCATAGTTCCCAAGAAGATCGGAAACTGTAGTTACAATGGTTGTGAGACACTGTGTGGGATAAAACCTGGATCCTCTGGAAGAGCAGCCAGTCCTCTTAACTGCTGAGCCATCTCTTCAGGCCCTATACCATTTTAAATATATACTATTCATTGACATTGTAGCAAATATATATCCAAATTGCCTTCATTATTAGCTTGATGTATTTTGGAGTGCGCTTAGAAAACATTTATGAGAACTGTAGGTAAATTAGTAGTGTGTCTGTTAGTATAGCACTTGAGAATGGTGACATTAGTTTCCTTTATGAGCTGGAGCCTACTGGCCTGCAGTGATTGGTAGTAATGATCAAGGCTTCCATACTTTCTTGCATATGTTAGTGGAGATCAAGCTATACATGCTCGACAAGTGCTTTACCATTAAGCTAGGTCCCAGCCTCATTCTCAAATCCATAGACCTTTAGGTCCTGGTCTAAAATGCGGGTAGATTCGTGGTTCTTAACCTTCTTAATGCTGCAACCGTCTAATACAGTTCCTTATGTTGTGATGACCTCCATCCATAAAATTACTTTTGTTGCTACTTCATAACAGTTTGCTACTGTTATAAATTGTAATATAACTGTCTGTATTTTCCGGTGGTTTTAGACAACCCTTGTAAAAGAGTTGTTTGACCCCCAAAGAGGTTGCAGTCCATGGGTTGAGAACTACTGCTGTAGATTGACTGTTGAATTAAGTCAATAACTAAATTTTGGTCTGATTTCCATGCCTTGGTTTATGCATCTAAGTTTTTGTTGTTGTGGTGGTTGTTTTTTTGTTGTTGTTGTTTTTGTTTTATGGGGTTATGCTAGAAAGGAAAAGAACTTCTAGTATAGGAAAAATTTAATGTTAAATTTTGTAAGCCACAGTAATAGAAAAAGTAGGCAAAGAGCATGACAAAGCAATTTAATACAAATAGCCAGTAAATATGCAAATAAATTTTATTCATTAACTTAGTTGAAGCATAAATGAAGCAAAATATAAATGAAATAAGTAAAATGCCTTCTAAAAAAAGAAATGACATTTCAAAGATGAATAATTTGTAGGATTGGTAGGAAAGTGAGGTAATTGGTATTCTCAGTACTGTTGTTCAAAGTGTGTAAATGAATGCATCTGATTTGGAAAGAAGTTTGGCAAAAAGACCATTGCCCTTTGATCCGTCATTGCCCACCTTTACTGATTTATTCTAAAGGAATAATTATGTCTGTTTCTGAGTGTGTTTATAAGGATGTTCAGCAGAGCATCATACAAATAAGGAAGACCTATCTATCTCAAATGTCTGTCAGTGGGGCTAGTTAAGTATGTGGCCATACTCCATGGCCATTGAGGGATTATTAGAGCTATCCTCTCTCACTCTCCCAGCTCAAATCTATTTTGAATATTTTGTTCTTTTCCCAGCTCCTCCCCCCCCTCGCTCATTTAGAATATGTTGTTTGTCTTGGAAAATAGAAAATACATGTTTCAAAAATGAGATTTTCAGTATGTAATTTATTATTATTATTAATTATATAATAATAATATATTTTTTCTGAACAGGTAACACCAGTTGTTGCTCTTTCAAATGAATCCTGGTCTATGTCATTTGCAAAGTACCTTGAACTTCGGTTTTATGGGCACCAGTACACACGCAGAGCCAATGCTGAGCCGTGTGGTCACTCTATCCACCATGATTATCACCAGTATTTCTCTTATAACCAGATGGTGGCATCTTTCAGGTGAGAAGGCAGAGGGATCTTTACATTAACACATTCCTTATAGATGGAACAGTTCCACTATTGGATTGAATTTGGCCTTGTCTCTAACCCTGCAAATGGAAAGGGCTGTACTCTAAGAGCTTTTAGTGTTAGTTACCCTTTATCCTAAGAACTAGGTAATGTTGTTATCCTATTATAAGCAAGGATAATAATCTTGTATATTTTACCCATAGAGCTGACAAATGGTAGGAATCAGTTTAAACACTGCTTGATATTCTGTTTTCTGATTCACTCTTGACCATTGTTTTGGCATCTGAAAGTCTGAGAATTTTTACCAAGATATTACTTACCATGAAAATTCTAAGACACTTCTGACCAAGCTAAAATTCTAGCAAAGCTAAAGTTCACGGAATAAACCGTTGTAGTATCAAATGTGAGAATGCCCTTAGGCTCTGCCGTCAGAACTTACTAAGACCTTGAACGCTTGGCCACCCTCAGCACTGCCACTGTGGCTGAGCCTCTTTTGTTTTAGCAGGAGGTTATTGCAGTGGTTCTGGGCAGATTCCCTCAGCCTTGCTTCTGTGGCCTGCTCCCAGCTCAGGTCAGCTTCAAAAGTGACCCTATTAAAGGAAAATCAGCTGATCAGGGCTTTGCTCTAACATTGCAAATGGTGTGCTTGGCCCACTAGAAGGCAGGACCCACTGGTTGCCCAGAGCAAGTGTTCTCCGCTCCTGCTGCTCCCCGTTGCTCTGCTGAGGCCTCACTGGCTCAGGGCTGTCCTCTCTGTGTCATGTAGGTGCCTGCCTGGGAGCCTTGTCCTTGCCCTTCCTTCTCAGCTTGTGTTCCTCAGACACTCCCCTGTGTTTCCTTACTTCCCGTAGCTCTCTAGTCACGTTTGACCTGCCAAGTACTCCCTCCTTCATTCTTAGTTGATTATTTTTTTCTGTAGTGCTCTGAGAAAAATATCCTACATATTTACATTTTGTTTTTTACCACATCTCATTATTCTAGAGTTAAGAGGGCAAGAATTTTGGTGCTATTTTCTTGGCACTTGTAACAGCATCTCGGACACAGTATATTCATGAAATATTTATTAATTAGAATTTATTTCCTTTTTAAAGTAAGGGCTTTGAATCATAAACACAGGGTATAGGTTGGGTGTAGCATTTACTAGTCACTGCCTTGGGTAGAAAGGAAGTGAAGACTCATGAGGAACCCTAAGAGCTGGAAGGTGATAAACCTTGAGTAAGTAAGTCTCTTCAGATCTACAGAGAAAGTTTCTGTTAAAGTCATTGCTGGTTTTAGAGCAGATGGCCTAGCAGAGGGAATAAATAATGATGTTATAGTGCAAGGATAGAACAAAATCCTCTCAATATTGGGGAAGAGATTTCTGGTGGTTGAAAGTTATTATTATTATTTTTTTGTCTTTATGAAACTTGGTTTTATAGAAAACTTTATTTTTCTCTTATGCTCATTAGAATTTAATTGATCATGTGAGTATGATCATGTATGTGCTCTATATAAATTACTAAAATATGTTTTATTGTCTCCTGTTACTGTTTTTTGCCTCAGTTATTCTCCTATTCGGCTTCTTGAGGTGTGTGTTCCACTACCAAAAATATTCATTAAGCGTCACGCCCCGTTGAAAGTGTCCCTTCTCCAGGACCTCAAGGACTTTTTTCAGAAGTAGGTGCAGTATCTTTGGTCATCCATGTGTGCTTACTGTTGTGTTTAGTTACCAGGTTTACTCATTTAACTGTCTTTTGAAATATGAGTAACTTTGCTTTTCTAATTATATGTAGTGTGTGCTCACTGTGAGAAGGAAAAGTTCAAATAATACAGGAAAATATCTCCAAAACATAACTAACAACTTAAAATTCTGAAGTAAATTCTTTGAGGCCTTGTTTTGCTTTGCAAATTTCCATGTGATTTTTGATAAGATATCTCGTTTTAGCTATAGTTTTATATAAAATACCTTCTCCCCTCATTTCTATGAGGTGGTTTGATTTCAGGGCCGCTAAGGTGATACTCTCCCCATTTTTAGAGTTTCACAGGTATACCTAGCTGTTGATGAAAGACTTGCATCCTTGAAAATGGATACATTTAGCAAAACAAGAGAAGAAAAAATGGAAGATATCTTTGCACAAAAAGAGGTAATTTGTTTCTGTTATAGAAACTCCGAAGTTGCTGACTCCCTAGAAATCCCTTTGTCTCTGTGGTGTCTCAGCTTACTGAACTTGGACCTGCTGCCTTCCAGATGGAGGAGGGTGAGTTCAAGAACTGGACTGAGAAGATGCAAGCCAGGCTCCTGTCCTCCTCAGTGGATACCCCTCAGCAACTGCAGTCCATCTTTGAGTCTCTCATTGCCAAGAAGCAGAGTCTCTGTGAAGTGCTGCAAGCGTGGAACAGCAGGTATGGCTGTGGCGGGTTTCCTGACACTGCTGCCAAGTTTGTTCTGCCGTGCTGTTTCAGACTGTGTTTCCTGGCTCTGGCCTTCCCGCTTCGCTAAATTCCCAGTCACAGTAGTTTAAATCTCACGATCTTTATTAATTATAGATGTTCATTTCCATAGTTATAAAGACTTTTGTGGCTTTTGTTCTCTTCATCCTTTACATAGTTTGTAGACTTTACATAGTTTGTTAAGATAAAATAAACAAACAAACAAAAAACTAAAGAGGAAACAGCCCTGTTTGCTGTTTCAAATGTGTGTGTTGCTGAGTGAGACTAAATTGGATCATTGTGCCATGAAACATCATTGGCTATCATAAGAATTTAGTAATGACTACATACAGCTTTACAGTCTATTACAAGAAAAAAAGTGTATAAGTATAATTTAAGGTACTGGAAACAAAACCATGTCCTTTTTGCCTATGACTGTAGGTTGCAGGACCTTTTCCAGCAGGAAAAAGGTAGAAAGAGGCCTTCGGTTCCTCCCAGTCCTGGGAGACTGAGACAAGGAGAGGAAAGCAAGGTAATCAAGTAGAGCACTGTCTTTACTGTCTCACTGATAAAGCTACGGTTAGCTCCATTTCTAACACGAGGAGAGGGAGTTTAATGCATAACGTTTTCAGGGGAAAGGATCTGGGTTACTTTTATATTCTAACCCCAATTAAAATCATGTGTTAGGATTAATTTGTTTGAAGTATTTGTCAAAAGGCTACTGCCCCAATACATCATTGAGAATATTACAGAGGACACCTGTAGGTTCCCAGAGTGTATAACAGAGTTCTCATTTTTCATTTTCCTTCCTTTCAAAAAAATATATTTGTTTACTTTTACTTTATGTGCCTGAGTATTTTGCCTGCATGTATGTATATCACCTCATGTGTGCCTAGAGCCCACAGAGCAAGAAGAGGGCATCAGATCCCCTGGAATTGGAGTTATAGATGGTTGTGAGCTACCATGTGGGTGCTGCTAACCAAACAGCAGCAGGTGCCCTTAACTGCTGAGCCTTCTCTCAAGCCCCACTTTTCTTACTGGGTAGTTTTGGGTGTTTGATCTCTGTGCTTGAAGGAGAAGCTCTTCTTAAGGTGTCTGCCCTGGATGACTCCATTCCCAACTGATTGCTTTCTTTTGTGAAAACAAAGTACCACAAACTTAGTGTTCAAAAATGTGGACTTACTATTTTATAGTAGCATGTATGATTGGGTTCTTTATTCAGAATGCCACAGAGCTAAAATCAAGGGCTTGGCCAGAGTTTCTCTTATTTTTGAGGATCAGCATCTTCTCCCAAGCTCCTTCAGGTTGTTGACAGGACTCAGTTCCTATAGTGACTGACCGACCTTCTGTTGGTGGCTGTTGATGCTTGCATTCTCTGCCCTGCAGTCTGCTCCATCTTCAAAGCCTTCAACACTGGTCCAATTCCACTTGTGCTTCAGATCACTTCCTTTATCTCTGACTTACAGCTTTAAGATTTATGTACTTAATGGACTTAAATCTGGATTTCTCTTCATTTTGTGATCAACTGACTTGGCACCATTATATTTGCAAAATCCCTTCACAGCAGTACTCAGATTTTTGTGTGTTGGAGTAATTGGAATAAGGGTGTATACACCAGTGGCTGAACATTTTTTGGGCCCTTTAGAATTCTGCCTGTCATGTTGCTCAGATATCACATGAAACGATGCTAGTGTAATGGCCTTGTTTCCTGACATCACAGGGTCTTAGGGTCGGGGGTCCTTTTTCATATCATGCAGACTGTTGTAGAGGAGTGTTGTCATGGAATGATGGATCCACGTGATTTAAATCATTTTAGAAAATAGAACGGCTATTTCTTTTTACCTGTTAAACACCTGTTTAGGAATTGTATTTCCTCTTAATATTTAGATAAGAATAATGGCTGGAGATATGGCTCAGTAGCTGGAGATATGGCTCAGTGGTTAAGAGCACTGACTGCTCTTCTAGAGGACCCAAGTTCAATTCCCAGCACCCACATGGCAGCTCACAGCTGTCTGTAACTCTGGTTCAAGAGGATCTGATATCCTCACACCGACATATATGAAGGCAAAAACACCAATGCACATAAAAATCTTAAAGATCGATGGTACACGCCTTTAATCCCAGCACTTGGGAGTCAGAGACAGGCGAATCTCAGTGAGTTCGAGGCCAGCCTGGTCTACAAAGTGAGTTCCAGGACAGCCGGAACTGTTATTCAGAGAAACCCTTTCTTGAAAAACAAAATAAAACAAACAAACAACAATAAAAAAAAATCTTAAAAAGAGAGAAAGAAAGAAATTCACTACCACTCAGGAGGTGATCAGCTTTTGGAAAATTGGAAATTGACTTGAAATTCTGTTGTACTGCCTTTTGATAAATAGTTTTGAGTACTTATTTTTGTTTAGATGTTTTTCTAGGTTGTATGGCATTCACTTGTGAACAAAGGCAATAGTTACTATCTCGTGAATTATTTGCCTGATTAAAAAGAGACTGATAGAAAACACATGAACCCATAAGGATTGAGTTGTAGAAAATCCTAAGGAAAATAGAGTTTGGTGATGGAGTAGTTAATAGTGGTAGGTTATTTTATGTAAATTACACAGAAAGATCTCTCTGATATGGTAGTCATAACTGATATATGAAATGACTTTTAACTAAATTCCCCGTGGGGCTTATAGTCCTACTAAATGTTGTCCATGGGTAATAGGACATAAGATGGATAGTAAGAAATGAGTAGGCTTACTAGAGAAACCTAAGCATTCCTAGATGTGTCCATGCCAAGGTATGAGCTACTATTTAGAGCAATATTCTCAAAGTAATGGGTCCATGCCTGCAGGTTTTCCCTTTATAAACCACAAATTTGTGTAAAGCCGGGACTGACGTTGTAACAATACATCTCAGTATAGTAAATATAGAATCTAGCTGTCTTCTTATTAGTCATACATCTAAGATATTTCCAAAAATGTAAAGCAGTGATACTCTTCATTAGTGTTTTTTTTTTTAATTTTGGAAAATAGCTTTATTCTTCAATGAGTTTTTATATTTATATTTATATATAATAGTGTTATTTCTTTCTTTCTTTCCTTTTTTTTTTTTTTTTTGTTTGTCGAGACAGGGTTTCTCTGTGTAGTATTTGGTGCCTGTCCTGGAACTTGCTGTATAGTCCAGGCTGGCCCCGAACTCACAGAGATCTGCCTGGCTCTGCCTCCTGAGTGCAGGGATTAAAGGCGTGCAACACTGCCAGCCCACTGTCATAGTGTTATTTCTAAGTGAACCAATAAATGCACATTTAGGAATATATTCAGGCTTAATTAATTAAAATGGCAAGAGCTAATTAAATTCTCAAGAGGTAATATTTTAGTGGAAGCACATCATGAGTTCAAAATTTTCAATATTTACTGGGCTCGACTACTTTTAAAGTGTAATTTTTTTTTTAAAGCACCCTTAAGAGTAGCATATTTTTTTCTCTTTAGATTAGTGCAATGGACACATCTCCGAGGAATATTTCTCCAGGACTTCACAATGGAGAAAAAGGTTGGTTTTCAGTGTAGTGACCTCTTGCTCTTGCATTTAAAGAGATTTTACTCTGTAAGTTGCTTTTAACTGATGATGTGAGCATTATTTTCTAATACACATGTCCATAGTCATTTTCCTCTTTCTTATAGAACATTTATAATTCTTACTGGTCTGAGTGTCATATAGTGTGTTATATACATAAATTAGGTTGTAGAAAAATGTATGCTGCGATGTAGTGAGGGCTGCCAGTAGAAGAAAAAGAATAAAATCTGACATTGAGTTTCTCTTATGCTTACGTTGCTCAGCCTCCTTATTCTAGTACAAGGATTTCTCTTAGCATGGTTACCCTATATTTTATGTCCTTAAATTGTTTTCTAAAGTTTTCTTTCTTCAGTGACTTAGTGTCATCTTGCACTGTAGGGAAATTTACATAGGCTGTCTGTTGAATAGAACTTACTGTTTTTTACCTTTTTCTATAATAATTATAAGTGTTTTTTTTTCTCTCTCAGAATAAGCATGTAATTTTCCCCACAGCGTTCTAATTCTATTCTCTGTTAAGCAAGTAATATGTAAGTAGATAATGTAGCATAAAGGAAAGGCTATTGTATCAGGTAGAGGTCAGAATTCATTGATATAGTTTTGTCACCAAGATTTGATTGTGGTCAAATCATGTGATCTTTCTGGATTTTTATGTCAATTTTTATGACATGAATTACATGACCTAGATAATTTTTGAAAAGGTAAAATTCCATGTTTTAAGAAGTAGAAATATGATTTGGCATTTAAAAAGTATTATTAAGTTGAGTATTAGGTGAAATGGACTTCTTATTTTAAATAACTCATTGAAGATTCTGTGTTTCTTTAGAGGATCGCTTCTTGACAACCCTGTCCAGCCAGAGCTCCACAAGCTCTACCCATCTCCAGTTGCCCACTCCTCCTGAGGCCCTGGCCGAGCAGTCAATGGGAGGGCCCTCTGACCTTGATACAGCCAGTGGCTCTGAAGGTAAGGTTCGGGCCACTTTTTACCTACTTCATTGAATCTAAGACTGAGATGATTTCTTGCTTTTATGTGTCTCTGAAAGAGAAAAACAAGGCTAATTCTTTGATATAAAGCTTTCCTATCCTTTAGAATTTTTTTATTTTGTGTATGTTTAAAGTTCTTTTTTAAGGTGCTGGAGAGATGGCTCAGTGATTAAGAGTACCTGCTGCTCTTCCAGAGGACCCCGGGTTCAATTCCCAGCACCCACATGGCAGCTCACAACTGTTTGTAATTCCAATTCCAGGGAATTTGACACCCTCTTCTGACACCTCCTTGGACACCAGTCAAACGTATGGTGCACATATACACATGCAGACAAAACACTCATGCACATAAAAAATAATAATTTCATTATTTATTATTATTTTTAAAATAAAAATTATTATTAAAATAATACTTATTTTAAAGTAACTTTTTTTTTTCTTTTTTTTTTTCCGGTTTTTTGAGACAGGGTTTCTCTGTGTAGCTTTGCACCTTTCCTGGAACTCACTTGGTAGTCCAGGCTGGCCTCGAACTCACAGAGATCCACCTGGCTCTGCCTCCCGAGTGCTGGGATTAAAGGCGTGCGCCACCACCGCCCGGCTTAAAGTACCTTTTTAAATATAGCCTTTCATCATGTCCTTCCTTTCATTAGCTGCACTTCTTGACATGCATCCCTTTGTGCCACTTTGTGTTTTTAAATGTCCTAGTAAAACAATATTACTCATGGTTATCTACCTTTGGGGGCGTCTTTCTTGAGGTGTATAAATACTGCTATGAAAGGTGAAGGAAATTTTTGCCATTTTTTTCAACAAATATTTACATTATAACAAAACTCATGCCTTGCACCTCTCTTTTCTTGTTTTTTGTTAAGCACTATTTGCTTAACTTTAAACTTTGGCTCACCTTTACCGTTGGTACTAAGCTCAGGTGTAATAGCCAGAGTGCATATTCATGAGTTGGAGTAACAGCACTGTGACAGCTCATGCGTGGTCATACAGTAGTTCTCTTATGGATCCTGTGGCAGTAAGAGACCACTGATAACAGGATGATCTCAGTTTCAAATGTAAGGAACCAAACACGTCTCTTGGAGTCAATGCTGAGTACATTTCACTGTTGCCACTTCATTTTCTAAGAGCTGCTTTCTTAAGCTAGAAAATGAAAACCATAGTTTATATCTGTGATGCTCAGTATGTCTGTCTATATTCTCAAGAGAAAAAGAAGTAAAACAGACACTTCTACTTTTTATTTTTCCTGAATGTTAATGTATAAGTAGAATATTTTTCATCCTAGATGTATTTGATGGGCATTTGCTGGGATCCACAGACAGCCAGGTGAAGGAAAAGTCAACCATGAAAGCCATCTTTGCTAATTTGCTTCCAGGAAACAGCTATAATCCCATTCCATTTCCTTTGTAAGTATTTCAAAACCAACTGGCTCTCTCTGCTTATTCCCTATGTATTTAGATAAGTTTATCTGCAAATGTGTTTCTTAATTCTAAATTTTACATCATCCTAGTAAAAGAGATGGCTTTTGGCATGTAATTTTCATAATGTTTTATCATTATATAGTAGACAATGGAAGAAGAAACATTAACTAATGTTGCTTAGTGTGTAAAGGCACTAGTTATAAAAATGGACACACAGCATATATACATTTATGTAAAGATATACTGCTACATCTATTGCTCTTCTTAAGAATTTATTTTAAATTTTCGCTTATGTATGTATGTGTGCAGTATGTGAGGTGGTGTGTGTGTGTGTGTGTGTGTATGTGTGTGTGTGTGTGTGTGTGTGTGTGTATGCATATGCATGTATATGCAAGTAAATACCTGTGTGTGTATACAGGGTCTTTCACTGAACCCAGCGCTAGCTGATTGCCAGCCACCTCCAGTGATCCTCTTGTCTTTGTCCCTTAGCAGTAGAGGTCACAGGCATGTGTGGTCATATCTGGCTTTTTATATGGGTGCTAGGGATTTGAGCCATCTCAGACTACTTTCATTTATCTTTAAAAGACATATTGCTGGGTATATATGAATACATTGTTGCCCCTATGATTCATTTTAACAGGATACTGGTAAGGAACAAAATGAACATGTATGTTTTCTTTCCTTTCTTTCTTTTTTTTAAATGCTGTACTCACTCAGACTGGAAAGGAATGCATGATGGCTGTAAAAGCTTGTTTTTCTACTGGTTGATCTGTATGGCCATCAAATGCCACCTTTGATATGATGGTACACGTTCATTCAAAATATGAGCATTTACTTAGGCTTTTATTCAGTAGTAACTGAATTTTTATTTGGTGCCTGTTCTCTTGCCCCCAGGTGGAGAGCATTGCTCTTAGGAGCTCATGGTCTTGGGGAAGAGACAAGTAGAGAGGCTCAGACAGTGTAGGATTCATCACATGATCGTCTTGTACAAAAGGCTAATTTTGTTGTCACCTTGAGGCCTGAATGTCTGTTTCTTCAGTGCCGTTTGGAACAATGGCCTATGCCTCTTAGAGCCTTTGAGTTCTCCCCTCTTTCTCCATCAGGACGTCAAGTTCTCTTCTGAAGACAGTTTTACTGGATGCCCCTTCTGTGTCCTAGTACTAACCAAACGAGGCCTCCGTGTGTCAGGATTCTTGATTTCATGTAGGCTGCTGTAATGCATTGCCGTATCTTGGTGTGCTTACAAACAATACAAATGTATTTCTTACAGTTCTGGAGGCTAGGGGATCAAACTTGTGTTACAGGGTAGATTCTGATGAGGGTTCTTGTCCAGGCCTCCCTCTCATGGTGGAGAGAGCTCACTTGTCCCTCTTGGCAAGGACACTAAGCACGTGTATGGTGTCTTCACTCCTGATCTAAAGGCACTATCCCCTAATAGCACTACACTGGGGCTAGAATTTCAACCTAGGATTTGGGGAACAGGAGCTAAACATTCCTCATAACAATTCTTCTCTTACTGCACTTACCACAGAGAGTGGTTGTATGTGTTTGCAGAATTGTGTCTTTACCCTCCCCCCACTACAAACGTGCCTGCCCACCGTGTCCTCACCAGTGTATTGTTAATCATGCACACACACGGAAAATACTTACAGGGAAGTTTTTCTCACTGTTGTTTTCCTCTACGGTGGATAGTCTGTAAATGGCATCTAAGTAAAGTCAGTCCCTCCAACTAATGGTTCCCAGTGGAGATAGAGCAGAAGTTAGGGGAGCAGAACGTGGGTTGAAGTCGAGTTAACACTTGGTTTCCGTGTGGTAACAGTAGAGTGACTTTGTTACGTTGTTGGTGTGGAACTAAAAGCACTATTTCTACATAACTCTTAGGAGGCTTCTCTGAGGGGTAGAATAGAGCACTGTATTTATTTAGATTATTTATTGCATATTCTTTTTTAGACTAGTATGACCAAGATCTCGGCACTAGGTAAAGCTTTGGAGTAACTATTCCAGAACCCTATTTGAAACCTATTTATTTTTTATTTGATGTGTATGGGTGTTTTGCCTGCATGTACATCTGTGCATCTTGTGTGTGCCTGGTGCCTGGAGAGGCCAGAAGAGGGCGTTGGATTTCCTCTGGAAGACTGGAGGAACAGACAGTTGCAAAGCTGCCATGCTGGTCCTAGTGCTCTTAACTGCTGCGCCATCTCTCCAGCCCCAAACCTAGTTCTGACAGCTTTCCAGTTGGTTTATATACTTAGTCTTTGTATTTCTGTTGTTTAGTTGGTTCAGTTTCTCAGCATTTCCATGCATTTTGGCTTTCTTAATTATGTTTATATTTGCTCAATCTGTAGTTACCTTAAAATTGTCCTGAGATTTGATTGTACTATGTTAATTGATTTTATATTTGACTTGTAATTATATTCTACCTTATTGAGCAGTGATCCAGATAAACACTATTTAATGTATGAACATGAACGGGTGCCCATTGCTGTCTGTGAGAAAGAACCCAGCTCCATCATTGCTTTTGCACTCAGGTATTATAAGCTTTTCCTGTAGTTACAGCTCTGTGTTTTTAAGTCTTGTCTATTAATTACCCTATTTAGGGGCTCTTTCTAATAGAATAAAGAAAAATGATGAAATACAAACAAAAATACATGTTCTTTAGTCATGGTGGGGTTTTTGTATTTGAAAACCTTTACTCAAATAATGGGATATGGCATGGCTTTTAAGCAAATACTTAGTAACTAATGTGACTTGGCATGGTATTTACTAACCCTTGAATATTCTGACCATGCTGTCTAATTTATACCCCTGGTAACTCTTACTGTGGTTTAGATGTTAACATAACAGTGAAACATACCCATTTTCCAATATCTGAATATTATTTCCGTCCTACTCCACACACATACTGGCCGAAATTTTTCTGCCTAGAGAATGCTATTCCTGCTCCTTGTTCCAAAGACATGTTTGGATGTGTAACTTATGGAGTTACTGTTTATCTTAAAGAAGCATTGCACCTTTAAAATACTTATATCTAATATCTAAAAACCTCAGAATCTCATTCATAAAATTATATTGGCAGTGAGTGAATTTAATTTAAATAGCATCTGAGGTGCTTAACTAAAATTTTCCTTTTAAAGTATAAAAATAAAAAAAAATTCTTTTTATGTATTGATTACAAAGTGTCCCATTTATTGAAAAATATTTGGTTATAAACAAAATGTGGTATACAGATATTGGATATATCAGAGTAAACAGTATAGTTGTATGTGCGTCTACCTTCATGGAATTTAGAGTTTACTTTCAATAATGAGCATTTTTTCACTTTATACGAGTCTATATAATGATTTTTTCCTTTGTGCTTTAGCATTATGAAGATAATACTTGCTTCTTACCTTATTGATTAATCACAGTCTATCACTAGATATCAAAGGCACAAAAATATAACCATTCTTCATAGTATTAGGAAGCAAGTATTCTGAGTTCATTTTTTAATCTTTTAGAACAGTAATGCATACCAGGCTACTAATCCAAGAATCAGGTTTTTAAACTTTTGGAATGTTGTTTATGAAAAAAAGTGTAGCTCCTTTAGATGGAAAGTCACTTCACATTCTGTTACTCTCTGTTGTACTAAGTCTGAGTGTTTCTTCTTTTAACTTCTGTTCATTTGATCCAGATAGTTGTAGCTAGGCCTTTTTGGGGAGGTGTGTGGGGATTGCTGATGGCCATTGACCCCAGGGCCTTTAGAGCAAGAGCTCCCTCACTGTGCTACATCCTAGCCCTTAACAATGCTTTGGATCATTGTTAAGATTAGTGGATAGAGTTGATGAGTTGGTGAGTTAATTCTTTGTGAAGACATTAATCTTCTTCATAAAGCTTGATCACTTTTGTTATTCCTAGTGTATTTGTTTAATTATGGACACTTACCATGATTATGCTTTTATAATGCAAAACTTATTTGAAAACTTATGATTTATTGTTAAAGAAGAGCTTAATGTTTAACATTTTTTAACCTATTTCTGCCCCAAGTTGTAAAGAATACCGAAATGCCTTAGAGGAATTGTCCAAAGCAACTCTGTGGAACAGTGCTGAAGAAGGGCTTCCAACAAATAGGTGACTAATGATCGAGTACAATCTTTTTAAATGGAGCTGTGTCATCATTTTCTATATCCTTGGACTTTGGTTCTATGACAGCAGATATTAGCATAGACTCTTCTAGGATTTACATAATTCATTTCAGCTAACATTGGAGCAACAGAATTCAAGTCTTGTAAAGACCTTACATAGCCCTTAGGATGTAGTTTCTGACATTTGCTGTGATGTGTCACTGTGTGCTACAGATTAAAATTTGCAATTGTTTTAATGATAGAAAGAAGCAGCTGTTTTATTTAAAAACAAAACAAAACCAGTAACCTGTAAAGTTAGTTGTGCTACTGCTTGGCTTTATAATTTTAAGTGTTTGTAAAGTTTCCATAGTACTAAAGAACCTAATATTTAGAAAATAAATACTCAAATCAATCCACTTAGCATGTTCTGTGTTTTAGATTGAGATTGGCATAGGCTTATCCTTACTGAAATAAATTCTCCTGTTTTACTGACTTAATAAAATTTAGTTTGAATTATCTTTGTGACTAAAGTAAGAAAAATGAAATGTATGTTTTTCTGTAATTGATTTGTAGTCCTAACAGTGTTTGGGAAAATTTTATAAAAGTCTATTGTTTTGCACATTTCTATATACTTTTCTAGTTCTAGTATTTTATTTTTTTTAAACCTAGTAGATATTTCAAGAGTTTTTGTAACCTGTGTTTATCAAAATTATAAATCAGATTTCTGGTATTGTGGGTGGTGTTAGATAAGAAATATATTAATTTAGGAATTAGGATACTTGCTTTTTTCTAGCTGAATATCTTCAAATATTTTTTTCTTTGTTTTCATGGTAGTGCTTTAGATAACAGACCGAAGAGTAGCAGCCCAATTAGATTACCTGAAATCAGTGGAGGACAGACGAACCGTACAGTAGACGGAGAACCTCAACCAAGTAAGATTTAAGTTTTTATTATATTATATTATATTATTTATTATTATTATTATTATTATTATTATTATTATTATTATTATTATTATTATTATTATTATTATTATTGTATGTGTGCTAGCATGAGTGTGGAAACCAGAGGAGAGTCAGTCTGATCCTTCCACTATGTGAGTCTCAGCAATCTTACTCAGGTTCTCAGGCCATTACCACTGAGCCATTTCACCAGCCGCAAATGCAGACATTTCTATAATTGTTCTATATATGATCTGTGGAAGAAAACAAAATTGATAAGAAATGCCATCTAGTAAGAATTGGTCTTTGAGAAATAAACATTTTTAAAAATATCCTCTTTTATAGATGTTTTGCAGCTTCTTTGAGTCTTACTTGAAATGCAGATTCAATTTACTGAATTTAAAAGTTGTAGAAGCCCTTTATGCAGAAGGATCTGTCTTTCTTAAGCTTTCAGCTTAAAATATACAACCTACAAATTAATAGCAACGTTTTTAAATTTTATGTTACTATTGGCATACTGACAACTTTTTTGGTATTGTCTCCTTTAAACTTAACCATACTCCCATAAGAATTATCTGGTACATCCATATTTTTAGGAAGGAAACTGTGGTTTAAACTAATTCACTTGCTCAGGGCTAGATGGAAGTAGAGCTGGGACTTGGCTGTGGCTCGTGTTCAGTGTCTGCTGATGCTTTGGGTTGGTAGAACTGGAAAACTCAACTGACTGTGAAGGCTTAACAAATGACTGACATTCCTGGAAGCAGACAGCTGCTGATGTTGATCTGCTCAGTGTTATTTTGGCAATAGAGGAATTTTTTATTTTTCTCGTTTTCTTTCTTTCTTTTTTTTTTTTTTTCCTGGAGCTGAGGACCGAACCCAGAGCTTTGTGCTTGCTAGGCAAGCACTCTACCGCTGAGCTAAATCCCCAATTCTCGTTTTCTTTAAGGACACGATATTCTAAATTTGTGTTGAGGCAGAGAGAAGAGTGGTGTAGGGCATATCTGTTCTCTTTATTACAAGTGTGTCTGTGCCCTTCAGTCTTACTCTTCAGGACCCAGTCTTAGTTCCAGCCACCTCTGACTCTACAAAAGACTGAAGAAGTAAGAGCAGCAGTGTGTTTATACAAGTCATCGTCCATTTTTGGCTCTCTATACGTGGCTATCCTCACAAAAATTGCTGTTCTCTTAGCAAAGACATGCACCAGTGGATATTAAGAACTTTTATGTAGCACGATTCCTAATTGGTCTTATAATAAAAACCTGGAGACAGCTATCAGGGTAAATGCTGAAAGATCAGAGGAAACAAGCCACAGCCACTTCTCACCTCACCAGCTCCTCAGCTGAAAGAGGAAGATCCTGTCTCCATAGATCCTCAGAATGAAAGCCCCTGAGTCTTGTCTCCACCTGCCTTATTCCTTTCTCTGCTCAGCCATATCATGTCCTGTCTCAACCTTCCTAGTGCTGGGACTAAAGGCATGTGACTCCCAATACTGGGTTAAAGATGTGAGCCATCACTGCCTGGCTCTGTTTCTCTTTTAGACTGGATTAATCCAGTGTGTAATTCAGTATAATCCAGGGTGGCCTTGAACTCACAGAGATCCATCTGCCTCTGCCTCCTGAGTGCTAGGATTAAAGGTATATGCCACCACTGCCTAACCTCTATGGCTAACTCTGTGGCTGGCTCTGCCTTCTGATCTTCAGACAAGCTTTATTTGTTAGAGCATATACAAAATATCATCACACTTTTATGATTCATGCTCTATGGATTTTGTAAGTGATAGATTATTAGAATTATACATATTAATATGATGAATGAAACTCAAAGCTATAAACAAAAAAGCAAGAGTATACTTTTTAAAAAATTTATCTATGTTAGTATTTTTACGATTTTATTTTTCGGGGCTGGAGGAATGGCTCTGTGGTTGAGAGCACTGATTGTTCTTCCAGAGGATGCTCTTCCAGTGGACCTGGGTTCAGTTCTCAGCCCCCACATGGCAGCTCAAAACTGTCTGTCATTCCCCTTCGAGGGAACCTGATAAAACACCAATGCAGATAAAATAAAATAAAATAAAAATATTTTATTTCTGTCTTTTTTTTTTCTTTCTTTCTTGTACATGTCTGTGTATCTGTATGCGGTGTGTGTCTCCTTGGAGGACAGAAGAGGTTGTCAGATCTCTGGAGCTGGAGTTAGTTATAGGCAGCTTATAGCTGCCCGACATGGGTGCTGAGGACCAAACACAGGCCTACTGGAAGAACCATGTGTGCTGTTAAGTGCTGAGTCATCCCTCCAGCATCTGCTTTCTTTTCAATTGTGTGTGTGTGTGTGTGTCTGTGTGTGTGTGTGTGTGTGTGTGTGTGTGTGTGTCTGTGTAGCAGTGTGTGCATTTGAGTAGAGGTGGCCACTGAGTCAGAAGAAGGGGTCAGATCTGTCGCTGTAGCTGTCTGATGTGGATGTTGGGGACAGACCTGAGGTCCTCCGCTAGAGCAGTAGGAGGCTCTTAGCTGCTTTGCTGTCTTTCTAGTCCCCTGTGGTATATGGTACCTTTTTTTTTCCTCTTTGAGAGATGCTGTGAACAAAATGTTAAAAATCAGAGTACAGGGACTGGGCAGCTGGCCCAGGGGTTGAGTGCTGGCTGATCTTCCAGAGAACCTGGGTTTGATTTCCAGCACCTACATAATGGTTAATGACCTTCTGTTGATCCAGTTCCAGGAGATTCTGGCTTCTGCAGGCATTCATGCACTTGGTTGGGGAAATGCCCATATGCACAAAACACAAATAAATAAATCTTAAAACAATATAGAACACAAAAGATACAAAAGTTTACCTTTAACTCTGAATTCTTTTAGCTTATGAAATTGTTTTATGTTAAGTTTTTTAACTCTACTGCAATATTTTAAGAATGCTGTGGTAGTTCATTCTACTGCTTAAAATATGACTGCTTTTAAAAGTTTTGCACAGCTTTCTGGAGAATTTTGCACATTTGACCTTCAGCTAGCTGGAAGTTTGTCTTGTATCTGATGAGGGTGCTCACTGACTTACAAACAGCAGCAGCATGTGGAATTAAAATCTGTAAATGAGAGTATCTGCATAACGCAGACCATTAGCTTCATACAGTGATTACTGCCAACCAAAGGTTGGAAACTTATTTTCCAGCTTTAGTGATCTGCACCTAAATTAATATGTTACCTTTTATTTTTAAGCTAAAAAAGCTTCAGGAATGTTGTCCTTCTTCAGAGGAACGTCAGGGAAGAGCCCTGATCTCTCTTCTCAGAAGAGGGAGACCTTACGTGGGGCCGACAGTGCTTACTACCAGGTCGGGCAGACCGGGAAAGAGGGGACCGAGGGCCAAGGCCTGGAACCTCAAGGTATGTTAAGTGGACCACATGTGCTTATTTTAAGCTTTAATTTACTTTCTTCAGTTTTGTATGTTTTTTAATAGCTTTAAGTAAACAATTCTTTGCTGAAGCCAGGGCATTCTTTCTATTTTAACTCTTTAGTGTAATAGACCAGAAACAGCGTGATACTTAAAGAGTCCATCTGGCTTCAGATGTCTGCAATGTTATTTCTTATGTATTAGAACCAGAAAGTCTTAGTGTCCATACCTATAAAGAAGCAAAAGCAAAGTCTTTTAAGGGCACAATGGCAATACACATGTAAACATAATTCATAGTGTGTACTCAGCTTTTCATTACCCTATTACCCCCTCCAGTTGTTTGCTTTCTTTCCCAGTCCCTGTTAGATTGTGGCTATTTGTGTGCACCTTCATTTTGATAGTTAAAAACTCTCTTAACTAATTATGTTTGGATATGGCAAATTTGATGGACTCAGCTACCTGCTTAAAAGTAACATTTTACTGGAACAGGGGCACATGCATCTGCTTCCTGTTGTCTCATTGCTTCACATTTAATTGGGAGTTGAATAGTTGTAACTTAGTGAAATATTTACTGTTTGGATCTTTAGAGAAACTGTCTGGTGACTTGTAAGTTCCTTAATACAGGGATTCTTCTCTGGTTTGAAAAGTCCTACTCCTAACCCAGAAACTGCTAGTAGTTGATTCCTGCTGGGGAAGGAAAGTCAGTTCTTGCTAATGGAGTGTCACTGGGTTTCTCAGCCACACTGCAGGGCAGGCCCCATGCCCAGGAGCAATTGACCAGAACAAAGCAGAATACAGACTCTGTTTTGTTTTGTTTTTGTATATGTGCATGTTTTGTTTTAGTACTTTTTGCCTTACTAGATTTTTGTTTTGACTTTCAGTTTTTGTTTTTTGTCTTTTTTTTTTCTTTTTGAAAAAGAGGGGAAGAACATGAGAGCATGAAGTTGGGTGGGAAGGGAAAAGTGGAGAATCTTGGAGGAATTGGGAGGGGGAAGACTATGATCAACATATATTGTATATAAAAAAAGAAAAACAATCAGAACTACAGATTGGCTTCGTGGTATATAGCTATAATCCTAGCACCCAGGAGGCTAAGGCAAGAGAATTATGAGTTCATGGCCAGTTTTGGTCATCCTACTTCAAAACTAAGCAAAACAAAAAAATAGCAACTAATAAAATTTTTTTACTGTTTAATCGTCTATAAAAAATCTGTTTAATATTCCGTATGTTACTGTTGAACTGTAGATGTCTATAATGTGTTCCTTGGAAGGCTATATGATACCTAACAAATGGTTTTGAAATGTGAAACTTAGGGGATGGTTTGTTCTTCTAGAGATTAGGATATGTTCCTTATCTATAGTGAACCCAATGGAGCTGGCCAGAAAGATGAGTCAAATGCCCAAAGGAAAAAAAAAAAAAACTCCACTAGGACTTTAATATATTGAAGGAGCATTTTTTTATAGATGCACCTAGAGAAAATGTATCATAAGCATAGATAGAAAAGCCATGGGAATTCTCTTCTTACTGTATTGCTGTCATAGAAGTCACTTACATGTAAGAAAAGTGATCTGACCTGAAATTATTGAAATCCCAGAAAAGAGCATCCATTTTTATTGTAGTCATTTACACAATTTGTCTGTCTAATGCGTGCTTTATAGTGATTTGATTAGGATATTTGTATTATTAATTTGCTAACTTTAGTTGCTATATTGGGAAAAAGGACAAAATGAACTAACTAATGCTTTGCTTTGACTAATGATATTAAACCTTTTAGATGAGGTAGATGGAGGAGATACTCAGAAGAAACAACTCACAAATCCTCATGTGGAACTTCGTAAGTATGCAATAACATTTTCTCTAAGTTACATAAGATGTGTAACTTTATTTTAGATAAAAGTGCTGTTTTTTTTTTTAAATGAGTGTTAGGTATTGGCATGAGTTTTATTTAACCTATAATTCAATTTATAAAATCTGTACTATTTATTTTCTGATTTAGTTAAATTATAATTTATTTATAAATTATTCTTTAATTTTAAAAATTTAAATATTTCCTTACTGTGTAATTGAGAGGCACAGAGCTTGACAAACATGAAGGTGTTTATTTGGGGCTGGGGATGATATGCTCGCCCAGCGTGTTTTTGGCCCTGACTTCAATCCTCAGTGCCAGATGGCCATATGCTCATAACAGATGATATTTAAAATTGCTTTAGAACTACAGTGAAGAAAACACAGTAGCCAGTGCAAAAGTAGAGCAGAGTCTTATATTTGAGTTATTTGAAGATAAGTAAGAGAGGTCAGATGGTGTTCCCCGATACTGTGAAAGGTCACCGTAGCACAATTGTGATTGACCACATTTTTACTTTATCATGAAAGATTCCATCATGGAGAAGCCTAAATTGTTGCGTTTGGTACTTGGAGAGGGAAGAGATTTTGTGTTTATATACCATTTCCCCCTCCCTCTTCCCCCTTTGCAACTTCTCGTTGTAGAATTTTCAGATGCAAATGCCAAGTTTTACTGTCGGCTGTACTACGCGGGAGAGTTCCATAAGATGCGTGAAGTGGTTCTGGGCAGCAGTGAAGAAGATTTCATCCGCTCTCTCTCCCACTCGTCACCCTGGCAGGCCCGGGGAGGCAAGTCAGGAGCTGCTTTCTATGCCACAGAAGGTAATTCTTTTTACTCACTGGTGCAGAACGCTTGCTGTTCTTTCCCTTGAGACGTTCATGGAGCACTTGACATGGGCACTATGTTTAGCTGTTGGCAAACAAAGTGCTCTAGTTTCTTTCTGCTCCTGAGAAGAGTAATAAAATCTTACTCATTTATTTTTCCATTTATTTATTTATTTGGTTTTTTGAGACAGGGTTTCTCTGTGTAGCTTTGGAGCTATCCTGGAACTCACTCTGTAGACCAGGTTGGCCTTGATTTCACAGAGATCCGCCTGCCTCTGCCTCCCGAGTGCTGGGATTAAAGGTGTGGACCACCACGCCTGGCTTTTTATTTTTTTTTCCTTTTATTATTTGACAAATTTTTAAAATTCATTTTACATACCAATCACAGATCGTCCTCTTATCCCTCCTCCTGCTCCCCCCCCCCATCCCCTCCTCCAGAAGAATAAGGGCTCCCATGGGGAGTCAGCAGAGCCTGGCACATTCAGTTGAGGCAGGATCAAGCCCCTCTCTGCTGCATCAAGAATGAGCAAGGCATCTCACCATAGGGAATGGGCTCCAGAAAGCCAGCTCATTCACCAGGGATAGATCCTGATCCCACTGTCAGGGGCCTCTCAAATAGACCCAGCTACACAACTGTCTCCCATATGCAGAGGGCCTAGTCTGGTCCCATGTAGACTCCTCGGCTGTTGGTCTGAAGTTCGTGAGTTCATATGAGCTTTGTTCAAATAAAATAAAATAAAATCTTTAAAGACTATATAGGCTCAGACATGGGTCAAATGCTTACTGAACTCTTTCTAGTTCTGAGTTTTCCAAATGTATATAGAAATTATATTAGTTACTTTCATATCTCTATGATCAAAATACCTGACAGAAACAGCTTAATAGATTTATTTCGGCTCATGTTTCAGCTTCTGAGTGGTTGGCAGTTGGGAGCATGTGGTGGCCCATAGCCATTCACATCATCACAGACAGGAAGCAGAAAGTGAGGCTGGAGTGGAGTGAAACTAATCTTTCTCCACATACCTCCTAGGACCCACTTCCTAAATGTGTCACACCTCCCATAGTAGTGTCACCAGACTGAACAAGCTTGAAAACACGGGCCTGAAGGGGAGCGTTTCAAATTCAAACCATAGCAGCACAACTGTCGGAAACTCAATTGGGTGCTGCAGAACTGAGGATAGAAAAGTAACAGGAGAAATGTTTGCCCGGAATATACAAAGTGCTTTCCTACACAGGCTTACCTAATAGCATAATACCCACTGAACATGAAATCATTTAAGAAAGTGTACATTTGTGGCTTGATAAAAACTTGAATAACTTGCAAGAGTTAGTGAAGTAGCAGTGGAGTTAATAACATTTTCTTTCGGAGCTCTGAAAAGTAAATGAATGAATTTGTGCTATGAATTTAGATTTGAGAAATAGGTGTTCTTGTCCAGATAATGCTTAGGTCTCCTAACATTTTAATTACTTGAGAATTGCTTTCTGATCAAAATTTTCATGGTGGTTAAAAAAAAATGCGTCAAAACAGAAAATAAACAGTTGATTTGGGTTCTCTGGAATGATTTGACTTTCTTTTTATAGCAGACAATGTGTATTATGATGAATAAATGTGGAATTTCTTCCTTGTAGATGATAGATTCATTTTGAAGCAAATGCCTCGTCTGGAAGTCCAGTCGTTCCTTGACTTTGCACCACACTACTTCAATTATATCACAAATGCTGTTCAGCAGAAGGTAGAGATCCTAAGTCTTGGTTTGTAGTCACAGGTCATTGGGCTTTTTATATCCTCAGCTGGTCCCGATAGACGCTTTCTCTTTGGTAAGATACCTGGGATCTCTTATTCTATTGTGATGTGAAGGAATGCAGAGTTTTTAGATATTTTTCCTACCTCTGCCATTGATGAACCATGTTGCCTTAAGCAATTAGCTTTTGATTGGTGTATATGTACCTACATACATATATAAGTTAGTGTAAAATATTGAGACTATTAGGTGTCCATTTAATAACATTTTTGTTGAGACAAAAATAACAATTATGTTGAAGTGAGGAAGTGCTTCCCTTAGCTAGCAAGGAAACCAGGGGCTCATGTTTGCCCACTTGTCATTGAGCAGTGATTGTGAATGTTTTATGAAGGAATTGCAGAGGGCTTTTTTGGTTGTTGTTGTCAAGTAATAATTGATTGCAGATTATTAGGGGGAACTAATGTCCATATGATGCTGAAGTTTTTTAATTTCAACAGCTGTGATGGGCTATGTATGCTGTTGTACAATTTAAGGATCTACCTACGTTTGTTACTGGCATATGTTATACTCAACTGCAACTCTGACATTGAAGAATTTCAAGTATCTATTCCTGGTATAGCAGTAGAAAGTCATCCTTGGTGATGGACGAATTAGATATTCTATGACTTAGACGTAATCTTATTTTGATCTCTTTTTTATTAGAGGCCCACTGCTTTGGCCAAAATTCTTGGAGTTTACAGAATTGGTTATAAGAACTCTCAAAACAACACTGAGAAGAAGTTAGATCTCCTTGTCATGGAAAATCTTTTCTATGGGAGAAAAATGGCACAGGTGAGGACACTGGACTGTGTGAAGCTTTCCACTATGACAACCCTTTGTACTTTGGTTCTTGAATATAGAAAGTCTGAGTAATATGTTAGTCAATAGTGCACATTTAACTTATTTTTTGAAGAAAGAAAAATTGGTGTGTAACTTATCCTAAAATTTAATATATCTGATATTTTAGAATTAAGTAGCTGGTGGACTAAGAAAGCGAATGTTCTCTCACCTCTTAACTTTAAAATCAAATTAGCTGAGTCCTAGAGAGGTTGAGCACCTGTCAGTCGCTTGACTGCTTTTAGACTTCCTGTTGGTCTAGATGTTGTGGGAATGGCACTGCTACGTGCTGCAGTTAGCCAGGCACATAGTCTAGACTTCACAGTGCTTTCTGAAGTGCGGCTCCTTGACCCGTTTCTAGTGTGAAGACACAAACCTTGTGCTTACATGTAATTCAGTGTAATAGTTTCTCACCAATAATAGTCTTTATGTGAGAACAGAGGCTGAGCTGCACTGTGTGCTTAATGCCTTTACATTCTGGCACTAGCTGTAACATCTTCATGAGTCAGGACTGACTGGCTAGCACTGGTCTGTGGAACAGTCTAGGATGGACTGGTTCCATTCATCGAGTTCTTTGACATTCCCACCCTCCAGATAGTCTGAAATTTATGCTCTCACTTGTACATTGCCTTAAATGATTGTATAAAGTTTTAATGTTTCACAAGCTTCCTAAGACGGCTTGTGTCTTCTTTCATACTGTTGGACGATCTGAAACTTGTTAATATATTTTAAAATTGGTTAAATTGACATATTTCTGAACTGTCTTAATAATTGTGTACTAGTGTATTGTTTTATATGATATAATTGTATCATCATAAATTTAATCTATCATATATCATGTACTTTTTGTATTACATAATTACATTACTGTATATTTATGATTTAAGTTAGAAAAGTTAAATTTTGAAATAAAATTTAGAAGTGTATATTATGATAGTAACTACAAGGAATCTTTTTTGCCTTTTAGTTGCACTAATTAACCATTTTTTTGCACATAAATAATAAAGAATTTTTGTTTTGTTAGGTTTTTGATTTAAAAGGTTCGCTTAGGAATCGAAATGTAAAAACTGACACTGGAAAAGAGAGTTGTGATGTAGTTCTGCTGGATGAAAACCTCCTAAAGATGGTTCGTGACAACCCTCTGTATATTCGTTCCCATTCCAAATCTGTGCTGAGAACCTCCATCCATAGTGACGCCCATTTCCTTTCGAGCCACCTCATTATAGACTATTCTTTGCTGGTTGGTCGAGATGACACTAGCAATGAACTGGTGGTTGGAATCATAGGTAAGTCAATAATTGTACCCTGTTTATAGCTCACGATTAAGACTAGAGTAAAATTTCAGAGTCTGTTGAACTGGTTTAGTATTATAATTACTGAATATTTTTGGAAGCTTTTATTTATGATTTCAAAGTTAACAAACAAGTTTTCATTCTAGTCTATTCTATTCAGTTTCTTCATTTCTAAAAGTACATAAATTAAGAGGTAACAAGAATCTCTTTCAAAGGAGGCACTGTGTTGTGGCTGTAAGAATCAACCAGAGCAATGTAGAGACAGCCCTTTGAACAGCACTTGGGAAGGTGTCAGGAAACAGTAGTAGCATTGCTGCTGTTGTGGCTTTTCTGTTCATGTCGCCCTCTTCCCATCCCTAGATTATATTCGAACATTTACTTGGGACAAAAAGCTTGAGATGGTTGTGAAGTCAACAGGAATTTTAGGAGGACAAGGTGAGAAAAATGTCGCTTTGTTTACTTTTTAAACTGTTCTCATATATTCCTTGGATATTTAAGACACTAAAGCATGGTAGCCAGGCATCGTGGTGTAGAAATAGAAATATTCCAGTTTTTAGGAGTCTGAGGTAGGAGCATCATGAGTTCAAGGCTAGCTTTGGGTACACAAGACCCCCCACTCTCTACACACAGAACAAAACAAAAAACGGTGTGGTTGTCTGTAATTTTTGAAAATGACTTTAATATGAAGAAGTATGTAAGTAGAGAAATAGGTTTATGCCAGAGTTTTTCAAAGTAAGTTTTTAAAAGGCCAGTGATTCTGAATAAAAGATTGTCTTTAATTAACATTTGCTATCTTCTAGATTCTCTAGTTCATTCCTGAGTTTAGATATCTCTTACCTCAAGAGAAGAATTCATGTCTCAAAAAACCCATGGCAGATATCATAACATATGCCCTGCCTCTACCCTCAGAGTGCTTTGGCATATAGCAGTTTATGGCTGGTTAAGTCAGTTGTCCAATTGATTTTCTTTTATATGCATACACACTTAAACAGCTTTATTTCTCCTTTTGTCTTTCATTGTCTCAGGTAAAATGCCAACTGTGGTCTCTCCAGAGTTGTATAGGACTAGATTTTGTGAAGCAATGGACAAGTATTTCCTGATGGTGCCAGACCACTGGACAGGGTTGGACCTGAATTGCTGAAATCATGCATATGATTTGAAATAGACCATGAAGGAAAGCATATCTGAGGAAGAGACCCAAACTATATGTTGATAAACCACTGAACACAAAGGCCTTTCAGTTCTGTGACTATCCATAACTGCAGGGTAAAAGCTCCATGGATTGGGCTTTGCTTCTGTTACTTGAAATTAGCTGCCTGTAAGCCAGGAAATTGTACAAGTTAAATACAGCTGCTTCCCACGGGACTGTGGTTAGAGATGAGTATATAGGATAAGAAATTGAGTTGTCACATTTACTAACTCAGTTGCTTGAAGAGTAAAGCTCTGTCTGCTGGACTATGACTGTTTGGTAGACTGTGACTGGTAGACTGTGACTGATTGGTAAATTGTGGCTGTCTGGTAGACTGTGACTGTCTGGTAGATTGTGGCTGTCTGGTAGACTGACTGTCTAATGGATTGTGACTATCTAATAGATGGTGACTGTCAGGTAGACTGTGACTGGTAGACTGGCTGACTGGTAAATTGTGACTAGCTAATAGATTGTAACTGTCTGATAGATTGTGGCTGTCTGGTAGACTGTGACTGCCTGACATCACATTTGACACTTTTTCCCTGAGAAGGCACTTACAGACTTGCCTAGCTCATTTTATGTTTCCTGTGTAGTAACTTTATGTTCGTTTGTATAATTTCTGAAACATTTAGGAAAATTCTGATTTATTCTGTTAATTGCCAGTTAAACAGATTCGTGCTTGCTTTATTAGGAATTTGACTTAAACTGGGAATTCTGTCATACTCTGTACTCTCCAGCTTACCTGACAGTTTTTAACTGTGTTGGAGACTTTACCATTTTCTCTTCTGTGGGTGATTGGAGCCTACAACCATGAGCTTTCAAGCCTTCCTTAGAATATTTTAAGGAGCTTGTTGAAAACTTCTGTGTAATGTGCCAAACAGCACTTAACCTACATGTGCATTTGTATTCTGGATTTTCCTCTCATTTTGGTGAAACAAAATGAGCAGTAAATGAATCGGTAGTCACTGAATCCCTAAGTGAATAATTAATGATGAAGGATTTTTTAACAGTAAAAGATAGATTAGACCCAATCCAAGAAACTGAGTGAGAAGGAACAATTGTTTTCTGTTTTTTATAGTGGTAAAGTGTCTTTCAACACTACTAGCAGGTTAATGGGATCTGTAAAGTCAGTGTGGATATTCCTATTTCTAAGTTTCTACCACACTGACCAGTGCTGCTGAGAAATGCTGAGAGGTAAAGTTATTTCCACCTAAGGACTTTGTTTACTAGTCAGCAATCTCATCTAAAAAGTGGCCAGAAGTCCTGAACTGGAGAAGATGCTTTTACCCCAGAATCTCAGAACATTTCCTCTTAGCTTTTATGTAACATGGATATTTGGATGTTTATACAGTTGTAATGATTCCATTTTTTCAGACTTCCTCTGATAGCACATCGATATTCACAGAAAAAAAGAGGCCGGATATGTTCTGCTACGTGGCAGTCTGCACCCGAACTAGGCACAAGTTTGCATGTGTGCTGTGGAGAATGAGGTCGTAGCTACCTGTCTGTTGCTTAGTGAGAGGTGACTAGTTTTGAACTCATTGCCAGTTGACCAAGGCCTTAGGTCTGCCTGATGTTGAGCCTCAGCCTGCTCATCTGCCTTGCATCTGTGCCTTGTGAAGGTGGAGCAAATGCTGAAGAGTCCAGTTGTGACGTGAAAGGTGCAGACGGGAAGATTGCATGAACACTTATGTTCTGTGCATCCAGAAACAAAGGCTTTCAAGTCAGCTTGGGAATGCCAGCTGTTTTGTGTCTGTTCATTCTTTCTGTCCGGTTAGCTAGGACTGTATGTCCTCCTCACTTCCTGGGGGACTAGAGTGATGCCTTTCCCTGCTGTGTGTGGGTTGTTTCTGTTTTCCTTGATGGTTTCAGAACAGTGCTCATAGCTGAGCTCCAGGACAGTAACCCCTGACAGTAACATGGTGTGGCCATTCTCTCTTGCCCCTGACTTGAAAAGCAATTTTGCTTTTTAAAGTATTGTTGCCTCTGGTATTTTAGTAACTAAACTTACTGAAACAAGAGTTATTGCTTTGAAAGCTCAACTTGTCCTTTTAAAATTCATGTCAAGCTGGTGTTAATGAAGGGGAAACTCACAAGTGAACTGTTTACAAGGTCCAAGTGTGACTCCTGGCTGCTTGCCTTTCGCCACTACTGTGTATATGTTTGTATATATAGTATTTCCAATGCTTTGAACTGAATGGCTCTTGTTCTCTTAAACTCCCTTTCATGGCCTAAAGAATATTAATGATGAAAAATTGTGAATAAGGAAAAAATCTCATGCTCAGAATATGAACCCCAAAGTAACTGATAGTAACATGAGAGAATTATGTCAACATGTTGCTTTGTATATGAATCTTATTTATAAATATGAAGCTTTTTGATGACCTAAAATTTTGTTTAAAAAATAGAAGAGACTTAATTTTCCTGTCTGCCTGAGGGGAGAAAGGAGAGCTCAGCCGTGGTGGGCCCTTTTGTAGTCTACTGAGTACTTTCTATTCTCAAGCTTTCCTACCGAGTGTCTGGGCAGTGGTTTTCCAGCTTTGGCCTCTGTCTAAATAATAGGGTCATTCATACCTGCATCGGCTTGGGCGACAGCATTGTGGCTGGGGTTTCCTGGCACATTAGCCGTTAGCAGTGGGCTTCTTGGAAGTGCCAGGGAGAGTTACCAGCCTGCAGAAAGTTAGCCGAGTTTCCGGTGTGAAAACCGTTGCCGGTGAGCCTGGGGAACCAGCCTGACCAGGACATTCATGCTCTCAATGTGACTTCTGCAGTATTCAAAACATCTAGTGCAATGCCTTTTTTTTTTTTTTTTTTTGATTGTTTTTTGTAATGGGTGCAGTGTATTATAGAAAAAATGAAGATTACAATCACGAGCAGTTTTGTTAATGCTGCTTTGTCAGTTTTGTAAAAAAATGTACATAATGTCTTTCAACAGGTTTTAAACTAGAAGAAATAACATTGTAAATCACAGTAGCCTCCTCATTTAATATGAAAAACCCAATATTAAAAGTCCTTAATGTATTGAAATGTATATATTTCTCTAACTTTGTTCCAGCTGTTTTATATGATTGACATGTTATTTAAAGATAACTACCCTAGCCTTTTAGAGACTTGTACTGTAAATAAAGAGGACCTACAATAAACTGGAATTTACTTACTCTACTGTGTTTTGAATCTGTCCGAAGAAGCTAACAAAGTGAGAGGAAGTCCTCGCCTGCCTGTGCTACTACTTTTCTTCTTTCTCTCTATTCTCTTCCCTTCTGTTTCCAGTGGGAGAATTTCAGTTTCGCACTTCGATCACTAATGGGCATGGCCGTATGTGCCTTCCCATTCTTCCTTTTTCAGTTGTCTTGATAGAGCACTCAGTGAAGGGAAGCCCTTTTCTATACAGGGTCTGACATTGTGTGGGTGGGTGGGGCTCTGTCATTCATTACCTTCTCCCATGAACTTGAAGGCAAATACTGTACTGACTGGAGCTGAACCCATCAGTGCTGCTCACAGTTGGGGTCCCAAGGCCACGAGGCCCAATCTCAGTGCTGCTCACAGTTGGGGTCCAAAAAGCCATGAGGCCCAATCTCAGCGCTGCTCACAGTTGGGGTCCCAGATTTCTCCTTCCATTTCTTCTCTCTGCCTGCCAGCCCCTCCTATCCTTTCTCTTGCCTCACTATTGGCCATTCAGCGCTTTATTAGACCATCAGGTGTTTTAGACAGGCACAGTAACACAACTTTACAGAGTTAAACAAATGCAACATAAACAAAAGTAACACACCTTAAAATAATATTCTCCAACAAATATGACCTCACAGGCCTTGGAAGCATGGCAGTTGCAAGTTAGGCTAACCTCTCATGTACTTCAAAATTGTGTCCTAGAAATGCTGACTGCTTACTGTAATGAGGAGGGGCTTGTGCAGTTCCTGAATACAGTGCTGCTTCTCTAAACCAGAGGGCACATGGTGTCCATTTCCTATCCTACATCAGAGAAATGAGACACAGTCATGTACTGTACTGACTGAGGCCAGGACTGGAGGACTTGCTCAAGGGATTATGGGACAGTGTGTTTAGGCTTTGCTTGTCTATGTGTGCTGAATGTTCTTCCTTTATGTAGATTTCTTCTTTCCATAGTAAGCTGTGTGAAGAGCTTCATGTGATATTTGGAATAGAAGAGGCCACCCACCCACCAGGAAGTCATGAAATGGTTTTAAACTGAAAATGTTTGACACAGTCATTCGCCTTGCCTGACTCAAAGCAGAGCTATGGAAGTTCTGCTCTCACAGACCCCTTGGAGATTTCCAGACAGGGAAATGACTGACATTTAAAACTGTTAGATTCAAAAGAGTTTGCAAATGAACCTGATCAGAAATGTCCTTGCTTGCCTTCTGAGACCTTAGCTGGTATGTTAACACCCCCCCACCCAGGCTCTTCAAGGAGCCTTTCTCTCCTTCCCAGGCCAATTCACAAATCCCAGAGCATTCAAACCCAAGTTTGTAGAGGAAAAGTAACTGGATCAGGTTGATAGTCGATCTGGGAAAAACTGTAAAGCATTTTCTGTAGAAGTTGCGAATATAACATTGTATTTATGTACAAACTTGTACTAGCTTGCAGGCAATATGTTTCATTTATCAGGGGGCTTGAGTCTGGTGACTTCCTGACCTGTCTCTGCTTGCAAAGTTTAGGTTTCTTCCCCTCACTCTGTTCAGTTGTCCTGGTATGGGAACAGCCTGGGGCTTTGCTTCCATATTCTCCCTGCTTGTTTTCTTGTTAGTTTCTGTTGTTTTCTCTTAGGTTGCAGAATCACGAGAGGGAGATCATGGCTTATAGTCCCGATGGCTATAAGACATGCTCATTTAAAAGATAAGGCAAATTGTATAGAATGGACATGTATGTGCATACTGGAGCATATGAATATTTATCTTCTTCAGAATACTTTGTAATCATATTCTTTAAATCCAATCAGGTTTGTAGTGAACAATTAAGATGTTCAAATTTTTATAAATGTCAATTTCTTGAACTGATGAGATGGTTGATCCTGGGACTTACATGGTGGAAGGAAGGAGGGAATGGACTTGTTTTCTCACTTCCACATGTGCACTGTGACGCACACACACACACACAGACACACAGACACACACGCGCACGCGTGCACATGCAAACCCCCTTACATGAACCAGTACAACAACAAGAAATGTTAAGTATTGTGGTTTGAATGAGTCATCAAAACTCATTTTGGATTTAGTCCCCATTGTGAGATAATTAAGAAATGAGATGGGAGAGGATTTAAGAGGTCATTAGGTCTCAGAGGCACAGGTCTCACGAATGGGTCGATCCGTTAATAGATTAATGAAGTATCCTGGAATAACTCTTATAAATGCCAGTTTGAGTTTGCCCTTATGATCTCCTCCACCACGTGGTATCCTGTGCCACCTCAGAAGTCTGCAGAGTTCTAAACAGCATGAAGTCCTTCACCAGAGGGTGTTCTCCCTGTCTTTGAATCTCCTAGTCCTAGGAACTGTGAGGTGAGTAAACCTTTATTCTTTATAAAATGCTCAGTCTGTATTATTCCAGTTATAACAACAGAAAATGGTCTATGACTTTAAATAATGTATTGCTTGATGAACAAAACAAATACCTACAAATAGAAAAAATGGTTATATTAGCTAGGGTCTATTACAAACAAAACAAAACAACAAAACAACAACAACAACAAAAAAAAACAGTGAAATTCAGGGAGAACTGACCCTTTCGTCAACAATTACTGTGACCATTGTACATTCACAAAAGAAAGACTCAGACACAGGCTTATACACAGAAGAGAAGATTCTTTGCTGGTGCCTTAGGCTAAAATGGAAGCTGCATGGTGAGATGCGGACCCCAGTGAAAGGAACTGACCAGCCTCAGACCAAAGCATGCCAAATGTTAGTTCATGCTAGCCTTTACTTCCCAGGAACTGTCTTCAGAGCGTCGCCTGCTGAAAGACTCCCCACCTTTCCCCATGTATGTAAATCAATAATCTTGATTTGTTAGTCTGTAAATAAAAACATGACAGTAATGTTACTGTGGTGTCTTGTTTTCCTGATTGCCTTTCACTGCTTTCCAACATAGTGTTGGAAAATTCAACTTGATAGCACTCACCTTTAGAACTCTGTCTGCTCTTACATGACACATAGGGAGTTGCTATAAAAGCTGTCCCTGCTCAGAGGATTGGAGGACGAGGGTATTTGGAACAAAATGAGGTTGCCGAGGTGGACAGTGGCCACTAGAGGGCACCGAAACACTTGATTCTGGGACCTGCACATTGGAGTTTCAGAGCAAAGGAAACCATAGTAGACCATGGGGCTAGGCAAAAACAGTCCGTTCCCCAGTCCCCCATATGTACTTGGGCCCAGTCCTTACTCTTTAACATTTTGTTCTCACAAATTTCCGTTTTCATGTTGAGGTGTAAACTCCAGATGCTAGTTTAGTTGTTGTTTTAAAAAAATGTAGCCTTTTCCAAGAAAGTGGTCCTGAGTTTTTTTACACTCTGAAGTACTACATAATTTACGTATTTGCTGTCTCTATAGCATTGAAAAAGTAGATCCAAAGCTGTGAAAGTGAGTGGAGTGTGTTGTGATGGGAGTAGCTCCACTACCTTCAGGGTGTTGATTTCAATTAGATTTAGTGGGCAGCAGGGTCATTTATTGCCCTTCATTGCTGTTACCATACTAAAATGCTCTCTCCCCCTCTCCAGTTCATAGAACTGACTGGTAGGAAGCCAGAATAAGGCATGTGAATTTAAGGAGCATCTACAGTTGTCCCTTGGTAACCTCTGAGGTTGTTTCCAAGACCTCTACCCCCAACAGGTAGCAGCCTGCAGGGCCGAATCCTTAATGGCATCGTGCTCACTGGGAGAGGACTAACGCTGCCTGAGGCAAAGTGACTGCTGTGTAAATGGTTGTTTCCTTGTAGTAAAGTGGCAGAAAAAAAAAACCCTGTATGTATTTAGTGTAAATACAAACACATTTTAATATGTGTGATCTGTAATGGGTTGAACACTCAAATGTGGAATCTGCAGACATGAAGCACCTGCTGCCATTTCAGATTTTTTAAAATCTGCTTTCGACTAGTTTCTTCAGTCCTGTGATTGGAGTATAGATTGATCCTATAGGTTCATGTGTTGAAAGGTGGGTCTCTTGCTGGTGGCACTGTTTTGGGAGGTGGTGGGAACTTTGGAGGGGGAGGGCCTGGCTGGAGGAAGGAGTTCCCTGGGGCATGCCTTTGAAGGGTCTCTTGTCCCTGGGCCCTTCCTCTCTTGCATTCTGCTTCCTGGCCAACATGATATGGGAAGCATTTGCCACACTCTTGCTGCCATGAGGCGTCTGTCTTGTCTAAGACCCAAAGCCATGAAGCCAGCAGATCTTGGGAAGCAGTGACCCCCCCCCCCCCCCCATCAACTGTTACATCTCTAAACAGGCTGGGGATGTGACTTGCTGGCAGAATGCTTGCCTACCTACCGTGTGCAAAGCCTGGGTGTGTGGGTTTGGTCCCCGGCACTGAAAAAAGTGGGGACAAGAGTACAGAGGCAATCTAGAGAATGAGGAAATGTTTGCAGATCTCAAATGCATAACACCTTCCCTCTTTCGAAACCGTTTCCTCAGATAATTGTCACGGCGATCTAAAGCTGGGCACTTCTTATATGATCAGAGCTCTGAATAGCCAAGTCAGGTGCCCAGCAGACCTCTGACCATCACGCTAGGTCTCTCTCCTGTGAACTTGAGCTGACTGATTGCTCAGCTCTGTCTCTGTGCCCAGGAAGTACAAAGAGTTCCTCTCTGAAGTGTAGCTGGGGACAAACGACTACACTTCCCCTCTCCAAGGATCCTGTCCTTTCCTGGGTGACAGTCACTGTCGTATAAGCTCACTCATGTGGTTTGCCAGGGTCTCCTGTTGTTTTGAGGTGGAAGGATCAGTCTGGTTCCTAATACTCTGTCTTGAGCAGAAGCAAATGCCCATTTGGAGATGGGATTTTATAAAGATTATATCTAAATGTTGTGTTGAATATTTGATTTTTTCTCTGGTGAGGTGATAGCTCTTTATTCGTGACTATTTAAAATCAATTTTTAAAGAATCCAGTTTCTTCTAATTGAAGTGCCATTTTCTGCAACAAGTCAGAATTGACAATAAC